TGAGCTTGGCGGCTGTCAGGGGCTTCATGTACAAGGTTGGTGTTGTGGTGGGCTTGGCGGCTGTCAGGGGCTTCATGTACAAGGTTGGGGTTGTGGTGGGCTTGGCGGCTGTCAGGGGCTTCATGTACAAGGTTGGAGTTGTGGTTAGCTTGGCGGCTGTCAGGGGCTTCATGTACAAGGTTGGGGTTGTGGTGGGCTTGGCGGCTGTCAGGGGCTTCCTACACAAGTTGGTGGGAAGTGGGAGGAGCTAGGTGACTCGGTGCACCCAATTTCTGTTAATTGAGGTTTTATGGATGTCCACCTGTTAATATTGAACAGATTTAATGCTTCGTCCTCCCTAACATGTAATTGTAGCTCTCTACGGAATGTTCTTGCGACATGGCGAATACTTGAAATGCTACAGTTTCTGGTGAGCCACGGTTTGCTGCCTTTACGGCAATATTCATTTAGTTTCTAGAGCAGGACATGTTCACCTTTTTCGCGAACACCTGGTGTCATCACTAATGTTCAGTAATCATTCCATATTATTTTCACCACTTTTTTTGTCTTTTACGCTTCGGCAGATACTCGAGACTGATTATTCTCTGGCGTTTCTCTATTTTATCTTGTACCATATGTTTCTGTGTTTTTTCAGGTGAACAATTACCTTGCCTTTACGTGTGTTTGTGATGGGTACCCCAATAAACACGTGCTGATGATATAGTCGAAATCGTAGAATGGACTCTGATTTTAGCAGAGATTTCTTATGTTTATTGGCAGTTGAGTAGTTGGTGCATTGCCAAGCCAAGCCAAAGAGGTTCGAGGCCGTGCATGGTTACAATTAGTCTGTTTCACAGTCCCAGAACCACATTATGCATGTCTAGTCTAAGTCTTAGCAAGTCTAGATTATCCACAGGTCGGAAACTCCCATCATACTGTGGCTGCTTTTCAATAAAAATGAAGTTGTTTGTTTCTATCAAAATTATATATTTTCAGAGACTAAGCATTCATCCAGGGAACAAGGTGGTACCATTGTTCGTGACCACCACCCGGAATATCGTAAAACTCACTCATTCACGCACTCACTTCAAAGATGTATATATATCTGTATACGTCTTTGCTCACTTCCACGCTGTCTCCGTGTGGAGGTTGAATTTTTTAACTTTCAACTTTCAATGTAAACTAGTTTCAAACGAGGTTCGCATGGAAACCCGGATTTGATAAAACATCGCAAAAATGATGTTAAGCCCCTTCAGGCAGTATCAGTTATTCCTGGACACCGATTACAGCTTGGAGAGCTACCCATTCCAATTGGCGTGGCACAGTTTCAGCTCTAGCGATACCTCCAGACTATCGTCTACATGACTTGTGTGTGCTCTCTACACACGAGGTGGGGAGCATTCCAGGCGTCCCATCAGCAACTTTATCTGTGTGTATGAGTACTGCCAGACGCCACTGCACATGCGCTGTCGCGTACACCCACGTCATGGATGCCACCGCGAGCAGACGATCGTTGCTATTGCCCGGATGTTGGGTCAGCTGAAAGCGGTCAAGCCGTTCCACTGACTGCTAATGAAAAATGATGAAAATGAGGCTTACCTCACCAACTATTTCCTATCTTTGATACAAGGTGGATTATTAGTGATAATCCCGCCATTTTGAGAAATATTCGCCAACCCGAATACCCTTGAGTATAAATGTATGGTTAGAGGGTTAGAATTCACGGGGATTATCAAAAGCGGAAAATAGTTCTTTCCTGTCTTTGATACAAGGTGGATTATTAGTGATTACGGCGCCATTTTGAGAAATATTCGCCAACCCAAACACCCTTGAGTATGAATGTATTGTAGAGGAATAGAAATCACGGGGATTATCAATAGCGGAAACAGTTCTTTTAAATATAATAATCTAATCTGATTTCTATGGGGGGTTAGGATGTTGGGGGGAGAGCTTTTTTACATAAAAAATCGTGGTAAACATCTTCAGAATCCCCCTCCTACCTCCGCCACTGCACAACAACCATTGCGCTCGTCGCATCAGAGACCAGGTGTATGTCGTCTCAAAGCTGAACTATTACAAAACATTTATACTGATTCAGCAAGAGTGGTATGACTTTTTCCTTGCAGATCATACCGTAATAACATGCTGATATAATGGCACTGTTGTGTTACCTCCTTCTCTTAGTGTAAAGTACCGTGCCAACTGTACTCTGCAATTGTAAATTAATACGCCCCTACCAAAAGAAATAGTGCACGTTCTCCATCGGTGAAATAACGAGAATCGTTGACCTTTTGTTCTGACATGGCACTACGTTCTGCGCAACTAAGTGGGTTACAGCTCTTCAGATTGTTTACCCACTGGTGAAGAGTTCTCATCGAATTATCTGACTGGGGAATGCATCTGGTTGCCATGACTACCAGACATGGGATTTCACCTGAGCGGATGCTAAACACATCACTGATACAATATCTCCGTGCATGATGACCATCTGACTCGGCTCTTGTGATGCAGAGACATGTTTTGGAACAGTTTCAGAGACAAACATCTAGCATGCTACTGCGTTGAGTATGTTCGCTGAGTATTTAACGTTTTAAATTATGAGTGAGTGAGTGCGGTTATTTGTACGCCGCAATATTATTCCAGGAATATCACGGCGGGGGACACTCGAAATGGGCTCACACGTTGTACCCATGTGGGGAATCGAGCCCTGGTCTTCGGCGTGACGGGCGAACGCTTTAACCACTAGGCTACCCGACCCCCTATATTATTATGAGAATCACAAAAAATATATACGTTGAGTCAGTTGGCACGATGCACATACCGCTGACGGAGAAGCGTTGCTATTCTCCCTGCGAAATGTGTCTGTCACCAACAGTAAGATTATTTTTTGTCCATTTTCATCCTTTTTGTAAGAATATGAAGGTTGTGTGTTTCCTCTCCCTATCTTCTACAGGTGATGGTAATCATGTAAACGGGGTCTAGGTGCAGGACAGTTGCACGTCTTGGTAATTGATTGCAGTCGTTCATATTCCACCTTGTTTGTTGCTAACTCAAAATTGTATTATGTTTGTGTGTTGTTTAACGCCGCACTCAGCATTATTCCAGCTTTGTGAAGGCGGTCTGTAAATAATCGAGTCTGGACCAGACACTCCAGTGATTGACAGAATGAGCATCGATCCACGCCATTTGGATCCGATGACAGGCATCAACCATGTCCGCATGCGTGACCACCCGATTCCGTTAGTCGCCTCTTACGACAAGCATAGTCGCCTTTTACGGGAACCATGGGTTGCTGAAGACCTATTCTACCCCGGATCTTCAGGGGTCAATTGTATTATGTCTATCAACCAACTAAACCCGACACATCGTCTAGACTAGATTTGAAATTTTCACTCGGCAGTATCATGGTCAATCTAAATTCCAACATGCACATTCTGAATAAAATAACTTTATGTTACAAGGGCTTCTGGTATGATAGCAGATCGATTGGCATCATATATGTTTGACATAACTTAATTTAAGTTGATATTCGTATTTAACATTCATGTCGGTTTTTAAGATATGAGACATATATATAGAGATATTAAATAAATCGTGAAATACACAATCAGGTTATCGAAATCTTCAAGACTGCATTCCATGTCTGGAATCTTAATTGTATTATTGTGCTATTTCTCTTACGCCTAACACAAGCGCCCGGGTCGGTACGTAAACACTGGTTATAAGACAAATACCATTGTTAGCGAATCATCACCCAAAAGTAAATACTTGATCTTTGAAAGAAAACATTGTTGAGAGGCATGTTATCGTGTTTCCTTTGCCAGACATTGCACATACATTTTCCTCCCGGTGACAATTCTGCCGGCAATTTCACCGATTATCCGCCCCTTCACACACCCTCCCCCCTGCCACTCCCACTTCACCTCCCCCTCTAAACAAATCAGCACCTCTGACTGAGTGGAGTAATGCTGCTCCTTTTTCATTGTTAGTGTTGCCATAGCAACGGGAGAGTCTGAGTTGAGGTTTTCGCTTTTGCCACGTATGATAACTGTGTAATCCCGTACAGTTAAACATTTGAGGGGATGTGTTTGTTTGTTGTTTAACGCCTCATTCAGCAGTATTCCAGCTGTATGACGGCGGTCTGTAAATATTCGAGTCTGGATCAGACAATCTAGTGATTGATATCATGAGCATCGACCCATGCAGTAGGGATCCGATGACATGCATCAACCAAGTCAGCGAACCTGACCACCCGATCCCGTTCGTCGCCTCTTGCATTGTCGCCTTTTACGGAAAGCATGGGTTGCTGAAGACCTATTCTACACCGGATCCTCACGGGTCTGGGGGGCTGTGCGGTAGCCGAGTGGCACGTGCTCGACTACCCATGTGGCTACTTTCTGGTATCAGATGTAATACTAATCTGTACAATAATTCCACGGTATTACCTATAACGTCATGCTATTGCCTGTTATATCGTGAATGTGTGTGTAATGTCATGGGTGTGTCTTTAATATCATGACCTTGTATATAATGGCATGGTATTGTATGTAATGTCATGGTATTGTATTTAATGTCATGGTATTGTCTGTAATGTCATGGTATTGTATTTAATGTCATACCGTCATGGTATTGTATTTAATGTCATGGTATTGTCGGTAATGTCATACTGTCATGGTATTGTATTTAATGTCATGGTATTGTATTAAATGTCATACTGCCATGGGATTGTCTGTAATGTCATGGTATTGTATTTAATGTCATACTGCCACGGTATTGTATGTAATGTCATGGTATTGTATTTAATCTCACACTGCCATGGTATTGTCTGTAATGTCATGGTATTGTATTTAATGTCATACTGCCACGGCATTGTCTGTAATGTCATGGTCATGTCATGGTATTGTCGGTAATGTCATACTGTCATGGTATTGTATTTAATGTCCTGGTATTGTATTTATGTCATACTGCCACGGTATTGTCTGTAATGTCATGGTCATGTCATGATACTGTCTGTGTTTCAGGTAACCCCCGGGAGCGTTGCTGCCAGCAGTCTAGGTTGTGGTGACGTCATTATGAAAATTGGAAACGTGAACGCCATGAATCTCTCCCACAACGAAGGCCAGGAGTTGATCCGCGGGGCAGGCAACCTGCTACAGCTCACCATTAAGAAGTAAGACCGCCATTCCACATGATGCCAGTTACATCAAGGACCAGGCTCTGTTTTCCCGTGTTTACTTCTCAGTAGGCATAACAATAAACTCGCCAGCAACATCGGCGGCTTAGGGTTGATGAGGAAAGATAATTCCTCTATTTAAACCCCGACAATCTTAGCGTTCGTAAACCCACGATGTTTAACTGAACAGAACCAACATTAGTAAAGCCCTTGAAAACGTCCCGCACATGCGGGAGTTTCCATGTGACTACAGGCAAGATTATTTACAGACGGCTGTCATGTAGCTGGAATATTGCTGAGTGCGGCGTAAAATAACAAACAAACACAAGTTGAGTGATGGACTACGACAGGCCTTTGTTTGGTTGAGTGTGAGTTGGATTTGACGCCGTTCGAAACAGTACCTCAGCTATGACATGCGTGTCAGCTTGGTCGCGAGGTCTTTTGCGTTGTTGGACATTCTGATGCATTTACCATGATGCTCATATCTAGTGTCATCATCGTTATTTTGGTACTTCTTGTCCGTGTGTTTTACGCTGCTATTACCAATATTCCAGCAATATCACGGGGAGGGGCACCAGGAATGGGCTTCACACATTGCACCCACGTGGGGAATCGAACCTGGGCCTTCGGCGTGACGAGCGAACGCGTTAACCATTAGGCTACCCCGCCGTCCCCACGAGCGTCTTTATGAATCTATTTTATTGAAATTATGCAATCATGGTCCAGACCCGAATATTTCCAGGCCGCCATCATAAAGCTGGCATATTGCTGAGTGCGGCGTAAAACAACAAAAAACAGTGACCGCGCTAATCTATTTCTGGCCTAATTTGTTATTTTATCAGTGTGTACCTACGTGTATTTTTAAAACTCAAACATGTGGCGGGAAAGCAATCCCATAACACCTGCACGCCCAGTGCACCCTGACTGTCAGGGTTGAGGATTCTGGATCCTGGCAGGGAGCCCGTAGAAAGGTTACGACAACATAGGCAACACATCCCTCTACGCCTACCCATATACTCTCCATTATGCATAACACATACCTGTTAGCGAGAGTCACACCGACTCGTATGCATGGAATTGTTTGCAAAATGACAAAATGTGTATGCAACATGCATCACGTATTTTATTGTGAACGAACTTGATAGTCAAACTGCCTGTTTGCAGTCTACAGACGACTAACGATATCGGGTGGTCAGGCTCGCTGACTTGGTTGATGCATGTCATCGTATCCCAATTGAGTGGCTCGATGCTTATGTTATCAATCACTGGATTGTCTGGTCCAGATTGGATTATATACAGACCGCCTTCATATAGCTGGAATATTGCTGAGTGCGGCGTTAAACAACAAACAAACAAACAAACAAGCAAACAAACAAACAGTCTACAGACCCAAAGAAGAACTGGCTATTTGCAATACATTTGTGACTCATGGTCGTTTGACCTTTTGAATCCTGGTGCGTGGAGTCGAACCCGATCGGTTGTCATACTTTCGGCCTCTCGTTTATCTGATCTAGGGTTATAAGTTCGAAGCTGTCGTGATACACCTCTCAGAAACCCACTCACTCACTCAATGTGCCTTAACCTTTTCGCAAACACCTGCTATCCACTGATTTTCATTGGTCCACAATATTTTGCCTGACATCCAGTTGAATCTGTTTCGGCGGGTGATCCAGACATGTTTTTCTCTGGGGTTGACGTTGTATATTGAATGGAGCTGCAGTTTTGTCAGTCAAGTGTAACAGCTAAAAAAAACATGTAATAATTTAGAGTGGAGGGAGTGAGTGAGTGAGTATGGTTTTACGCCGCTTTTAGCAATATTCCAGCAGCGGGGGACACCAGTAATGGGCTTCACATATGTGCTTTAATATGGATAATCTGATCGCTTTGCAGAAACGGTGTCCATATTTAATACTATATTCTAATATGTATACTGACAATTCTGTATATTTGTTTGATGTACTGTTTATTGTTTCATATATATCGTAAGGTCGATCATCCACTGAAATAAATTTTCGTGTTTTAAAACCATATTGTTCCAAAAAATTGACGGTCGGAAATGTCACTGAAAAATAACAAAAGGGGGAAATATGTATTTTTAATTAAAAGTCAAACAGTTATTTTTTTCCACATTGCGGATCCGTAAAACAATTAATAATAAAACGCCCTGGGGTCCTTTGACGTCATATCATTAACCAGCCTTGTTAATTTCCAGGTCACAACACGATACGTGGAAAGTCGCTAGTTGTATTCACTGTTAACAATATGTTTTAAACTCTAGATAGTATATTCCATAATACAAGCAATATGAACGAAAAGACACAACCAAAGCAACAAACTCGGGTTAGAGTTTATTAACTCGATATCATAAATATTCCAAAGAAAATAAATCCACGAAAGTATTTTCACCCTAGATGCCTTTTTGAAAACCTTTCTTCAACTGGGACCATATGCCAGTCATTCAGTCATTGGGTTCGGCGTCACCTCCGAATTAGAAGCAGGTTCGCTTGCAGGGATATTGTGGTCCGGGCGCTAGTGTTAGTGGGGTCGGGATTACAAGCCCGGGGGACACACGGCGTTATGAATAAAGAAGGTCTCATCAGGTTGCTCAATCTTATGATTATACCCAAGAAGAAGGAGCCGTGAGTATATTATGAGTATATGAGGGTTTAATGTAACATGTTCTATTTTCTTAAGTGGGTTAAATGGCTACATATTTCAGTTTCTATACAAGCTGGTATGTTTGTTGTTTGCACAGTGTACTTGATGCTGAGACAAAACACCTTGTGAACACTGAAATCAAACCTATCGTCTATGATTTAAATTGCATTAACTTCAATATGTTGTTCTTAAATTGAGAGCTATCAGAAGCCTTTGATACATGTCCCGTATCAACTTTTTCGTGTTTAAAAAGTTCGTGTTTATTTTTTTGTTATCATTTATGTTCATAATTGTAATTGAAGATTAAACAGCTGAAAAATCGCTATCGTCGATAATAATTTATTATATTCTAAACTGTCGGGGAACAAACATGGACACAATTGTTTTCGAACCCGTATTAAATACGAATATTTGGTGGTGAAAATGGCAGCATATGTTTGTATAAGATATAAGTACAATATTTGGCCCAATCAGATGGACGTGTGTCTGAGCTTGTCATACATTTTGATGACCAATACCCGTCGTGAGGCCAAAACACGACATAAACATTCCTAACGCAAAAGACGAAAACTACAACCTCAATACTTGGCGATAGAATCTTGATCTTTCTCACGGAATGATATAAAATGTAAAACACACACTACATATCATAATATAAACAAACTTTCAATCACGCCCTAGAATGACCTATGCAGCTGACGAATTCTCAATAATATCCCCAGGCCACCATGTAATGTTTCCCCTTCAACTGTTATTCAGATACAATCTCCTGCACATGTACGGGACACACTGCCCCGAGAAATACGCTGTAAAGTAGGTTATTGTCCTGTTAAAGTATGGCGAACCTCGACGACAAAGTAGAACGCATGTGTGTAAACAAAATGTGCGAAAATAACCCATATACTAGAAATGAACTCTCCGGACATTGTGTCGCGAGTCATTGTTCTCAGTCGTAAACAACATTGGCTACTGTGTCCATATTGAACACTTCTCGTGTAAACCCCATAAAACACATCTATATCAATATAATAGACGCCGTTGGGCGCATCTGTCTGTTTTATAAAAACACTATAGAGTACATCTATCAATATCATGTCATATCATAAAGCACACATACCAGTTGCATTGATCAATGACGTCATTGAGTGCATCTATATATTACTTATTCTGTATAAGCATTATAATGAGATCTATCATATATTGAATCCGCTTCTTAAAATGTGTTGACGTGTAAAAGTCAACATCATATGAGAAAGTAGGGATGTTTCTTAAGTTAGAGAACATGCGTGTAGCTGTCGGCTCGTGAATAAGATGCATCTAGCTCCTGCTTCGGTCGGCGATTCTTGTTCACAAACGGACAGCATTCGCATGTTTCCGTAACGTACAACAACATTCGTAACCAACTCGTGTTATTCCGGGACAAGCCGAATGCAGGTTACGGAAAGGGGCGAGTTGTGACGAATGGTACAACAAGGCTTGTCCCGGAAAGCGACGAGTTGGTCACGAATGGAACGGACAGTTGCTCGTATGTTCTTCTCAACGTAACATTCGACTGTATTTTTGTACATGATGATAGCTTTAATGTCATACCTTCCGATTTCAAAGTGACGATCAAGTAAACTGCAATACATAATCCTAACATACTATACCCTTCAAGGATTTACAACACCCGTGAATGAAACCATCTCCAGTTATAAGACGACAACCCGAACAAATCGTATTTACGGATGTTTCTGCATCACCATTCATATGTCTGACATGGTAATGTCATGTACGGAGAGAAAGAGTCAATCAGTGCGCAAATGAAAGAAATTGTCCTTTTAAACCCGAGTCTCTGAATGTCAGTGACCAGTGCCATACCAACAGATGTGATTAAAGCTAGTTTGAATTAAAGGTCGTCATCGAGCATTCATTGCAAGCGCTGCCTTTCCCCACAAAAGTTATGGTAATTCCTTTGACCTGCAACAGTCACGTGCTACTGTAGGTCTTCCAGCATTGGAGTATCGCTAGAAAGCTTCCATAAGATTTAAAAAAAGATAAGACGGTTTTCAACTTTCATATTTTTGTTTCAGAGTGAGTGAGGCGTCAGCTGCTCCCCCAGACTCCAACTACGCCTACCACGGAAGTCAGGCCAATGCTCAGCTCTACGACTACACACCAAAAACAAACACCTACAGCCAATCAAGTCTCAACACGTCTGATCCCTATGGCAACAGAGCATCTGTTCAACAGGGCCGATCACCATCCTACCCAAGTGAACCTGCCAGGAGTTACTATGACCAGGACTACTCCAGCTCCACCGCCTACCCAGATTACACTGCAGGGTATAGGAGCGCCCCCTACCAGACACAGAGTAGTCAGGACACATACCAAGCTCAGTATCAACCCGCCTATGAAGTGGGCAGTTCCATGTCCTTACCGAGGGACGTAGGACAGACATCGAGAGGGGTGTCGTCCAGTCAATCTTCTAATGTGCAATCAGTGTACGGGAGGCAGAACTCTGCGCCGAGACCATATAGTCCCAGTTCGTATCAGTATAACTCCAGCGATTCGCCTGCACAGTATTCGGATAACTACTATTCCGGACAAGCATTTAGTCCATCGTCTGCTCAGACCAGTGCTCCAAGCTATGCAAGGTCTGCTGCGCCCTCGACTGTGTATGAAACCAATTCTTATGGAAATACGTCGTACGGCAGTTCAGAGCCGTCCTATAACCAGCACTACAATACGTTACCAGCTTCGTTTCAGAGTCAGAGCTACGGTGCCGAGGATTCCTCATATCAGCGGGCTCAACCCCAGAGGGCCTACAGCAGAAGTCAGAGTCGAGAAGCTCAACCCTTCTCTCCCTACTCACAATCAAACAACCAGCCATCGTTTGACTCGGCCTATAGGCCGAACAGGGAGTTCCAGCCAGTGACAAGCTATGGTCAGGCTGATGACACGCCTCAGTTTGACTCAAGCTACAGCAGTTTGCCGGCCAGGGAGTCTCAGCCGACCTCACCCTACACGAGGTCGGACCCTCCACAGTTTGGTTCTGGCTTTAACACGACTTTTTCCCCATCTCCGTCACAAGAACCATCCATGGGGTATGGAACTACCTACTCTCCCCCACAGTCGCGCCAGGATCCGAGCTACAGCAGCTCCATCTATTCTCCATCAGTGACCAGACAGGACCCAGCAGATAGTTTCGGCTCTCCCAGAATTGCCTCAACTCCGCGGAGTCCGCCGGTATCCTCGTTCGATGGCTCTAATGTGTTTAGTCCTGTTAGCCCTGCTAGAACACAATCAGACCCCTTTGCTTCTGTAAGTGCTGATATGTCTGGTCTGTCTATGTCATCCCCAGTGTCAGAGGCTCCCCCACCTCCCCCTGTGGCTCCCCCTCCGCCTCCCCCACCTCCACCGCCGCCACCACCACCACCCCCACCACCGCTACCTACTTCCGACTGGCCATCAAAGGCATCTGATTACAGTTCACAGGTAAGAGTCTGCGTCTCTTTGCTTGCTCGTGTCATATGTAGATAGATCTCCAGTGCCTGTACCAACCTGTGATGGCATCGTATGAGTGTAAGTAGTCACAGTGCTAGATATATAGGCATGGTACCTTTACATTACCTGGCAGTGTAGTCCCATATAATATTCTAATTATATTGCTGGTTTACTATAGACTGCTTGTAGATATGCCTGAATATGTTCCCGTTATGCCTGAATTTATATTAATCTAGTTTAGGTCAAACTAATTATTCACTTGTTCTTGAGAAGATGAGAAGATGGGGATTTTGTTTGTTTTCTTGAGTCTTTGTATTTGATGAAATATGTTCATTTTGTTTCATCCTTTGGAACATAAGGCATGGCCATTTGTTCTTACTAACAATTAGAGAGAGGCTCCGGTCATTTTCAGCCGTCCATAATTTGGAACCCGTTCAAGAATCACTACCAGATCTGTGTCAAGAATAAGTTATTGATATGTTGAGACCAAACAAAAATGACAAATATGTATCTGTATATAAATGGTATATTTAGTCTATGTTAGTATTGAATTGTTCCCCAATCCACTTCCGGTCTACCCATCACATCCTTTCAAAATGATATTATCTGATGATCCGGTAAACAGGCGACCATCAGACCCCTTCAATAGTGGGATGATCCACATCTCATGTGAAAAGGTGACCTCAACCTTTCAGCCAGAACTCGTTCCACTGAGTCAGGTTGGCAATCAGAAACTAAAGTCGAATCCCATTCACCCTTAGCAAACAAACTACAGTAATCACGCCATTGGCCTCAACCGGAAGTGACGATATTCCAACTCTGGCGCACCAGTCTTCATGGTTTCCAATGAGGTTCGCCTTCCATACACAAACCACCCAGTACAATATGAACATCGTATGGGATGCTATTACGTGTGTGATAGAGGATGGAATCAACTGGCCTGGCAGCTGGCTTGAATGAATCAGGGGATCCCATGTCGTCATTCGGCACGAGGCGCTGATCGCTAGCCAGGCTCCAGCTTTTGAGGAAGCGCTCTGCCCTTTCCAACCATAACACAATGAAACACATATCATTCCCTTCAGTGGACGACGACGCCCAGCTTCCATGTACTGTATTTCGTTAAACACTGGATTCAGATCTTCAGTGGAATAAGCTAGGATGGTACGGTAAGGGGTGCTGTTTCCCTAGATAGTTGATTTTCCCTCTTCTCATTTTCATCCAAAATAATAGTAAAATAACCGACGTTCTTTTGGGGTCATTGTTCTAAGTCAATAACTATGACACGTTCTCTTGGCATCTTTTCATGACGTCAAAAGTGAAAAAACTTTACTGAAGTGGTTGGTTGGTTGGTTGTTTTGTTGTTTAACGCCGCACTCAGCAATATTCCAGCTATATGACGGCGGTCTGGAAATAATTGAGTCTGGACCAGACAATCCAGTTTGCTAAAGTGAATATCGTTGACGGGTTATCTTGAACACCAAGAATTTCCTATGCTCAGGATGATGGTTAGACTTCCAACATAACCTTTACCCTAATAATGGTCCTTGGTCTGCCTTCAGTATATCTGTCTTCGTTGGGTTTATCAAAACAGTAGACGTCTCCGATCTCCATCACCTTAGGCTTTGTACCCAGATTAATTGACACGTCGTTATGTAAAGTTGAAACGACGTTACTGCAAACATTCCGCTATTCCTCTGCCCAGCACTTTTATTCCCAATCCCAATTTCAACCCAGTTATATTAACGATTTGAATAATTCTAATTAATCAACTAATAGTGTACGCTTACAACCAAGAACATTTTACCGTTTGTGACGTCATACAAGATTCAAATCACGCGAGACTCCTTGACAGTGTTATTTCTCTGAGGCCAGATTGCTGTCTCCATTCCGCTTCTCACCGCTGGAGATCGGTGTTAAATAGCAAAGTTCCTGTTTTGACAGTATTACTCATGATGAACTACGAGACGGGCGTTTTACTTTCGGAAGCCTTGATAGAACGATAGTCCTTAAAAAGGAAATATATACATGCCCTTGTCATTGTATATCTGTATGAGTCATCACGGCAGCTAGTCCAGGGACTTAGAAACTTATCGTTGTATTATGCAGCTGCCCAGCCTTTCATAAAAATACATGGATACAAAACACATATACATGACTGATAGCGCTAAATTCTTTTCAGCCCATGTCATATGAACATGGTCTATATATTTAATGATATGGAAATACTTCTCATAACTGCCCTCCCTACGGCCCACCTCCCAGCGACATCGCCACCGTGACAGGATACAACACGACCCATGTAAGACAGGCACTTGTGTTCATACCTCGAATGGGTTTTGTTCACACGCGTTATCAAGACGTTTGTCAACGACTTTCTACACTCGGCCCTTGCGCTCTGGGACGCTCGCACTTTCTGGACAGTCAGTAGTGTTTATTCATTGTGAACTCATCTCCTGCCCATACACATATCTTATATTCTAACGGTAAGGGATTTTTATTTTTTTACATGATCGCTTATCTAATACTTTTACAGTTACGTATTCAATGCTACGTTAAAACGGAAAAATATGTTTTGAAAATGTATGTTTACGTATGTAAAAACATGTAATTTTGCTAGTTGTATAAATTTTGATTGTTTAGGTATATCTAAAAACACAATTTTTGCACGTGTGATTCTCAGTTATTATATTTTGATTATTTTTTTATCACGGATTTTTGTAACTTTTGTCAAATGAAAAAAATATAAAGAACTTTACACGTTTGATCACTCTCCATAAACTGAACACACTAATTGTTTCAGAAAAACCGCACCCGTGGTTTCAGCTTTAACGTAGCGTATATATGACATGTATTCAGTATGAACACATTCCAGCATTTGACATTTTTCTTCTCACGGGCTTTAATGTCACAAAGTATCTTCAATTAAGGAACTCATTTGAGCGTATACACCTACATCCATTCATGGAGAGACGCTGTGGAAAGATAATTTGAGCATGGCGTATTGTTAGTGAGACGGTTGTTCATTATGAGCGTGTATGTACCGCCCATGTTATTATAAGCCGCCAAAGGGATGCCTTCCTTCGTGATCAGTACAGGATACAGCTAAATGCATCGCTGTAGCCGCCTCAGCAGGCTGATTACTTGTTGACGTACAATATGGCAGTAGGTCACAGATTAACACAGAACACCCCTACTTGAAGCATATGTATGTGTCTGTGTATGCACTTGTATGAGTAAGCATCGTTTTTCGAGTTTATAGCTTTATCACAAGAAAATGCTACCCCGTAAGTAAGTAAGTAAGTAAGCACAAGTTCACGTTAACATTCCACGGTACTGTCATACAGGTTCCACGGTACTGTAATACCGTTTCATAACGAAAATGTAATCGGTCAATAAGAATGATGATAGTGATGATGATGATGATGATTATGATGATGATGATCTTGGTGTGATAACGTGATAACGATATGTTTAAACAGACCCTGTGATAATCAATACACGTGTGTGTGTGTGTGTGTGTGTGTGTGTGTGTGTGTGTGTGTGTGTGTGCACCAAGCTTGTTCACCCAAGAATTCCCCTACACAAAGCATATCGCTATACACCCAAGACGAGTCAGGGGCGAAATATGCATGCCATTCAAGTATCGCGTAAATATGGTCGTACTAATCCTATATTTGTATCATAGACTATAGCTCTGCGTGCATATGTGTGTGTGACATATCCAAGAAGTATTTGTTTGTTTTGTTGCCTCCGTCAACATTATACAGATGTCATTACCCCCAACGAAGTCATTGAGTGAACGCGGAGCTTGCTTCGCGGTATAAGTTTGAAAACACAAATTCAATGCGTGTTTCTTTAAAAACGTCCTGGTATGACATGTCAATATGTTTTGGCCTTATGAGTAATACACACGGAGATGTCTGTAGCAACTATGCCGAAATACCGCATATTGTGTATACATGATAGAGCGACCGTTGGGGAAGCTATATTTGAGCGTATTGAGATCCGTGGAAAGCGCTATCTTGTGTTTATTTATTATTAGAACATGATATTAAGGAGAAGTAATGCTATTCAGATGTTAGGGTTTAAACGCGTGTTGTAATGCTAGCCGTCCTTCCTCTCCATTACACCACGCCCAATACGCCTCTTTCTGTGCCATTCATTACAAATGGCTTTGTGTATTTATTTTGCAATACACACCGCGAGATTGATATTAAATAGATCGTGAAGTCGAAAAGGCCAAAGTCTTACAATAGAGTAATAATCTAGCAACCCCACTGAACCCCGTTCTTTTCTTTGTCGTTTGCACTTGATATTTCAAAATGGCCACCAAAGATCGTCTGCTCAACAAAAGATTTGGACAGAAGCGGTGGGATTAGTCCTATGATTTTGACAGCTGACGAGAAGCTCCCAACACTACAATCTCATTGTATTTGCACATATTTTCACTATTTGCACAACACCTGGATTATCATGTTTGCATGGATGTCATCATCCTTGAATAGCCCTCATACCATGTGATGTTTACCCCCGCCTTTCACCCCATGCCACCCTCATACCAGCCACCTTGACTGTAGTGTTTACCTCAGTCTTGACATGTAGACCTGCTCGTTAGAATGAGTTTGCATGTCCGCAAATAGTACCTACCTACCGATTTAGTACAATTGTAATTTAACAGTAAAGTATGTCTTTCATTTTCAAATGACATGCAGCTGTATCCCTTTTGAATTTTAAAAGACTAAACTGATCCTAAGTTTAAAAAAGAATGGTATGTCTACAAGGTGCAACGGAGGATGTCTTGGTTTCTGAGTTACCCAGTAATGACGTATTTCTTTCAGAATAACGATGACAGGAGCAATCAGTCTGGCGGAGGCCAGAAAATCCCCGATGGCGTGTTAAATGCTATGTCCAAACCTGGACAAGCTAAGCCATTCTCGTATGGAATAGATTTGGACGAACTCAAGCTAAAGACCCAGTGAGTTATTAATATGATCCACTATGTACAGACTGCAGTTGTATAGACATGAATGTTTGGGTTTTGTTTTTTAAAAACCAGGAGGTATTCGATTCTACCTTCCTCGATTATCAAGTATATTATTTTTATATCACCATTCTATTTTGATAAATATCCTACACCCATTTATGACCACACCTTCATTTTGAGCCCGTTTTGAACAGCACGACTCTTAAAACCTGCCGCCCAATCAAATTGTTTTCAAATTCTGCTCTAAGTTAGAAAATATAAGGGACGGTGGTGATGACGTTGCTTCCGAATTAGTCTCCAGACCCTACAGAAACTTTTTTTAAAGGATTCCGACTCAAGTCTAGAATGATTAGGCAAGTCTAGATTGCCTCAGCCCTGAAATTTAGGATTGTTCTGGTCTCCATTTGGATTTTATTATTTTCATTTTGTAGATTGATATTTTTAGGTAAGATAACTTTATTTCTGGGACTAAATGTCAGTCTTACTTCCGAAGATATGATGGCGAATGGGCGCAGGAAACTTATCGCAATAGCATGGAGATGTACACGGGATAATCGAGGACGCTTTTCAACATGCATACAGAATGGTTAATATAACATGAATCATTCTTTTCTGAAAGACAATGGCATTTCCTTTTTTAATATAGCATGATGCTTACAAATGGTTGGGCACTGTGTTAGCCCAGCGGCTAATGCACGTGCTCCTCAAGCTGTGTGTGGGTTCGATTCCCAACATTCTTGGTGCCCCTTGTGTGATATTTCTAAAACCATATCCAAAGAAAACCGCGCTCACTTGATTTTGTTAAGATTGTCAACACACACAGTAAACTACGTTGTAACGAACTCGCTTATAACGAGCTGACGAATTTATTGTTTGGTCCCGGACAACCGCTGGATATATGCTTGTTAAATGCTTATATAACGAACTACGGTTATAACGAACCAAAATTAGTGGTCCCTTTTAGTTCGTTATAACCCTAGTTTACTGTTATTACAAGCCGCCGCCACATAGCAGAAAGATATTGTGCGGCGTTAAACGACGCGCACACACTCATGCACACACACAGATACGCACACACAGACGCGCACACACGCACGCACACACACAGATACGCACACACAGACGCGCACACACGCACGCACGCACACACATACAACATGTCCCTTTATGTTTATCTGATTCAAAACTTGAACATGCAAATGGGCAACACGCTCCCCCGTGGTTTGAAAAATAGAAAACGGTTACTTAAAGCTGAAAGGGCCACTCGTTTCCGGTATTTATACACTTTACCAATTTGTGTCAAGGGGAAACTACAGACTTGGTTTGAAATGTTTAAGGGACTGTGGTCTTGGCACGTATCAGACAGTCGTTTATGAAACACTTCACTTGAAATATGATCTTTCAAAGAACAAACTGTTCAGTGTGACATAATAACTGCTGCACGGTGTTTGTTTGAATGAAAGGCGAGGCAGACACCTGTCAAGTGCGTCCTTTGTTGCAGAACGAGGAGCTATTAAAATGAGGTTTAGATAACACGCTTGCAACAGCCGGAATGTGGAATAGCCTCACTTGATACACTTTAGTTCTGAAAATTACTGCATTTATGTTGAAGTTTGTAAGCATTTAACCGCGCCCAAAACAATTTGAGAAGGGGTCCCGAGCCCAGTATTAACATATATGCTTAAATGTTTTCATCGGCTCGTCAAGTTGGTTTACATGACGAATATATTGCTTCTATTTAAAAGTTATAAATGTAGCTCATGGCAGATTCGGGGAGGTTCTTCAAACGTGTAAGGCGCTGCAATTCGCTGTGCAGAGTTGCGTCCCTTAGGCATGCCAGAAACCTAAGATCGTGGGTTCGGAGCCAAGTGCGCCCCGATTATGTTTCTACCCGTGAAGATTCTGGGTAGAATAGGTCTTCAGCAACCCATACTTGCCGTAAAAGGCGACTATGCTTGTCGTAAAAGGCGATTAACGGGATCGGGTGATCAGGATCGCTGACTTGGTTGATGCATGTCACCTATACCCCATTGCGAGGGTCGATGCTCATGATATCAATCACTGAATTGTCTGGTCCAGACTCGATTATTTACAGACCGCCGTCAATAGCTGGAATATTGCTGAGTGCGGCGTTAAACAACGAACCAACCAATCAACCGATTATGTTTCCAGGTCTGTCTGCACCATACCCATGCTTATGGATTCACCGAAGTGGTAAACGTCTGAGACATGCATCAGACCAAACGGTTTTCATTGACTTGAATCAAAAGTACCCGGTTCCAATCAGTTTAAGTATAGTCGGCGGGCAGTTGGCACTCTTAGCGATTTGGATTGACTTATTAAAAATAAAAATCATTTGTCTGTCAGCGTAATTTTATCAAGTACAAGGCCTTGGTATTAGTTAAAAGATAACAGGGGACACACGGGTGGTCCAGTAATCAAAAATCGCCACAATTCGCTGTGTAGAGTTGCGTCCCTAAGGCATGCCAGAAACCTATGCTACAGGTTCGAATCCCGGTTGGCCCCGATTATGTTTCTGGGTTTGTCAGCACCATACACGTGGGTTTTACTAAAGTGGTCAACGTCTGAGACCCTCCCACGTCTTTCCTCCCACATTAAGCTGACACGCCGTGATATAACTGGAATTCTCTTCAAGGCGGCGTCAAACCCAACTGAACCTCAAACCACGTTCAAGAAACGTAACTGTCTGGAGTGAGTACCGTGACTTGGTGACATTAGGTTTAATAGATCAGACAAATATCCCTGATAGGTGATGACCAACTGACCTCCATGTTTGTCTTGTAGACGCAGAGCTCCCCCAGTTGCCCCCAAGAAGAAGAAGCCAGTTGAGAGCAACCAAGGTCAAGGTCAGAATCCCCAAATGACGGTCCCAACAGGCCCCGGAACGGCAGTGTTCTCTCACGCCCAATACAATTCACCTCTGAGCATGTACTCCAACGACAACGTTGCTGAGTCGTTCAAGGGACAGTCTGGCGGAGTCATCACAGGAGTTGGTGGGTAAGTGGACACTCAGAGGATGTAGAACTTCTTCCCTAAAACATATGTGGCTGTTATATGGGTTTTTTTTAAATTTACAAAGTGAAATGTGGTACTGAATAGACCTATACAGTTTAATCACGAATGTGGACGATTTGGATGTTTGTTTATTGTAACACTATAAACACACAATATAAGTATTCCCATGGGATATTCCAATGCGAATTGGTCCCCATAACAACCTATGCTGGTTGTAAGAGGCGTACGTGGGTCAATCAATCATTTGATTGTCTGATCCAGGTACGATTATTTACATATAATAATATATACATTTAGTTCCCCGAGTGGGAAACTTATTTCCGCTGGAAGCACTCGTAAAATATCTAATATTTTCATCATTAACTGTTATTTTTTATTTGTTTTTGTTTTTTGTTGTTGTTTTTATTTTATTTATTTCCTTTTTTTGATTTACTTTTGTTTTGTTTGTTCATTTGGTTGGAGAGGGGTGGGGGACTGGTGAATATGCAAAAAGTGTCTTACAGTACCGAAGTACACTGTATGGAAATGATTTGGATGTTTGTATTTGAACTTTAAGGGCGTTGGAGTGTCTGATGTTTAATGCCTTCGTTCGTGTCAAAGAACTCTCCTCCTTACCAAGCTCAAGTCCCATGAGCCGTTTTAACCGTGTCACATCCATTGTTTTATATATTATGTGGTTCACTCGTCTATGCTTGTTGAATGTATGTAAACATAGACTTAGGTCCTGTAACAAGCACACCAGCTAATGTTGAGGTGCTCCGTAAGATCGTGAACCTACCAGAACCCGTTCCTGTTATCTGCGGTTGTGACTGCGAAACTCATCACCGGTAGCCAAGGGTGTCAAGTCTAACTGTTCACTCCTTCCATCATGGAGAACTTGCTTATCAATAAAAGCAAGATTTTCGTGTATTTGCGGCTGACTTAACAAGTCATAAAATAGTCAAGCTTTTGCAGCACCAAAAGGGTCGTGCGGACATGGAGGTATTTGCTCTCTGGAACTACCCTGCTTATCTGCACGTCTTAGTATTAAGCTGAGACACGGGCAAGAGGTAGGGTAAAGGAGGGGTGCTATCTCTGGCAGCATCAGATACTTGCCAAAAACATGGGATGGAAATAAAACTACATTCCTTTGAAATGATGGAATATGGGAAATACTGGATCTTGTGAAACATGCTCAATAGACTTACACCGATTGTCTTGGGAACAACGTTTTGAAAAATGCAAACCTTTTTCATTTCATTAAGTCGACAAGAGAAGCCTGAGTGGGTGTACGTCTTTGTCGCTTACCACACATTCCCCGCGATAAGTAAGACGTTAGATGGACGTGTGGAAAGGATACAATGGTGTTCGTCAGTTTTGGACGACTTGGAGTAAGCCTGTATGTCTGACTTGTGTGTAGGCATGTTGGAGAGGAGCCAGTCGGGCAGCGGTGTAGGATGGCGTCTGATAAGCATCTCGCTGCTGAACCTGGTCTGACATTTGCTGGAGTATGTAGAGTACCTGTGGCAACAGATCAGCGGATACGACCCAGTGTACCTTCACTGGAGAACAGCACAGGCGATCAGTGTACCTTTACTAGAGAACAGCACAGGCGATCAGTATACCTTTACTTGAGAACAGCACAGGCGATCAGTGTACCTTTACTAGAGAACAGCACAGGCGATCAGTGTACCTTTACTAGAGAACAGCACAGGCGATCAGTGTACCTTTACTTGAGAACAGTATCGACGAACCAGTGTATCTTTGCCAGTGAACAGCATCGACGAACCAGTGTATCTTTACTTGAGAGCATCATATTCCATCTACATCCCGCGACCTGTAAATAATCGAGTATGGGTAAATGCATACATCTTTATCTAGATTTATGTTCAAACAGATGGTTGATATTGTGAGCATCGCCCCACGCCCTTGGGGTACGACACAACAATGTCAACCAAGTTTCCGAATTCTCGATCCATTTAGTCACCTCTTACGAAAATCATAGGTTACAAGGGACCTTTTCTAACTCCTTTCTAAGTCCCACGTTACCTATGGTGAGGTGAGGTGAGGTGAAATTTGGTTTAACGTCGCGTTCCAGATTATCGCACGTATATAGCGACGTCTGTCTGTCTGCTTGTACTAGTCCGGACTAATGCCGATTACTAAGTGTACCCCGCTCATATACCAAGCCGCGGGTTAACATGAATACCCCACTCAGACACAGAAAACTAACTCTAAGCCAACCAGTCTTTGTTTTATCCCCATAAATCCGAGCGCCAGGCAGGGTAACAAAAGTAACATCTTTCGTATGACGCGGCTGGTATCGAAGCCCCGACCTTCCGCTCTCCGGACATAAGCCCTGTCCACTAGACCACTAGACCACTAGACCACGGATTCGGTCCAGCCTATGGAGTCTAGGCATCATGTGATGTGTGATTGTCTGGTTTATTGTTATATAATTGTTTACAGCAGCCGCAATTCACGTGCAGGTGTATAAACATTATTGTGCTTTCGATAAATGTCAGGATAGAAACATGAAATGTATATATGTACTTACATAATCTTCTCAAGGACGATTTGTGGACAGGGCACTATTATCCAGATTTATACCAGATGTTAGCTGGCCAGTTATCAGTCGTGGTGTATTACTTTTATTGCAAGGAATTCAACATAACAATTTATCTCAATTTTGAAAAGGTTATCGCATGGCAGGTGTACTCCTGTACGGCATCAAGCGATTTCTACTGATACTTTTTTTATGCAAATTGTGTGATTGGCGGGTGCTGCATGTGGGGCAGGACATGCTTATCCTTTCCGCGAACACCCTGTGTCATGACTGCTTTCCATTCACATCACTTTTACAGCTATTTTGCTCTTTACGCCAAATGGAATCGAATAAAAATGTTTAAATCACAAATCAGGTATCTTTAGTTACTCCATGTCAGAAAGCACCAACCCCAGCCCCACAACCCCACCCCCGCCCATACCCACTATTTTCGGAAGGACCACAAGATTAGGCTCGGGGAGCTGGGCCCGTGACGCCATGGGTCGCTATTCGTGTCGTCTATAACCTGACGCACAGTCCAGGCCATCAGGCCATTGTTTGTTTTGTTTGTTTGCTCGTTTGTTGTCTAACGCCGCACTTAGCAATATGCCAGCTATATGACGGCGTTCTGTGAATAATCGAGTCTGGACCAGACAATCCAGTGATTGATATCATGAGCATCGATCCATGCATTTGGGATACGATGACATGCATCAACCAAGTCAGCGAGTCTTACCACCCGACCCCGTTAGTCGCCTCTTACGACAAGCATAGTCGCCTTTTACGGCAAGAAAAAATATCTAATCTCGATACAAATCTCGCAGCTCCCCAAGAATATCAAATGGTCGGGCTCTTAGTGTCGGCATTCGTTATCGATGTGGTTCCGTTTAATATAGACGACCAAACGTCATATAAGACAACGGGATCAACTTTACTGTCCACTTGATGGCAGCTGTGTTTATTCTTTCTCCAGTCTCCCCAACAAGCCAAAGAAGGAGTTCAGCGACTCCCCAACGTACCGGTTCCTCCAGGAGAACGAGGGCCGGAAGCTGCCGGAGCCGGTGCAGTATGAGGAAGCTCCAGTTAAGTTCAACGTGGGCTCCAACCCTAACAAACAGTCCAAGTCCTTCAAGGTCCTGCAGTGGATGACTGATACGGAGAAGGATGAACAGGGGCCAGTGGAAGAAGGTGAGGAGTGTGTTGACGTTGATGCCGGAGTTGTTGATGTTTGGACCCAGTTGGGTTTCTTCTGTATGCAAGATTCTTGGTATAGATTGCTCGGGGCATACACATCCGGTCATTTCCTCAGGGTAAATACAATCATTCATATTTTAAGTGCATTGTATGGTCGTAATCATAAGTTCATAGTTGGAGCCTTAATCTTGTGATTAATTTGTTCTCTTCTGCGTCCATGGCGGTCTAGTGGTTCATCTGTATCATCTTTTTTGGATTCACTGGCTTGTTATATGTTCTCTAGCTTTACCGTTTATATCTACGTCTTCATGAGATCCATAGAATGAAACAGAGGCTGAATCGATGGATCAACGTTTAATTTTGTGTTCGAAGTCATTGTTATGGCCTTCAGGATTTGTTGTCCTCTGCGTCAATGAAGGTCTAATGGTTCATCTGTGTCGTCTTTTTTGGATTCAGTGGCTTGTTATATGTCCTCTTGTCAGCTTTACCATGTTATATATACGTCTACATGAGATGCTTTAGAATGAAACGGGCTGAATCGATGGATCAACATTAGAATAGATTTGTTTCAGATATTTTGTCCACATATCTTGGACATCCTTAATGCTAACAATATGAGGATTGTTCTGAGAGTTCGTGATAAAAGGTTTTCTAAGAAAGTGAAGAACATAAGTAATGAAAATATCAGCGTAGTGGCTCCGGGGTGAGTGAGTGAATGATATTTAAGCTGCATTAGCAATTTCACAGCTATTCAAGGCTGGGCTCGGCGTCAGGGGCAGCTGGTTAAATAGACAGGGGTGATGACAGACGAAACTGGCCATTTACTGAAAACACTTTTGATAAAATATTATCGTAATCACGATAATGCCATTAAGTGTAGTATCCATGGTAATGGCTCGTCTTGCATAAGTCAACATCCGCCACAGTTCTACTCGTGTCAGTCAGAGGGAAACAGGTGTTGAGATATGAATATGGCTCGGAAGATCTACTTCGTTATTCTTGTTGGATTCATTGCATTCCTGAAATAGAGAATTCTGTCGTGTATCATTGGGATCAGGAGGTACAGGTCTCAGATGTGCTCCAGGGTGTAATTGGTGTCGACCTTTATATTTAGATTATTAGTTAGCCATATTGTAGTAATACCGTAGAGATCATATCTTAGTGAAACTGTTGTAATAAAATAATTGTTGTCAAGGCTTACATAGCACGAAATACACTCTAGCTGTTTTGGTGTGGTTCAAGCATGGTGTTATTTTACTAATTGTTTTATTCAATTACCACATTCCCATCTGTAGCCCCATCGCCATCATCCCGAGGCAAGGGAGCTAACTGACTATATAAGTTCAGTTTCCACCCTTGCCGAACAAGGCTGGAATTTCGTGTCTCGATGGTACTGCCACCAGTGGCTATTACGAGTTATGTCCCTTCTATACCCCTTCTATTGACCAATCAGATTCCAACTATCACATAACTTGCATTTGCCTTAAACATGATGGCAGCGACGACTGATCGATAATCAAAATTGATATTGTAATTAAACGGGTCTCACCTCGGGAAGTACTTGAGCACATTGATAAAAAACTTGAAAAGATTTGGAAAATATCTGTCGACGCTCAGTTTACGGTAAACATGCTTTTCAAATCCTGCAATCGACCGAAATCTGCACGTCAGTTTACAAACCGGATGTCGATTTCGTTACATTGCGAATTTGTTTAGACTATGCATAGACTCGTTAGTCTAGTCAATACATCACTCCGAAATTCCGGCCTAGTTCTGCAAGAGTCCTTGGGAAGATGTCCCATCGCTAAAATATTCATATTGTCTTAACATGAAGCCGTCCTGCTTGAACTTGTTCTTACCTTTCGGCTAACTACCCACAGACAAGCCTAGACGGCAGAGGAACCCATTGTTGCGCCACAATTCGGAAGATGATGAAATGAGGTTTTCAGGACTAAACAACGACACCGACATACCGTCAAGGTCCTTCCAGAAGCTCCATAAGTATGCTGCCAAAAACGGTACGGACAGTCAAGGAGGAAGTGAAGAGGACCAATCAGGTTAGGGCACGTCATTGGTGACGTCACCATAACGTCATTTCCGCTTGGAATCATGAAATCGTCAGTTGTGTACTTTCATCACACATGAAAGCTTACAGTGACAGTGACTGATCATCATGTGCACACTAACAACTGTAGTATGCATGCTCAGCTTTGCTTATAATCCAATATGGCTGTCATGTTGTTGTTTTTCTTTCTTGTCTTTCTAGTTCATTTTTCTTGTCCAGGGACGTTTCTTACGATATAATTGACCGATCAGTTGATACTCGGGGGAGGTGAGGGGACTTTTTTTTAAAGAATAATGTGCACCAGAATACCAGAAAGAATACCTTTGCCTCATATTTTTTTTAAATAAAACAAATGTTCCTTTAACATGCTGGATATTCTGAAAAAAATTGGGTTAATGACAAATCATTTTTGGGGCAACCTCGTTTCAAAAATAAAATGTGTTGATGTTGAAGTAGTGAATGTTCTCTGTTAACACATTTCCAAGTAATTTCCCATTATGTGAGTCTTATAGTAATGAAAGTCTATGTTTCTGTCTTCTTATTGTAGTACGGGCACTTATGACATAAACAAAATGTCGACTCTATATATCTGTATAGTGTTGAACATTGTGATTGTTAAGTGTTGATGTATTGCTTTTGTGTAAAGTGTTGACATATTGTTCATAAAGTGTTGATATATTGTCATTGTATTATGTTGACATGTTGTTTGTAAAGTGTGGATATATTGTTTGTAAAGTGTGGATATATTGTGTTTGTTATGTGTTGACAATATGTGATTGTGTTATGTTGACATATTGTGTTTGTACAGTTACGGAGCAGCAACCAGAACGAGTGGGCAACTATGACGAGACTTCAATACGATACAAAGGGAAACACATTCCTTCCCCCTCCTTCCGTGTACTTAAATCATGGGCTGAGCTCGACACACAAGTAGAACGTAAGTATACTCACGCGAGGGTGGGGGTGGTGGAAGGGTGAGGTATTGACCTTGAAGCTGAAATGTATTTTTTACAAGTGAAGATTTCTACCATGTGTTTTTTTAAAATATAGGAAGTTTCAAATTTAAATAGCATGCCTCTGATTAAAATTACCGATTTGGAGGGCGCATGACCACGGGAGTTAACCATGACAGGAAAGTGATCTCTTTTAGAACCGTTAATATCAGTTTACGTCCAAAAAACATTCTTTAACATCACCGTTGTCAACGTTTCAGAAATGCCTGTGAGGTCGGCCAAGAAGGAAGAGGATGAGGATGATGGTCTTCCAGAGACGCTCAACCCAGATGAAATCAGGGATGTACGTTATAAGGGGGGTCACATTCCCTCCCGCGTCTTCAAGTCCTTGCAGAGGGCAGTAGGGGACGATACTCCCGAAAACCCTAATGGTAAGTTGTTATAATCACGTCACTACAATTAGTGTTGACCCGTGATGATCCGGGTGAGAATAGGTCTTCAGCAAACTATGTTTGTCATAAGAGGCGACTAACGGGAACAGCTGACTTGGTTGATGCATGTCATCGATCTCAATTGCGTTGATCCTTGTTCATGATGTCAATCACTGGAATGTCTGGTCCGGACTCCATTATTTAAAGACCGCCGTCATATAGCTGGAATATTGCTGAGTGCAGCGTTAAACAACAAACAATCAATTTGTGTTCGGATGGATGAACAGTCTGGAAGAAGCCCGCGCTACTGAATCATTCGGTTTGAGGATAAACGTTATTTAGTGAGGCAGATCGTATAATTGTAAGGATTCAGGATTGAGAACCATGGTAGTGCTTTGGTAACCTGTGTGCTTCACGGCTACATCGATTGCCACGTGACCATCCGCCAGTTTGCCTGACCCAAGACTGAACACAGATCCTAGTGTTATTGGGAACGTGTTGACTCCCTCCCTCCCTGTCTGCAGTAGCATCAGGACAAGGTGGTGTCTTGGGGTATGATATTTCGAGAGTGCATGAATGTTGTTTGACACCGACAGACTAACTAGTGGTTGATAGTTGGAACAACGTCCCACTCGTTTGGGCACGATGACACACAATTCATAAGGTGCATTTATGTCGCCTTCGTCTACAAGCAACAAAGCGAGTTGATGCTGTAGTCAATATTCTTTAATGTATACCTGTTCCACAGATCCTCCCCTCCAGAACAACCACAGCCAGAGTCAGAGCCAAGGGTCCTCCAGGCCTAAGATCAAGATTATCACCCAGCCTGCCCCAGCCGTCAGTGGGGCCACCGACTTCTAGAAATATCCAACAGGAGAAGTGATCTTACAGCATCCTGGTCGCCATCTTGGATCCATTTCAGATGGACATCATAAAGGACAAACTATCGTCACACATTTCACCACGTCGAAATGGTCCTGCGATAGTGAATTGCAAGACCAGTTGTGACCGCTGGTGACCATTCGTCCATCATCACGGTGTTCTGGATGTACAGCAATGGATGTTCAGGACAATGCGAATATCCTTCACCATTGGTGCTTCTGTCATTGCCATTGATGCTGTGCAGCTGGCGGTTTACCATTCTTGGCGCTAGAGAATGGGACCGGCATGACGACATGATATTCTGCTGATGGTGCTGCTGCCTTGGATTATGCCGACGCCAATAGTTGATGTCATTGGGTGCTTCCTCCTCGATCTCTGGTTATGTTTTCATGACTCACATTAACCAGTTTCGATTGGTATACTTTAATAAGTCTTCACAGAAGTAATTCTTAGAAGTCACACCATACCAACACAAGTCCAAAACAGTATTAACGGGAGCTGGCATAATCAGAGACACCGATGTGTGCAATGTATTGGTTCGTATATCAACCTTAGGCTAGACAAGGAACTTTATTAGGAGTGCTTGCGGCACTTTGGGGCCTGGTTTGGCCTCATTGTATTGTCATCGAGAAAACAGTACACTTGTATTAGACCGACAGAGTCTAGCTGTCGGGGAGACGCGATAGAAATAGGCTTGTAAGGATGTTTGTGTAAGGGGAGGTAACTCTTCGTGATTCTGCTGAAAGTGTTGGATGACATGAGCGTTAGAAACAGATGGGGTTTGTACATATTCAGAGTGTTAATGATTGAACTAACCCTGATTTCGCCAGCGTTTGTGTGTTACCACATAGCAATAATTAAAACTATCAATCATCATTTCGCCACGTGGACAAATCTAGTTAAATGAAATTATATTTCGTTTGATTTGAAGTGAACCGCAAGATGCACTTTAGAAAAAAGCATTCAGTGCATCAACATGGTGATAGTCTCGCTAGTGACATTTCGAAACGTCAGTGAATACGAATTATATCATTTGTGGATATGCAAGAATTAGTGTGCAGTGCAGTAATTTACACACTTAGTCCTTCAATAGCTGTTCTAGTTTGTGAAGCTGTTGATCTTTGTACGTGTATATATGTACGTTGTTTGTGACACAATGTCGAAGGCTGTCACATTGCCATTCAACAAATTGTTTAATAGTATCTCCGACTTCCTCTTCGCGAACCGAAATGAGAAACTGTAAAATGAGCAATGTCTATACTTTTATGTTTACCAGTACAAACAGAATTTATATTATCTTGTGTTCGTAACTTCAGTTTAAGACAAGCATTATTCGTCAATGAGAAACATATAGTGTTCAAGTATACTATTATAGATATGAAAGCCATCACTGGAACCCTGGATAGGGCGTACCTGTCCATTGTGCGTGTTTTCGTCGAAACAATACCCTTTATCGATTGGTATGTAACGGTACCCTTTATCGATTGGTATGTACTTATATAGTGTATAGCATATATATCGCGTTCTGCCTATCAAAACCATTTTTTGTTACATTATACATTTACCAAGCAATGACTGTGAAACTGTCTCTACTTGTCACTAATAATCCATACGCTCTAACTGTGATTGTTTACGCAAGTCTGTGTCTCTTGTACAAACCTTTGTATTCAGTTGTATCGTTTGCTGTGCCATATATTCACGTAATCAACTCGTGTACATAAGGATTTTGTACCTGTTGAACAGCGGCTAGGAATGAACAACGATAATTTAACATACACGTACGGTGGAAATCTGGATCAAATTTTCATTCTTCCGTAAAGTAGACAAATCAGGAAACGATGTTTCTTGGTATATTATATCACAGCCTTGAAGCATATTCCTATGAAAACCCCTTTCGTTGCATTATTTGGACCCAACTGAAATATAGTGCTTGAGAAAGTATGTAATCTTGGAAATACTTACACATTATCCATAATACGGGCAACTGCAATCAATACCTTAGCTGCCATAGACTGTATAAATGCATTCAATTAATCTACGCTTACATGAAGCATGCCCTAAGAGATTAGTTCAGGTTAACTTATTTTGTTGTGTTTGGGCGCCCTGCTCCCGTGCAGGGAATGTTACGCAATCAGTGTGACCGACTATCCCTGCTTTGTGTTCTAACGGGGAATAAAGAACGAAAATTTCTGATTCTTGTTGTGATTTCTTCGGTATGACTACAGCGTGCGAAAGAAGCGCCTGTCCTTAGGACCGTGGCAGGTAGTTCTCGTGACGGACCCGTAGTTTCAAACTTGTATGGGTCATTATGTCCTGCAGTAAATTTCATCTCGATGTATTTATCACAAATAAATGAGGGCCTGAAGAGTTTAATTATGGCCTGCAGCTTCTAAAGTCTGTGAGCCCTGATGGCAGCCTGGCATATTTCATATTTCAAAGACTCACTCTATGACTATCTTAACCTCCCGTGAAGATCCAGGTTAGAATTGATCTTCAGCAACCCCATCTTCCAAAGGCAAGACTCCAGCTATATGATGGCGGTCTGTATTTAATCGAGTCTGGACGAGACAACCCAGTGATTGATATCATGAGCATCGATCCACGCAATTGGGATTGATGACATGCATCAACCAAGTCAGCGAGCCTGACCACCCGATCCCGTTAGTCGCCTCTTACGAATTGTGTGATTGGCGGGTGCTGCATGTGCAGGACATGCTTATCCTTTTCGCGAACACCCGGTGTCATGACTGCTTTCCATTCACATCACTTTCACAGCTATTTTGCTCTTTACGACAGATGGAATCGAATAAAAATGTTTAAATCACAAATCAGGTATCTTTAGTTATTCCATGTCAGAGAGCCCCACCCCAACCCCCACCCCCACCACCCCACCCCCGCCCATACCCACTATTTTCGGAAGGATCCACCAAGATTAGGCTCGGGGAGCTGGGCCCGTGACGCCATGGGTCGCTATTCGTGTCGTCTATACCCTGACGCACAGTCCAGGCCATCATGAAATGTTTGTTTTGTTTGTTTGCTTGTTTGTTGTCTAACACCGCACTTAGCAATATGCCAGGTATATGACGGCAGTCTGTAACTAATCGAGTCTGTACCAGACAATCCAGTGATTGATATCATGAGCATCGATCCACGCAATTGGGATTGATGACAAGCATCAACCAAGTCAGCGAGCCTGACTACCCGATCCCGTTAGTCGCCTCTTACGACAAACATAGTCGCCTTTTACGGCAAGCATGGTTTGCTGAAGACCTTTTCTACACAGATCTTCACGGGTCGCGTTAGTTTTAACAGAACAGCATATATGGATGCATACAAACACATACCACCCTCAGCTTTTGACATGGAAAAGATCTCACCAGTTAATGTGAAATCCCAATTATACGTCCTGTCATCATAAAGGTCTTCTGCGTTATCCGTTCTGTCCAGAAGAACAGCAATGAAGGAAGATTTGCCTCATGGCCAGTCGTCACATGCAGAACATGAACTCTACGTGCACAGTGTCACACTCCCCTATGCAATAGAAATAGATTCTCCCGTTGCATGCGGTAACAGACCCAAAAAGTTTCATTTGTTTGCTTAACCACAACCCAATGGAGGGGTATGCCCATAATTGTGTAACAATCCTGCCAACTTGGTCGTTCCCTCACTCTTCCATAAGAGAAAAACCAGACACATACTTTTCATTATGTATTCGAAGAGTGTCCACTTGATACGGATTCCCTCACAACTTATTGCACTTGAAAAACAGGTTACCAGATTGCAGCAGTGTTGCTTTGCAAATTTTACAAACCAGTAATAGCTTTAGCCACTATATATGTGAGCACACAATACTGACCCTGTCTGTTACGGCAGATGTAGGGTAACCGGACTGTTTGTGGGAAGGTATTGTTCAAGATTATTGCACTTATATAGCAACATGCATGCACCAGTGTGTGGCTGCATGTACTAGTCCAGTTTTATGCCGGTTTTATAGAGCTAGTCCACTGAGATACCATGCCACAATTTAACATGGATACCCCACTCAGACAAAGTATACTGACTACTGACTCCTAGCTTACCATGGCTTGTTTTATCTGTCAATGCCATGCGCCAGGCAGTGCAACAACAAGTAGCGTCATTTCATGTCACTTGGTATGTCTTAGGATCAAACTACGGACTTTCCTCTCTCTGTCAGGCTCTCTATCCACTACACCAGGGTGCAATCTCATTGTATCCAACAGAATGTTACTAGAAGGCCACATAATCCACAAGGACCTGATATCCTACATAGCAATTGACCCGTGAATTTCTGGGGTAGAATAGGTCTTCAGCAACCCATATTTGCTGTAAAAAGGCGACTATGCTTGTCGTAAAAAGGCGACTAACGTGATCGGGTGGTCAAGCTCACTGACTTGGCTGATGCATGTCATAAATCCCAATTGCGTGGATCGATGCTCATGATATCAATCACAAGATTGTCTGGTCCAGACTCGATTATTTGCAGACCGCCGTCATATAGCTCGAATATTGCCGAGTGTGGAATTAAACAATAAACAAACAAACAAACAAACAAACAAACATGGCAATTAACTAAAGAGTAAAACAAGATCCAAATTCTGTATAAAACATGCATTTTATTTCCACTCCATACAAATTCCTCCTTCAAACATATCCATTACCGACACATTTCAGATTACACAAAACAGCTTTGAAAACACAGACGCAAAAATGAACTGTACTTGTTTCCTAAAATATATAAGTTCAGATAAAGTTCACTGAAAGTGGTTCTCGGAAGGTTTGCAAGTGCTGTGACTGTGGTTTCTTCAAATAGACCTGTCAAACCTCCTGATGTGGCATACCACCATCCATGTACATTCGTCACAGCTGTGTGGTTTTACTGTTCAAAAGGTTAAAAGTATAAGGTTTAGTGAATACACTGTAAATAAATGTACTTGCATTTGTCTCCTGTGTGTAGTAAAAAAACACATTTGCCTATTCTTCCTGTTGAAGAAGGCTCAGACTGCGTACATGGTTGAGTTTTCAGAATAATATGCATATACATGGTTGAGTTTTCTGAATAATATGAATAAGAGTTCATACACATGACATAACATAGACTTTGTCAACATTTACATCATTATCAGGTACTTTCTGTTACTGAGCAAAGAGTGACTGACCAGGTGGGTTTAACGCCGCTTTATGGATCAATCAGATTCAACCTCTCGTATCACTTGCTTTTGCTTCAAACAAATCGGTGGCGCCCAGTCAAGACGATCTGATCGATAATCATGATCTATATTGTGATTAAACGAGTCTTACATTGCGAAGTGCATCAAATAAGCTGAGCACCTTGATTAAAACATGAAAAGATTTAGAAAATATCTGTTGACAATCCGATGTGGCTGTCATGTTGTTGTTTTTCTTTCTTGTCTTTGTAGTTCTGTTTTCTTGTCCAGGGACGTTTCTTACGATATAATTGCCCGATCAGTTGAAGGGGGGGGGGGGGGGGGGGGGGGGGGGGGGCTCGTTTCAAAAATACAATGTACATTATGTGAGTCTTATGGTAATGAAAGTCCATGTTTCTGTCTTCTTATTGTAGTACGGGCACTTATGACATTAACAAAATGTCGACTCTATATATCTGTATAGTGTTGAACATTGTGATTGTTAAGTGTTGATGTATTGTTCGTAAAGTGTTGATATATTGTCATTGTATTATGTTGACATGTTGTTTGTAAAGTGTGGATATATTGTTTGTAAAGTGTGGATATATTGTGTTTGTTATGTGTTGACAATATGTGATTGTGTTATGTTGACATATTGTATTTGTACAGTTACGGAGCAGCAACTAGAACGAGTGGGCAACTATGACGAGACTTCAATACGATACAAAGGGAAACACATTCCTTCCCCCTCCTTCCGTGTACTTAAATCATGGGCTGAGCTCGACACACAAGTAGAACGTAAGTATACTCACGCGAGGGTGGAGGTGTTGACCTTGAAGCTGAAATGTTTTATTTACAAGTGAAGATTTCTACCATGTGTTTTTGAAAATATAGGAAGTTTCAAATTTAAATAGCATGCCTCTGATTAAAATAGACGAATTTGAGGGCGCATGACCACGGGAGTTAACCACGACAGGAAAGTGATCTCTTTTAGAACCGTTAATATCAGTTTACGTCCAAAAAACATTCTTTAACATCACCGTTGTCAATGTTTCAGAAATGCCTGTGAGGTCGGCCAAGAAGGAAGAGGATGAGGATGATGGTCTTCCAGAGACGCTCAACCCAGATGAAATCAGGGATGTACGTTATAAGGGGGGTCACATTCCCTCCCGCGTCTTCAAGTCCTTGCAGAGGGCAGTAGGGGACGATACTCCCGAAAACCCTAATGGTAAGTTGTTATAATCACGTCACTACAATTAGTGTTGACCCGTGAAGATCCGGGTGAGAATAGGTCTTCAGCAAACTATGTTTGTCATAAGAGGCGACTAACGGGATCGGGTGGTCAGGCCAGCTGACTTGGTTGATGCATATCATCGATCCCAACTGCGTGGATCCTTGTTCATGATGTCAATCACTGGAATGGCTGGTCCGGACTCGGATTGTTTAAAGACCGCCGTCATATAGCTGGAATATTGCTGAGTGCAGCGTTAAACAACAAACAAACAATTTGTGTTCGGATGGATGAACAGTCTGGAAGAAGCCCGCGCTACTGAATCATTCGGTTTGAGGATAAACGTTTTTTAGTGAGGCAGATCGTATAATTGTAAGGATTCAGGAATGAGAACCATGGTAGTGCTTGGGTGAAATGTGTGCTTCACGGCTACATCGATTGCCACGTGACCATCCGCCAGTTTTCCTGACCCAAGACTGAACACAGATCCTAGTGTTATTGGGAACGTGTTGACTCCCTCCCTCCCTGTCTGCAGTAGCATCGAGACAAGATGGTGTCTTGGGGTATGATATTTCGAGAGTGCATGAATGTTGTTTGACACCGACAGACTAACTAGTGGTTGATAGTTGGAACAACGTCCCACTCGTTTGGGCACGATGACACACAATTCATAAGGTGCATTTATGTCGCCTTCGTCTACAAGCAACAAAGCGAGTTGATGCTGTAGTCAATATTCTTTAATGTATACCTGTTCCACAGATCCTCCCCTCCAGAACAACCACAGCCAGAGTCAGAGCCAAGGGTCCTCCAGGCCTAAGATCAAGATTATCACCCAGCCTGCCCCAGCCGTCAGTGGGGCCACCGACTTCTAGAAATATCCAACAGGAGAAGTGATCTTACAGCATCCTGGTCGCCATCTTGGATCCATTTCAGATGGACATCATAAAGGACATACTATCGTCACACATTTCACCACGTCGAAATGGTCCTGCGATAGTGAATTGCAAGACCAGTTGTGACCGCTGGTGACCATTCGTCCATCATCACGGTGTTCTGGATGTACAGCAATGGATGTTCAGGACAATGCGAATATCCTTCACCATTGGTGCTTCTGTCATTGCCATTGATGCTGTGCAGCTGGCGGTTTACCATTCTTGGCGCTAGAGAATGGGACCGGCATGACGACATGATATTCTGCTGATGGTGCTGCTGCCTTGGATTATGCCAACGCCAATAGTTGATGTCATTGGGTGCTTCCTCCTTGATCTCTGGTTATGTTTTCATGATTCACATTAACCAGTTTCGATTGGTATACTTTAATAAGTCTTCACAGAAGTAATTCTTAGAAGTCACACCATACCAACACAAGTCCAAAACAGTATTAACGGGAGCTGGCATAATCAGAGACACCGATGTGTGCAATGTATTGGTTCGTATATCAACCTTAGGCTAGACAAGGAACTTTATTAGGAGTGCTTGCGGCACTTTGGGGCCTGGTTTGGCCTCATTGTATTGTCATCGAGAAAACAGTACACTTGTATTAGACCGGCAGAGTCTAGCTGTCGGAGAGACGCGATAGAAATAGGCTTGTAAGGATGTTTGTGTAAGGGGAGGTAACTCTTCGTGATTCTGCTGAAAGTGTTGGATGACATGAGCGTTAGAAACAGATGGGGTTTGTACATATTCAGAGTGTTAATGATTGAACTAACCCTGATTTCGCCAGCGTTTGTGTGTTACCACATAGCAATAATTAAAACTATCAATCATCATTTCGCCACGTGGACAAATCTAGTTAAATGAAATTATATTTCGTTTGATTTGAAGTGAACCGCAAGATGCACTTTAGAAAAAAGCATTCAGTGCATCAACATGGTGATAGTCTCGCTAGTGACATTTCGAAACGTCAGTGAATACGAATTATATCATTTGTGGATATGCAAGAATTAGTGTGCAGTGCAGTAATTTACACACTTAGTCCTTCAATAGCTGTTCTAGTTTGTGAAGCTGTTGATCTTTGTACGTGTATATATGTACGTTGTTTGTGACACAATGTCGAAGGCTGTCACATTGCCATTCAACAAATTGTTTAATAGTATCTCCGACTTCCTCTTCGCGAACCGAAATGAGAAACTGTAAAATGAGCAATGTCTATACTTTTTATGTTTACCAGTACAAACAGAATTTATATTATCTTGTGTTCGTAACTTCAGTTTAATATAAGCATTATTCGTCAATGAGAAACATATAGTGTTCAAGTATACTATTATAGATATGAAAGCCATCACTGGAAGCCTGGATAGGGCGTACCTGTCCATTGTGCGTGTTTTCGTCGAAACAATACCCTTTATCGATTGGTATGTAACGGTACCCTTTATCGATTGGTATGTACTTATATAGTGTATAGCATATATATCGCGTTCTGCCTATCAAAACCATTTTTTGTTACATTATACATTTACCAAGCAATGACTGTGAAACTGTCTCTACTTGTCACTAATAATCCATACGCTCTAACTGTGATTGTTTACGCAAGTCTGTGTCTCTTGTACAAACCTTTGTATTCAGTTGTATCGTTTGCTGTGCCATATATTCACGTAATCAACTCGTGTACATAAGGATTTTGTACCTGTTGAACAGCGGCTAGGAATGAACAACGATAATTTAACATACACGTACGGTGGAAATCTGGATCAAATTTTCATTCTTCCGTAAAGTAGACAAATCAGGAAACGATGTTTCTTGGTGTATTATATCACAGCCTTGAAGCATATTCCTATGAAAACCCCTTTCGTTGCATTATTTGGACCCAACTGAAATATAGTGCTTGAGAAAGTATGTAATCTTGGAAATACTTACACATTATCCATAATACGGGCAACTGCAATCAATACCTTAGCTGCCGTAGACTGTATAAATGCATTCAATTAATCTACGCTTACATGAAGCATGCCCTAAGAGATTAGTTCAGGTTAACTTATTTTGTTGTGTTTGGGCGCCCTGCTCCCGTGCAGGGAATGTTACGCAATCAGTGTGACCGACTATCCCTGCTTTGTGTTCTAACGGGGAATAAAGAACGAAAATTTCTGATTCTTGTTGTGATTTCTTCGGTATGACTACAGCGTGCGAAAGAAGCGCCTGTCCTTAGGACCGTGGCAGGTAGTTCTCGTGACGGACCCGTAGTTTCAAACTTGTATGGGTCATTATGTCCTGCAGTAAATTTCATCTCGATGTATTTATCACAAATAAATGAGGACCTGAAGAGTTTAATTATGGCCTGCAGCTTCTAAAGTCTGTGAGCCCTGATGGCAGCCTGGCATATTTCATATTTCAAAGACTCACTCTATGACTATCTTAACCTCCCGTGAAGATCCAGGTTAGAATTGATCTTCAGCAACCCCATCTTCCAAAGGCAAGACTGTCCGCTCGCCTGTATCAAAGTCTAGTTTTCACAACTAGACTTTGATGAAGGCTCGTTGACACTCTTGTCTCGGAAACATGCAGCAAACCATGCGTGTCGTATAGGCGACCGACGGTATCGGGTGGGCAGATTCGTTGACTTGGTTGATGCATGTCAACGTATCCCAATTGTGTAGTTCGATGCCCATGATGTCAAACACTGGAATGTCTAGTCCAGATTCGATTGTTTACAGACCGCCGCCAAACAGCTGGCATATTGCTGAGTGCGGTGTTAAACAACAAACAAACTTTCTTATCCATTTTTTGATAGTCATTACTTAGAAGTTGTCGGATGACAAAGTAGACACAATTTATGGATAACAACTTCTTTAATACTGTAATACAGTCTTGCTTGCCAACGGTGTAAGGATCTATAACGAAACGTCGCCTTAACAGTATTAAAGAAGTTGTTATCCATAAATTGTGTCTACTTTAGCTTGTCCAATTGAGTCCGCAGAACGGTTCATTCGTCCAATGCTTGCAATTGTCTGTCTGGGTTGTGAACACACTTTGTGAGTCTGGATAAGTGGATCTCTACCATTTCGTGAGTGAATGATTTTGTGTTTTATGCCGACTTGAATGGTCTATCAGTTGTAACACGGAGTGTCAGTTTATTGGTCGAGGAAAGCAGAAATGACACAGTTCTTACATTTCATCACTTTGCTCAAATCAACGAGCACGTATATCACATTAACACCTAAAGATTCTGCCTATAAGATTTGTCTCAGACCAGCGGATCCTGGCGCAGCTGTGGGATACTACTCTTCATAGCCACGAACCGCTGACTGAACTTGATCAACTAATCACCGAGTGAGTTAGTTTTATTGATTGATTGTTTGTTGTTTAACGCCGCACTCAGCAATATTCCAGCTATATGATGGCGGTCTGTATTTAATCGAGTCTGGACCAGACAACCCAGTGACTGATATCATGAGCATCGATCCACGCAATTGGGATTGATGACATGCATCAACCAAGTCAGCGAGCCTGACCACCCGATCCCGTTAGTCGCCTCTTTCGAATTGTGTGATTGGCGGGTGCTGCATGTGTAGGACATGCTTATCCTTTTCGCGAACACCCGGTGTCATGACTGCTTTCCATTCACATCACTTTCACAGCTATTTTGCTCTTTACGACAGATGGAATCGAATAAAAATGTTTAAATCACAAATCAGGTATCTTAAGTTACTCCATGTCAGAAAGCCCCACCCCCACCCCCACCCCCGCCCATACCCACTATTTTCGGAAGGACCCACCAAGATTAGGCTCGGGGAGCTGGGCCCGTGACGCCATGGGTCGCTATTCGTGTCGTCTATACCCTGACGCACAGTCCAGGCCATCATGAAATGTTTGTTTTGTTTGTTTGCTTGTTTGTTGTCTAACACCGCACTTAGCAATATGCCAGGTATATGACGGCAGTCTGTAACTAATCGAGTCTGTTCCAGACAACCCAGTGATTGATATCATGAGCATCGATCCACGCAATTGGGATTGATGACAAGCATCAACCAAGTCAGCGAGCCTGACTACCCGATCCCGTTAGTCGCCTCTTACGACAAACATAGTCGCCTTTTACGGCAAGCATGGTTTGCTGAAGACCTTTTCTACACAGATCTTCACGGGTCGCGTTAGTTTTAACAGAACAGCATATATGGATGCATACAAACACATACCACCCTCAGCTTTTGACATGGAAAAGATCTCACCAGTTAATGTAAAATCACAATTATACTTCCTGTCATCATAAAGGTCTTCTGCGTTATCCGTTCTGTCCAGAAGAACAGCAATGAAGGAAGATTTGCCTCATGGCCAGTCGTCACATGCAGAACATGAACTCAACGTGCACAGTGTCACACTCCCCTATGCAATAGAAATAGATTCTCCCGTTGCATGCGGTAACAGACCCAAAAAGTTTCATTTGTTTGCTTAACCACAACCCAATGGAGGGGTATGCCCATAATTGTGTAACAATCCTGCCAACTTGGTCGTTCCCTCACTCTTCCATAAGAGAAAAACCAGACACATACTTTTCATTATGTATTCGAAGAGTGTCCACTTGATACGGATTCCCTCACAACTTATTGCACTTGAAAAACAGGTTACCAGATTGCAGCTGTGTTGCTATGCAAATTTTACAAACCAGTAATAGTTTTAGCCACTATATTTGTGAGCACACAATGCTGACCCTGTCTGTTACGGCAGATGTAGGGTAACCGGACTGTTTGTGGGAAGGTATTGTTCAAGTTTATTGCACTTATATAGCAACATGCATGCACCAGTGTATGGCTGCATGTACTAGTCCGGTTTTATAGAGCTAGTCCACTGAGATACCATGCCGCAATTTAACATGGATACCCCACTCAGACAAAGTATACTGACTACTGACTCCTAGCTTACCATGGCTTGTTTCATCTGTCAATGCCATGTGCCAGGCAGTGCAACAACAAGTAGCATCATTTCATGTCATTTGGTATGTCTCTTGGGATCAAACTACGGACTTTCCTCTCTCTGTCAGGCTCTCTATCCACTACACCAAGGTGCAATCTCATTGTATCCAACAGAATGTTACTAGAAGGCCACATAATGCACAAGGACCTGAGATCCTACATAGCAATTGACCCGTGAATTTCCAGGGTAGAATAGGTCTTCAGCAACCCATATTTGCTGTAAAAGGCTACTATGCTTGTCGTAAAAAGGCGACTAACGTGATTGGATGGTCAAGTTCACTGACTTGGTTGATGCACGTCATCAATCCCATCTGCGTGGATCAATGCTCATGATATCAATCACTGGATTGTCTGGTCCAGACTCGATTATTTACAGACCGCCGTCATATAGCTCGAATATTGCCGAGTGTGGCATTAAACAATAAACAAACAAACAAACAAACAAACAAACATGGCAATTAACTTAAGAGCAAAACAAGATCCAAATTCTGTATAAAACATGCATTTTATTTCCACTCCATACAAATTCTTCCTTCAAACATATCCATTACCAACACATTTCAGATTACACAAAACAGCTTTGAAAACACAGACGCAAAAATGAACTGTACTTGTTTCCTAAAATATATAAGTTCAGATAAAGTTCACTGAAAGTGGTTCTCGGAAGGTTTGCAAGTGCTGTGACTGTGGTTTCTTCAAATAGACCTGTCAAACCTCCTGATGTGGCATACCACCATCCATGTACATTCGTCACAGCTGTGTGGTTTTACTGTTCAAAAGGTTAAAGGTATAAGGTTTAGAGAATACACTGTCAATAAATGTACTTGCATTCGTCTTCGGTGTGTGGGAAAAAACTCATTTGCCTATTCTTCCTGTTGAAGAAGGCTCAGACTGAGTTTTCAGAATAATATGCATAAGAGTTCATACACATGACATAGCATAGACTTTGTCAACATTTACATCATTATCAGGTACTTTCTCTTAATAAGCAAAGAGTGAGTGAGTGAGTTGGGTTTAACAGTATTCCAGTTATATCACGGTGTGTCAGCTTAATGTGGGAGGAAAGCCCGAAGTGCATCTTCCTGAGGCAAGAGCGTTAAATGACTTTAAATGTCCAGTTTCCACCCTTGCCGAACTAGGCTGGAATTCCTGGGCCCGATCGTAGCGCCACCAGTGGCTATTACGAGTTATGTCCATTCTATGCCTCTCCCATATGGACCAATCAGATTTCACCTCTCGTATCACATGCATAAATTTACTTCAAACAAAGTGGTGGCGCCCAGTCAAGACAATCTGATCGACCATCAAGATCTATTTTGTGATAAAACAGTTCTTACTGTCTAGTGTCTAGTGAATTGTTCCCCACTGATGTAGCTGGGCAACACAGACAAACGCGATGATTGCATCCAACAGTGAGATAGATATTACAATCGGTATTGTGAGAAAAGGTACAGATAATCAAAGTAAAAATTGTGAGAATATCTGGGAAATTCCAAAATTACCCCCCCCCCCCCCCGATCACGATCATAAAATGAAATTGTTCTACACTGCCGAGATTGGATTGAATTCATGGAGTCATCATTATTGAATTACAGGTAAATATCTTTGAAGGATGAACGTTTTATTAACATCCTTAAAGAAAGAAAAAAACAATGAGTGGTCGTTGTTTACCGTACAATAAAACATTGCAGGGAGAATAAACCATGAAAAACAACTCCCACTCGTCGTTTATTTCTTAAATCAATGTGGCACAATTATCCAAGTACCAATGGTAAAACACTGATAGAAAGTTAACATATAAATAATTATCATCTATGTTGTGCTTCAATATCAATAATAGACAGTAAACATATCAGTATCCAATACTAATGCATTGGCGGTGCAAATACTGTGTTAGTATCACAATAGTGTTTACCATTGCAATAGTAAAAGCCCTGATAGTGCCCCTATTGTAAAGGAGTTACCACTGCTATCACACTCACACAATATATACAGGGAGGACACACAGCACATACACTAGACCACCTGAGATGTAACTATGAAGATGTATTTACAATACAAGACATGCGCCACCAAGGCTGACAGATTTAACAGTACATCTGAGCATACCATTCCATATCATATACTTGACAAACAGGTTCTTGCTGGCCCAATCAACATTTAGCAAACCACAGTAACTACTTCAAATATTCTTTGATCGACTTCACTGAATTCTGACTACGTATATGTTGGAAATTTGTTTTACAGCACACTATAACCCCAATTATTGTAATTATATATATCTTGGAAAATAATGGCTTTTTGTTCACATCTTCAATGCCCCTTCTGGAACGTCATATTAACATTACCACCAGCAATATTAGCTATCAAAGTGATATGTATACAACAACTGTGTGATAACCTAGAATGACGTCCCTGTCTAGTCCCTGTGTGCGTGACATCAATCAATCCATCAATCCATCAATCCATCAATCCAGCTATCTGTAGTGTGCATTGATGGCTCTGGCAATAACTAGCCTCCTGATCTCACTAGTCCCGGCACCGATCTCGTACAGCTTGGCATCCCGCAGTAGACGCCCCGTGGGGTAGTCGTTGATGTAACCATTACCACCTGAAATAATCAAGTTGGTATGCAGTAGAAGTAGTGAGTGAGTTGGGTTGGAAGCCGTTTTGAACAATATTTCAGTTATATCATCACATAGCTGCTTGATGTGGGAGGAAAGCCTGAAGCGATGCAGGTTTTTAACATTTACCTATTTGATGAAACCCACAAGCACAGGTATGGTGCTGAAAAACCTAGGATCATAATCAGAGCAAATCTGGGAAAAGACATAAGAGTGAGAGGAGTTGGGGCAATATTCAAGCAAAATCAGGGAGGTGGCCACTAGTGAACAACAAAGGGACACAACTCAGCACAGTATATTACTACTGTACACAACAGATAATGCTGGTAGAAGTGCTAGGCTAGTGAGATGAATTTATCAAACTTTTGTTATTCAAAGGGAGAACCACCAAGAGTGGACTTTACAAATAACAAAGTTGAGGAATTAGGTGAACAAGTGATCATGGTTTGTATACTATATTTACAGTATTGTAACAATATCATGGTGCGGAAACCAGAACTTGGCTTCACACATTGTACCTATTTGAGGAACTGACCCAATGCCTTCAAGCAGGAACTGAGGAATTTAAGCAGAGGTTTGCACATGAGAAACATGTAATAAGATGAATTACACAAGTTCCCAATCTCATTAAAATCAGATCCTAGTTCTTGCAACCGCTAAACAAAGATCTGAGGACATCCCATTACTGGTCACGTCAGACCGACCTTGCACGAACTTTGACCGACCAATGGAATGACCAATCCGAAGGCAGCTTTCTCGTGCTTTACGGCACTAATTTCAAATTGGCGACTACGCTTCGTAACATATTTTTACAAATTCTCGATTACGAATTTGAAACCTGAACAAAGAACATTCTGGAATGGCTAACAGATGGCCTAGATTGTATGGATTCAGTCGTTAAAACTATAACTATCTTTCGGAATACCCCACGTTAAAGTTTTCGAGGTTGCATGATTAAAAATTACATTCCGACTGTCACTTTCATAATCTGGTAAGCGACACACTGATTGGTCGGTTGAAAGGTCGTTCTGACGTGACCCCAAATGGGATGTCTTCAGATCTTCGTTTAGGAGTAGCGAGAACTAAGGTCTGATTTTAATGAGGTTGCACAAGTCCTCAAATAATCTAAACTACAGCTATCAAGGGTAACCTGAAACTTAAACAACCTGATTTGGATCACCATATACGACTAGGGTGAGTTTATTTACCGAGGACAATGTTAGATGACCAATCTGGCCACAGTTATCTCCCCTGAACGATGTAAGCACATACCCAAGATCTGTATGGCGTCCAGGGCCATCTTGGTGGCCGCCTCGGCAGTGTAGAGGATCACGCCGGCACAATCCTGTCACACAGAGTCATGCATACAATGAATACAGTTATCTTTTGTGCAGTAACCACTGGAGATTAATACAATTACTCAAAGACAGAACAGGTTTCAAACAATTCCCGAATGAACACATCTCCACAAATACACAATTTCACGGACTACTCCCTATTTCCTGTGCAGATAGATAAACAAAGGCTTGTTGCAAATTTATTAACTTTTCAGATGAGTTGTATCATTATATCACGCTATGAATGTCACATAACAAATTTACTGTTTCAGTGTTGAAAAACATTAACAAGTTATAGAACATTTATACTCAAGTCCCATGAAAAGAAGCACCAGGTGTCGTCATACTCCTCAAACTTACATTAGGGTGTCTCTCTCCTCTATCTAGTGCCCTGGCTACATTGTAGACATATGACCGGCTGGCATTCAAGATCGTGTACATGTCAGCCATCTTGGCTTGAATCATCTATGGATTAAAGATTGCAAAGTTCAAATACCATAAATACATGAGCCCTTGTTACGGATATCAATGATATAATGACACTACAGGGCTACTTGTTGCCCCATCATACTTATTATGTCTTACAATGAAAACTGTGTTTACGTAAGACATGACATACAGGTGAAGAGTTGTGCTCCTCAGACTTTCATAATGAGTGAGTGAGTATGGTTTTATGCCGTATTCCAGCAATATCACAGCGGGGGACACCAGAAATGGGCTTCACACATTGTACCCATGTCGGGAATCGAACCCAGGTCTTCGGCGTGACGAGCGAACGCTTTAACCAATAGCCTACCCGACCGCCCCACTTTCATAATGAGGACCAGTGAGGATAAAGATGCAATCGGTTCACAAATACTACCCCCGATCTTCACAGTTGTGCAACATGTAATGCAGGATAGAGTTCAAAATATGCATAGACCTTTGGACCCAACAACGTTAAACAATGTGGTTCCATTTTTTAAAAGCAGACAAGAAGCCAAGAATTCTTTGAAACAAACGGTCAGTCCAACATAATGCTAGGCCCACTTGCTGTTTACTGCCCAATTGCTACTGTGAGAGGAACCCATGATTCAATTGTGGTACTTGTCAAAATGGTGCTTGATCATCACATGCATAGTTTGTACTCAAAGTGCTGTAAAACTGTACTGCTGTTTATTATCAGACATGAGGGCAAGGAGCTTTACCATGTTTCTAACAGAGTCAATCAAACAGCTTGGAAGCTTTGAAATAAGGGCCTAACACCGATACTTCATGCAATCTTACATCGAAGAAACTGTGGGCCCAACTGTTGCACTTAGTTGATGATTTTTCCATCATAATTGATAAGCGTGAGTCCACACCACGATGCTCTATAATGAACACTGATGTCTAGCTGATTAGGAACAGCTGTTCTATAATGAGACTTTCTGAAACAGTCATCTCACCTGGAAGTGGCCAATTTTGGAACCAAAACATTCTCGAACATGTGCATATTGGAATGCCACATCACAGCATGCCTGCATGATTCTGAAACAACATCAAACTACAACATAAGCATGATAAGGGTACTTGGGTCCTTTTTTGCAAAAATTTTGATCTACGGACCCCTGGATCTTAAAAATTAAAATTAGGGTTATGAGTAGGACCCCTTAACTTACATTCTAAATTTCAATTACATGTAACATGTGTAAGATACTAATAATTACAGGTTAAGTAACTCGGAACTATTTTGCATTTTAGATGGTGTTTGTGCATAAAAAAACATTTAAAATATACAAAACATTAACAAAAGGTTAAAAATAACAGGGAGAAGAGACCCAATTATCGATATTCAATACAATTATATTTTACACATGTGCATCAGGGAATCACAAGACACAAAGTATCATAAGCCCTGGAAATGCCTTTTTTTAAAAGCTAATCCGGGTGACTAGTGCAAAATGTAAAACTCTAGTCCTCAGAGTCCTGTAAGACTGAGTTGTAGGAAGATCAATGCATGGAGAATTGGCAAAAGGTTTCAGAAATCAAATTTTACTGGTCATCATTGGACTTTTAATTGTCCTCGACAGAATTTTGTAGTCTTGGGCTGGCAAACTAGCATGAATTATGGAATCATGATGTTTCTGTTGGAAATAATGACTGTTATCATTTGTATGCAAAACGTAACATTCAAAGTATTGTGAGTCAGCACTTGTACCTGTATACTGCTCAACTATAAACAGGTATATTCCTTTACACAATGACACATAACTGATTACATCTGATCTTACTGGCCCAGAAAGCTTTCCATATCTTGGTATCCCTATCAAATATTGAGCAGGATATGTTTCATATGAGCAAAATCTGTAGTGTCTTGTGTCAGAGCAACTGGGTAAGATGTGGAAAGAAGTGAGACAGAGGGATTGAAACTAACCAGAACACTATGCTGGAAACAGGGCAAATTGAAATCAAATATTTCATTTCATTTGACAAAATATATTCACTTTTTCGGAAAATTTTATTTTCCTTTGGCACTTTATTAACCAAGGAAAAAATAGCATCTGTTTGTCAGATTCATAAACACAACTGTACTAGGGTGTCAGACAACAGCAATTTTCAACCCTGGAGAGCAGACAGTGGACAGCGGACAGCAGACGGCTACTTACCCTAGAGGCCCTGCAGACAGGACACATCGCTCTATGTCCAGACCGCTGAACAGGACGTAAACGCCTCGGTCCTTCTGCCCCAGCATATTGTCCTCTAGTAGTTACATAGCAGGAAACAGAGGACAGACTGTCAAGCATATGCTGATGTATGTGCATGGGAGCTGCTGGTGGTGACCACACCTCTGTAGGAATGACTACAGTGAAACCCTCTACCAGTCTGCAACTGTTGTGTCCCCAGTGAAACCCTCTACCTGTCTACTGTTCTATCCTCTGTGAAACCCTCTACCAGTCTACTGTTCTATCCCCAGTGAAACCCTTTACCAGTCTACTGTTCTATCCTCAGTGAAACCCTCTACCAGTCTACTGTTCTATCCCCAGTGAAGCCCTCTACCAGTCTACTGTTCTATCACCAGTGAAACCCTCTACCAGTCTACTGTTCTATCCCCTGTGAAACCCTCTACCTGTCTACTGTTCTATCCCCAGTGAAACCCTCTACCAGTCTACTGTTCTATCACCAGTGAAACCCTCTACCAGTCTACTGTTCTATCCCCAGTGAAACCCTCTACCAGTCTACTGTTCTATCCCCAGTGAAACCCTCTACCAGTCTACTGTTCTATCCCCAGTGAAACCCTCTACCAGTCTACTGTTCTATCCCCAGTGAAACCCTCTACCAGTCTACTGTTCTATCCCCAGTGAAGCCCTCTACCAGTCTACTGTTCTATCCCCAGTGAAACCCTCTACCAGTCTACTGTTCTATCCCCAGTGAAACCCTCTACCAGTCTACTGTTCTATCCCCAGTGAAGCCCTCTACCAGTCTACTGTTCTATCCCCAGTGAAACCCTCTACCAGTATACTGTTCTATCCCCAGTGAAACCCTCTACCAGTCTGCTGTTCTATCCCCAGTGAAACCCTCTACCAGTCTACTGTTCTATCCCCAGTGAAACCCTCTACCAGTCTACTGTTCTATCCCCAGTGAAACCCTCTACCAGTCTGCAACTGTTGTGTCCCCGGTGAAACCCTCTACCAATCTGCTGCTCTATCCCCAGTGAAACCCTCTACCAGTCTACTGTTCTATCCCCAGTGAAACCCTCTACCAGTCTGCAACTGTTGTGTCCCCGGTGAAACCCTCTACCAGTCTGCTGTTCTATCCCCAGTGAAACCCTCTACCAGTCTACTGTTCTATCCCCAGTGAAACCCTCTACCAGTCTGCAACTGTTCTATCCCCAGTGAAACCATTTCCATCTGGACGTACCGGTCCTATTCTCAGCGAGAGCACAGAGATCAGGCCAGGACTGTTCTATTCTTATTTAAAACCCTTTACATTTGGACTGTACTATTACCAGCAAAACCCTTTACTATTCCCAGTGAAATCTGAATGAAAGTACTTTGGCATTAACTAATTTCAAGATGAACAAATCATTGCTATGGAGCCTTGTTATTTGATCGTATGTTGACATTCCTCCCAGAAACCATCCAGAGAGTTAGCTTCCTGAACCACTGCCGTCTGGACAGACAGGGTTTCACTGTACACCAAAGATGTCAAAAGTGGTCACCACGGTTAGACAATGTAAGACAATACAAACACAAGCAAGTCTTCACAAAGTGGATAATAAGTGTTCACCAACCAGTATTTCAGAAAACGTGTTTAGATATGCCTCATGAAACAGAAGAAATATATGACAATGTACATTACTGAGATCAAGTTTTGGTGATATCAATATTTGCTTTAACGTCTTCATGAGATGTCTCACATCCAAGGGAACTGTCATCCACGTTTGTGAAGAGTCAACCAGTGCTTGTACAACATGGTGTCCCAAACAGCTGAATATGTCCTGGCAGAACTCAAATAATAACATATTCATGGAAATGACAATCAGTGTCTTGTCGAACGGCCTTGACATTGAGTGATCTGGTATCCTGAACTATAACCCCACGACATCCCACCTCACCTCCCTTAGCAAGATGATTACCCCAAGCACCCAGCCGACACAAGGCATCTCTCAATGTCAAGGCCAGACATAAGCACACAGACACCTCTGTTTTCCTTGCCAAGCAGATTTTCATCTGTTTAACCCAAACAAAAAGATTCTAAATGTTGCCTTCCCATTTCTCAATTCCTACCTACATATTCAGCTGCACAAGTTACCGTCAGAAGTGACAGAACAGGGTAACATCATTTGGTAACATGCTCACCCCACACACCCAGCTGACGCAAGACCTCGCTCAATGTCAAGGCCAGACAATAGTACATAGACACCTTTGTTTTCAGTGCCAAGCAGATTTTCCGCTGAGAACCCAAAAGACAATGATCAATCTTTATCAAACCTGTAACTCCACTGTTACTCAACAGACAAGTTTATCCCAATTCTTAAAAATGTAAGTGATTGTGAGAGTGGTGTTATTGCCATCAAGTTGGGTGAAGAAGGAAAGCATAATAGGGCTTCCCCAGCAGGTTGGGCCGTAGGCCACTTTTGAAGACATACATTTTACTTGTGATGGGTTCAAACCAGGAACATATGCAACAAAAGTAAATGCACTTACTACTGGCCTACCCACCATCAATCACAAACCAACAGACATGTTCGTCTTTACAAATGTGAGCTGAAGACAATTATTATCAAGATTATTTACAAACCAAGCTACCAAGGTTCCTATAGTCTGTGACATCATTGTTATGTGACATACTGAAATGTACTGTGTGAGTGAAGAGGGTTGTTCGCAATTTAAGCGATATTCCAGCCATGGCACGGTGGACACCAAAATGGGCCCCACATTGTATCCATGTAGGGAATAGAACCCAGTGTTGGCATAATGAGCAAACACTTTAACCACTAGGCCTCCCCACCGGAGAGATAGAACTGTCCTTAATGAATAGAAGTCGTGGCTGTATTACCTGGTACTTTGCAGTCTTCAAAGACGAGTTCAGATGTGTTGGAGCCCCGCATCCCCAGCTTGTCCAGCTTCTGAGCTGTGCTGAACCCAGGGAAGGTCTGGAAATACAAGCACATATCCTGTATTTGACAATACAAGCACATAGCCTATATTTGACAATACAAGCACATATCCTGTATATGACAATACAAGCTCATATCCTGTATTTGACAATACAAGCACATATCCTGTATTTGACAATACAAGCACATATCCTGTATTTGACAATACAAGCTCATATCCTGTATTTGACAATACAAGCACATATCCTGTATTTGACAATACAAGCACATATCCTGTTTTTGACAATACAAGCACATATCCTGTATTTGACAATACAAGCACATATCCTGTATTTGACAATACAAGCACATATCCTGTATTTGACAATACAAGCACATATCCTGTATTTGACAATACAAGCTCATATCCTGTATATGACAATACAAGCTCATATCCTGTATTTGACAATGCAAGCACATATCCTGTATTTGACAATACAAGCACATATCCTGTATACGACAATCCAAGCACATATCTGACAATACAAGCACATATCCTGTATTTGACAATACAAGCACGTATCATGATGCAGCTCTCAGACGTTTACCACTTTGGTGAATCCCACGAGCATGGGTATGGTGCTGACAAACCTAGAAACATAAGCAGGGCGAATCAGGATTCGAACCCACAATCATAGGTTTTTGGTGTTCCAAAGGGACGAACTCGGATCAGCGAATCATGGCGCCTTACACGACTGGGCAACCCGTGCCCATCCCCCGTGTAAGGAGGGAACCAGTGATGCTTTGCTTATTGCTACATGCAGCTTCCTGCCTTTCATATATTGAAATACAGAAGTCAGGGCTCCAGATAATGTTTTATCCATTGAGGATGTGCTCACCAATCGTCATTTACATTGGGCATTGAAAGTTTTCTTTGGGTATTCAATATAGTTTTACTCACTTGGGTCTAGCCAACTGGGTATGAGTACACATCTGTTCATGTGCTTCCCCAAGTGTGTCACATGCATCATAAGTAACATACATGTCTTATACAATAAGGAGGACCGAGCACTTTGTGCCTTCTTCACTATAGTAGAGTTCATGTAGATGTTTTGGTTTTGGTTTGTTGTTTAACGCCGCACTCAGCAATATTCCAGCTATATGACGGCGGTTCTGTAAATAATCGAGTCTGGACCAGACAATCCAGTGATTGACATCATGAGCATCGATCCACGCAATTGGGATCGATGACATGCATCAACCAAGTCAGTGAGCCTGACCACCCGATCCCGTTAGTCGCCTTTTACGACAACCATAGTCATCATGTAGATGTGATCAGCAAATAAAGATCTGTACAGATATATAGCATCACATGCTGAGATGGCTACATTCAGTCATAACACCGTGCTGCTTATACTATTTTAAAGTTTTCAAGCATATTTGTGTGCAAGTAAGACAAGATTAATAACACATCAGAGATGTATTTATGCAAATTTGTCAGAGCTCTGGAACTACAAGACCAACTGTCAGCTCGCTTTTCAATAATTACCTTCTCAATGAGGAAAGCACTGATTCCATGCTGGGGCTTGTCCGTGTTGGCGCTGGTCTTGGCATACACAACCAGCACATCAGCATCAGGGCCGTTCGTGATCCAGAACTTGTTACCATTCAGTACATAGTGGTCCCCTGAAATATAGCTACACAGTTCACCAGTCCATCACACAGCTGCGTTCTAGTGTTTTCAAATGTTGTGTGTTGTTGCAGTGTTTGAAATCAAGCATGAAAGTCAAGGGGGCCTTGTCATAACCCAAAAGTTAAAAGTTTAAGATTAAGAGGTCCCTAGATTCAAATACCAGAGGAGGGGACATCAAGGACCCAGGACCTCCCTTTAGTTCCACCACTGTATTGTGTCCCTATCAACTGTTGCATACACATAACATAATCTGTATAGTAAAAAAACAAGACCAATAACAAGAAATTCTAATTATATGATTTTATGGGGTTTAAACATTGATGAAATCAGTTCATTGTAAAATCAATATTCTGTCATCGTTTGTGTAAGTCCAGTTTGGACTGTAATGAACTTAGGTGAATATTAGGTGCATTACAAAACCAAATGGACCAAATCATCACACTAGATGGTCTTTCCAGAATAATTTCTTTCCAACATGTACAAATTATCATGATCATGCATGTGTGATTGAGTTTATCCCACAGTCGGCAATATTTCAGCTTTAATGCAGCAGCCTGTAAACATCGAGTCAGAGACAAACACATCAGTGGTTGATAGTGTGAGGTGAGGGCAAGTGTGAGGTGAGGGCAAATGAGAGTTAACGTTGCAGTCAGGGTTAGTTCTCTACTATAGCAATGTGCATTCACATGTAGATAGCTGCTAGTACTAATCCAGACTCATGTCAGTTGTACAGTGCAAGTCCATCGAGATGCCATACTGCCTACATTGCGGACTCTGAGCCGAATAGTCCTAGTTTTAGGCAGGTAATATCTTTGATAAGATGTGACAAGGAGGATCAAACCTCCGACCTTCCACTCTCCACGATGGCACACAATCAGTGGGGTCACATATTTAACCCACAAATTCTGATTAGTTCTAATAGGGGACTATTATCTACACAAGACAATCACTGATTCACTTTACAAAATTATATCCAACCTTTCTTTTCAGCTTTCAGTTTCATGGACACAACATCGGAGCCACTGTTTGGCTCACTCATGGCTAGAGCCCCCACATGTTCTCCACTGATCAGCTGAAATACACATCATAAAACACATTACATCTTCGATGTTACAGTGCATTATATCTCCATTATATTATGAGAAACGATCCATGTCATTGGGGTATATCTCACCACCCAAACCATTAACTCGCCTCATAGGTTCTTGGAAACCCAATCTAACCTGGAATCTCCACAGGGGTTCACAAATGAAAGTATGGCAACTACAGTATATTGCCCATCCACAGATCATCATCAATGCATCCCAGGTTTGTATACACTACGTTCCTCCATCAACGTTAATACAAATGGCCATTCTGCAATGCAGTCCCCATTTTGCATCTTCCTGAGGCAAGGGAGTTAACTGACTGTAAAAGTCCAGTTTCCACCCTTGCCAAACTAGGCTGGAATTCCGGAGTTACATTTAAGCCTCTATGCATAGTCCAACCAAAATCGCACAACGAATTAGACATCCGGTTCGTAAATAACATGGCTTTTAACATGCAGATTTCAATCTACTGCAAGATTTGCAAAGCATGTGTACCATCAACTGGGGGTCGACAGATATTTTGCAAATCTTTTCATGCTATTTATCAAGGTGCTCAAATGATCTTGCACTTCACAAGGTAAGGCCCATTTTATTACAATATAGATCTTTATTATCAAGCAGATTGTCTTGACTGGGCACAGCCATTATATTTGAAGCAAATGCAATTGATATGAGAGGTGGAATCTGATTGTCATAACTGAAGGGACATAACTCTTAATAGCCACTGGCAGCACTACAATCGAGCCATGAAATACCAGCGTAGTTCTAGAAGGGTATAAACTGGACTTTTGTAGTCAGTTAAAACCCTTGCCTCGGGAAGATGCCATTTTGTAACCCACGAATCATGCAACAACATCCTCCCAGTGAGAGGCAAACCTGCAAGTACTCAGTCCAATGAGCACTCACATTACATGGCACAAATGGCAACGTTTCTTGCCCGACATCCTGTACATGCACCAAATATTGTGGTATCTGCCCTACACATTGCTTCAGTATCAGGATTTGAAGATTGCACCCAAGGAAAGGCTCATTTAGCTAACAGACACTCATTAGCACTACATCGCATATCGGCCCAATAGAGGATGGAAGAACATAGTGTTTACATACCCATGAAGTATTGACAATAGCCACAGATATACATTGAAATAAAAGCATAATGATCTTAAACTTTCATCACCTTGGGTAAATACTTCTTCCTCTGTTCCTCATTGCCATTGCGAACTATCTGGTTGATGCAGAGGTTAGAGTGAGCCCCATAGCTGAGGGCAATGGCAGCCGATGCTCGAGACAGTTCCTCCATGACAAGACAGTGGTCCAGGTAAGACATGTCGGATCCTCCATACTCACCTGGCAGATACAGATACTGGTGTTACCGCGCATTAATCTACATTAATAACTAATCGAGGTAAACCATTATTTTGACAAAATTTGTAAATATGTTTTCAATTTCAGAAAATCAAACTTAGTATCGCTACCACTAAACAAAGATCCCATTACAGTTTACGTCAGAAAAACCTTTCATGCGACCAATCATAGCATCCCTTAGCAGATCAGAAAAGTGACAGTCTAATGTATTTTCTAATCATGCAACCTCAAAAAGGATAACATTGTGTACAACTGATTCTGTCAAAATTATCGTCTATCTCTCCCTTCAATGTGAAATACATTTGAACGAAAGAGAAGGGAAGTACTGCCATACAATCTCGACCATATACATGTATTAGACATTCCAGAATGTACTTTTGTTCACTTTCCAAATTCTTAATCAAGAACTTTGTCAAGATATTTTTCAAGAGATGTCTGACATGGAAGCCACCAGTCTGTAATTTGTGCCATCAAGCTCACGAAATCTGCTTTCTGATTGGTTACGGTCGACTTTTTGTTGGTCATTTCACTGGATGGTCAAAGTCGGAGAAAGGTCGATCTGACATGAACCGTAGAGAGATATCCTCAGATCTTTGTTTAGCCTTAGCGAGAACGAAGATCTGACTTTAATGAGATTTATGTTGTCTTATTTCACATCTTCAATGACAGTTTTGACTGAATATTTGAACATATCAAAAAGGAAATTCTAATTATCACTAAAACCTTACCATTGATTACTATTAAATTTGTGTTTGCAATGATTCATTTTAATCTCTGCTACCTTTGCTGTCAGACAGTTCAACATTTTCCCCTGGTCAGCTATAGGTCAGCCTGACTTGTCATCACCCTTGATTACCAAGGATATTACATATCCATTCTGTCATGATACATACCCTGGACCCTTTTGTCACTATTGCTTGTTTCAGAAGTGACATCACCATCTCGATCTCTCATACCACTAACTCATCACAGAATTTCTCACGTTCCTGAGTGTAATATTATGGGATGGATATTGTTAGGCTAATGTCATGTGAATCAGCTATGCTGTGAGCGGGTCCAGGTATTTATCAGGACTAATTCAAAATTGATTGCAGGACCATATCATATTGGATAACCAAATCACCCAGCTAGACATGACACACATGAACCGATAGTTTGTGCTATAATGAACTCAAATGTGCTTTCAAGCACCATCTATTTCAGGCATTAACCACATTGTGTTAACTCTCCATCAATGTCAATCATAATCAAATGCTAACACAGTGAAGTGAATGTTGTTCTATGCCAAAGTGATCAATATTCCAGGTATCACCGTGGCATTTATACATGGTAAATCAGAGCTCCAGATATGCTGCGTATCGGCGTAAAATAAACATCAGAAATGCAGAAATATGCAGTAAAATATAATCCAAGCGTATCAAATACACAACGAACATAACAGATAAGCTACAAAAATAAAACTTGTGCGTATCATTAAAATATTGTGAAGTAACCCTGAGTATTTGATTAGCAAATCAGCAACTTATTTTGAAATTATAAACGGTCATTCCGTCAACCTTGCCAAACTCCACGATGACAGTTACATCATGATCATTTGCCATCACACTTTCTTGTGGAAGTCCTATAAAGCTCTCGAACCCACGCAACACCAGTATGCAGGGACTAGATGAATTGTGTTTTTAAATATTTAACTTAAATACCCACATGTGTAAAAACTAGTGGGTAACAGAAATTTGAATACCCAGATAGAATTACTGATACCCAATGATATTAAAATGCATGCGTAAAATACCCACAACACCAAAAGCTTATCTGGAGCTCTGTAAATAATAACATCTGGCTCAGACAAACCATCGGTTGGTGATAGCATCAGCAACAATTCATACCACCAGGGAACAATGAGAGCCAGTTCACACAATGTAACCACGCAATCCTCATCAGTCAAATGGGATAATGGGATAATGGGGCTATATTCTGCCTTGGAATGACCAAGCTCAAACACATTCCTAAGAAGTAAATTTTGAAGTCGTTTAACATACTGACAAGGTCATGAGTACTTACTTGGAGCAGTGATTCCATGGAGACCGAGTTCTCCACATTTTTTCCAGAAATCCTGCAACAATTCATGTGATGTGCAATGGAAAGTAACTAAACATATCATCCAAAAGTCAACACTCAATGCACATTATGCAAGCAATACAATAAATTACTGCCAGTGTGCTTACTCTGTTAACATTATTGATACCACTTCTGGCAAAAGTAATATACCAGCTGCATACTAACAAGAACCATGTATATTTTTCTATAACCATAATATCATTTCAGGTAAATTAATGAACAAAATCTTATCACACTTATCATTAACAATTAATATTTTAGTTCAAACTTCTACCTTCATATCTTTGAAATCATTGGTTTTATCAATTTCCCCAGCCTTTGGGGCCAGCTCTTTCTGTGCAAACTGAAAAACACTCTGTCGTAGCTGCAAAAGAAAATGACTAGTGTGAGAAACATCTGTTGCAAGAATAATGTAGCATGTTGCAGTGAGGAAGCAGACATATCAGGTATCAGAGTTAAATGTTAGTAGTATGCAGATAATTGCAGACAAATAAAATGAATGGTTTGGTTTTTATTGGTTTGTGTTTTACGCCTCACTCAGCAATATTCCAGCTATATGACGGCGGTCTGTATATAATCAAGTCTGGACCAGACAATGCAGTGATTAATATCATGAGCATCAATCCATGCAACTGGGATCGATGACATGCATCAACCAAGTCAGCAAGCCTGACCACCCGATCCCGTTAGTCCCCTCTTTCACAAGCATAGTTGCCTTAAAATGAAAGGATGGGGTACGATCATGGATATAATGAGCAGGTATATATTATATTAGTCATGGGCATTGGCCTGAATTTTGCATTGCAATGTAACTTATTGCAATAATGCCTCATTGATTGTGATATATTGCTTTCATCTGTAATTTGTTATGAACCTGAATAAAAAAAACTTTCCCCAACACATTTTTGACAACTTTGAATTTTGTTGGATGTTGCTGTGGTTACAATGCATGTGTAAGACACATTATATACAGGAAACTGGTCAATAGCTTCCCTTTTCTTATCACAGGAAACAGTTGCTAATTTCTGAATTTCAATTAAACTGGTCACTAATGTAACATTTTCCAGCAAGATGAACATATGCATGATTTTGAAAAATGCAGTATACCAGTATTTTCCAAACTTATTGCCGTGTTCTTCCGAGGCAGTGGCCTCACAGGATTCCCACAATATTTTATTTATGGCGCATAATATTTGGGCTAATTGGGACATCAGGCACTTTCATGTTGATGGGTTTATTTTACATGTATATAATTATGGGAGTCCCTGACTGTCTCCAAAATATTGATCAAACAGCAAAATCAAAGAGCAGAGAGTCCTAAAGAATCAGAGATAGATTAATTTTAAATTTCTTTTCGTTGTCAACACAACCTTAACTGTCTTCCAATAATCCAGAAGATTTTCCTGCTTCAAATGACCCCAAGGTTGCATAATTGCCGACCACAAGTAATGTTAGAGAAACACAAAGCATTTCGCATGGTGCACCTGCCAGTGACCATGGTCTCTGACTGAGAGGGTTGAAGTCAAATTAGCCTCAAAATTCAAAACTCAAGACGGTCGCAAACAAGTCAAGTGGCCACAAAAACATAGTCAAATAAAGTCATAGTCATTTCAGGGTGATATTATATCTCTACAAAATACAAATGCATCATTAAATCCATGAGATGTGTTTTAATTCATTGACAAAGCTAAATTCTAAAAGAAGTGAGACACATAAGGCAACGAGAGTCAGGGCATTAATTTACATTTAATAATATAAACCACTGTCAGAGTGATAGAAAATATTTTTGAGACAGTCAATGATCATGACCCCTATAATTATATAAAATAAACCCATCAAAATGAAAGCACCTATCCCACTGGGACAAAATATTAAGCGCCAATCAATAAATTATTGCTGAAATCCTGCGAGGACACTGCCTTGGCAGAACACTGACCACACATGCTTTTTTTTATATCTCCCGGTATATCGGTATTTCCATGAGGCCTACACTAAGAATGCAAATGTGTGCTTGTATTCATGTACTTGTCATGTTCTAGACACTGAGGTCCGTGTTCATATAATATTCGTGAGGTGTCTCTTACTGATGTAGGGTAATATATGGACGACAAGAGATTCATGAAAGATTGGATGCAGGTTCAATGACCTGATTTAAATACATCTTTTCTGAAAGATATGCCCACCTAAAGCATGTAAAGTAAAGCTTGTTTTTATCTAGTTCATTTGTCATTTCCCAAATGTTCACGACAGACTAGTACAGTATATGAAGTCAGCCGTGGACGTACATACTATAACATAGATCCAGAGAACATGCACCGGTTATATGGTTTTGGTCTCTGACAGATCATCTATGTACGTCATTAATTCAGGCATGGACCAATACAAGAAAATAACAATTTTAAGTCCGTGATTCAGCCAATATGCAATGTAAATGACAGTTATGACAGCTGCATATGGGTCATCTTCTTATAATAGATGTAACCCGGCAGTACATATATAATCTAAATACTTTCACAGATAGTATTCATAGTCAGGTTAAGTAAAAGTTCCACATGGTAAGGCATAATGAAACTGAACTTTGTACTATGGCGAGGAGGTGTGTACGTTGTGTGTCTTGACGAACCAATCAAACCACATGAACACAACTGGTCAAGGTCATTCGATCTATATTAACCATAACATGCACGTTCCTAACTATACACAGTATCGGGGCTACAGTAACTTCTGAAAATGCACGTGATACAGGAGATTGTACAATGATTGTAGAGACTTGTCAAGATTATTTTAAGCCATAGGACTAGTCTTATCATTTTCATAACAAATGTTTCATTAAACAAATGTCTGAAAGCGATACCTGTCGCTGTTCTTCAGCCAGATTGTACAAACTGTCGTCGATTGGAAAGTACGAACAGCTTCGAGTTGCACTGACACTGCCTCTGCCATTTGCCAGAAGACGACGGCAGACATTTGGTCGAAACACTTTGCTCAAACTGTGGGCTGCCATGTTGGCTGTATTCAAGGGACGTAACTCCCCAGCAGGTGCGCGTCAAATATGTGTTTTTAGAGAGCAGAAGCAGGGAGTCTACAAAAAAAAAAAATGTTGAATCTTTTTTTGTGGAAGAGAAATAAATTAAACTGGCTTATGGACAGACGTCAGTCCAAGCAAAACAAAGTTTAAAACAACATAGAATGGAACGGATCTTGGCACAAAAAACAGAGAATATTCTCTTTAAGACATGTATGCTGGAGCCGTTCTTATTTCGAGTTTACATAAATAGCATAACTGACGAGCCTAAAAATATTTCCAGATTATTTGCCCGTGTTTTAATTGAAGAAAGACTTAATAAAGATTTACTCTTTCTTAATCTGGCGTTACTGTACTTATATATATATAGAGAGAGAGAGACAGAGAGACAGAGACAGACAGACAGACAGACACAGACACAGACAGACAGTACAATGTAATGAATAAAATGTATATAGGAGAAGGCCTCGTAACTGTGTCACTTGTGCCTAATTCATCTGAGTTTTCGCATTAAAATATGTTTGAATCAAACGACACATACCATGTGTCATGACTAATGTAATTTCACTTGGGTTTCGTTTTGCTATATGGTGTCATTACATTCGTATTATTACTTGTTTAGTGTAACGAGCTGTTGTGTTGGCTTTGTTAATCTTCTCAGCGAATCTAACGCAGAGAGGTATCGTATCAGAGTGAAATATATGATTTTATGAGACTGGAATTATTTTCGACACAGATTGTATGCTGCCTATATCGATCGACATCCTTAAAACATTTGATTCGGTAAACAGAAAGGGGTTACGTTTTGAGTTTTGAAAGATGGCTTGCAAAATATGATGAATGACATGCACACGTGACTAAAATAGGCATGAACGGGTGTGGGTACTACCCACAGGGCTCGTGTCCCACCGAGATGGAACAAATTTGTCATGTATGCGCTGCAATGAAGTCCCTCCAGTGAAGATGAAGATGGTATAGCCCATAGGCGGATCCAGAGGGGGGGGGGGGGACGTACTCTAATGAGATGCATGTCGATGAATTTATATCCGATGGCCCATGTTGTCACACAAGGCAGAATATTAAATGATATATTTTCAAATGTGTGGCTTTTTATCTAGTAATCAGATAAATGAAACCAATAATACATGGAAATCTGTTCTCGCACTTAACAGTTGTCGGCAAGCTAGCATTGCTTATTCAAGATACTCACCAGGTATGAAACAAATGATATGATGCTACGATATTAAACTTTTAATTACATGAACATGTAGTTAATTGATGTTGTGCCAATATCTTGGTAATGTCATATTACATAGGCAGTGCTGACCCTAGAATTGTGGCTGAGAACATAGATAATCCACACCAATCACTGGTTTGTCTGGTCTTTTATTTTCAGGCCGCAGTCATATAGCAACAAGCCGTTAAACAACAAGCACACATCATGACATACTAAACCTGTATCGTACGTTTTTGTGTTGTTGTTTTTCTGTCCAAGCCAAAGAGTAAAATCATTACACATATTAATTGCATACAACATTCCTGGTATCAATTAGGACAAGAAATAAACCATTCCTATTTCAGATGTAACGTTTGCTGGGTCATAGTCAATTCTCCATTTAACGTGGATAATGAAGATCTCCTTATCTGTAGTTTATGTCACGAAAACGTCCACGTGACTATTGCGTACCTAGACAGACAGACAGACAGACAGATAATTTATTAAAGTCTCACCCTAATAAAATACAGTAATATACATATACAACATACAACAGGTAGGGCCACTCTATACGGAGTTACGAGAGAATGCTTCCTATCCAGCCACCTATGGCAAAGGTAAGGCGGTTTTACCGTTGCATCAAGTGTATTCAGCAGACGTATAGACAGGCGTACCACTTATGAATGATGCATTGAAGTAACCCTGGCTCTACATACCTTAGTTAAGTGCATTTTACAAAAATTCTTTCAGCAACTAACGCAATTTCATAATAGTCTGTTAAGCAATATTGATAAACCTATTATTACCAGCTGTAGAATAGCACACATATATAACACACAACATCAAATGAAACACTGTTCGTTTGTATTTAGAAATGGAGTGTAGAAAGCAATGCGAGACAAATTCGAGAGTGTTGTGTTTATCCTGCGGCAGTATGCATACCTTTATAGAAGTATTTGGATTTAGGGCGAACTCTTTAGCCTGTTACATTGTCACGAGTTCTCTCCCTTACTAAAGTAACACTGCATCGACAAAGTGTATTCTGCAAACAGTTCGTTCACGCTTTCGGCGATTTGTGCAATAATGTTAAAGCAATATTGATGTAGCTACCATAAGCTGTGTAAATAAATAGTGTTTCGCTTTGAGAGAAATGTTTTCACATCTTGAAGATGATGGGAGGCAAGTATAGGTGACAGACGATCACCTTGCTGCATGCGGTGTTACAAGAAAGTTGTAAGTATTCAACTTTGCAGGATTACATCAAAGCGCATTTTTTTCCAAATTTTAATGCACATTAATACGAACAATGTCCTCTTTTCCTTTGAGATGATATACGTTTATTTTAGGAGAGTGGGTTTGGTTTAAGGCCGCTTTAAACACTAGTTGATCAGCTGATGTCATGGAGTTTGGTGTGGTTGGAAAGGCATTCGTGACCAACTCGTGTTATTCCAGGACAAGTCGAATAGCGACTCTTCTTGCAGGTTACGGAAAGGGGCGAGTGGTGACGAATGATAGGAAAGGCTGAAGTGATGCTTGTCTTAGACATTTACCACTTGCGAATGGCGGCAACTTAGACGACTTGACCACTCGTGTTTCTGTGTTTAAGTTGCTAATGAAATCGTCGCAAAACCTGTTGAGAAAACATCTTAAGACATTAAACATATCCTGTTTGCACTGATGTCAGTCTCACAGTCCCTGAACCACCCTTTTCCCCTTAAGCCCAGCCCTTAATGTAATGGCGTAGCCCTAAATAAAGCAAGTCTAGATTCTCAACAGGTTCCTAATCTCCCATCTCACTGGGTCTCCTTTTCAATTTAAATGGAGGTTTTTCTTTGTTTCTATCGACATTATATATTTTCAGAGACTAAGCGTTAGTGTAAACGGTACACCGTGTGAATTATGTATTTCTCAAACTAAAACTGGATTTATCTCAATACATGGAAATGTATTACGCGACTGTATACGATACACGAACATCCCCTGCACTTGAGTATAGTATTGCTTAACAAGCTAGATTATTCCACACCCGTGAAGATCCGGGGTAGAATAGGTCTTCAGCAACCCATGCTTGCCGTAAAAGGTGACTATGCTTGTCGTAAAAGGCGACTAACGGGATCGGGTGGTCAGACTCGCTGACTTGGTTGATGAATGTCATCGATCCCAATTGCGTGGATCGATGCTCATGATATTAATCACTGGATTGTCTGGTCCAGACTCGATTAAATACAGACCGCCGTCATATAGCTGGAATATGTCTGAGTGCGGCGTAAAACAACAAACCAACCAACCAACATAATTCGATGATAATTGGTATTATGAAATGAGTCAGTTGTTATATATGTTAAAAAATATCCCCCAAATAAATTTGGTTCTTACGCTTACATGACAAGTATCCATGGGGTGCCCGATGATCAAGGGACAGCTGCCAAAATAAGCATGATGATTGATTCATCATGTAGGCTGGTTTAATGCCGCTTTCTGCAGTATTCCGGTTACATCACTGCGCCGTCAGCTTGATGAGGGAGGAAAGCTCGAAGTGATGCAGATCTTAGGCGTTCAACACTTGATCCGGGGTAGAATAGGTCTTCATTAACCCATGCTTGCCGTAAAAGGCGACTATGCTTGTCGTAAAAGGCGACTAACGGGATCAGGTGGTCGGGCTCGCTGACTTGGTTGATGCATGTCGTTGATCCCAATAGCGTGGATCGATGCTCATGATATTAATCACTGGATTGTCTGGTCCAGACTCGATTATTTACAGTCCGCTGTCATATAGCTGGAATATTGCTGAGTGCGGCGTTAAACAACAAACCAACTAACCAACACTTTGGCGAATCCCAACAGCACTGGCATGGTACTGATAAACCAAGATTCTTCATCAGGGTGAATCTGGGATTCGAACCCACGCTTGTAGGATCGCGCCTAAAAGACGTAGGAGGGCAGCGAATGACGGCGCCTTAGACGAGTGGGACACACAGGCCCAATAAAGCCTATAAGCAGCGTTTTTTCAACTATGACAAACGCCGGTCGCTGAATAAAACAAAATGAAATACGTGAAATATGTTTACAGAATTTGTGCAACCGTTACGTTTGTTTGTTTGTTGTTTAACGCCGCACACAGCAATATTCCAGCTATATGACGGCGGTCTATAAATAATCGAGTCTGGACCCATCTTCCCAAAGCAAGGGAGTTAACTGACTGTAAAAGTCCGGTTTCCACCCTTGCCGAACTAGGCTGGAATTACTGGGCTCGATCGTAGCGCCACCAGTGGCTATTACCAGTTATGTCCCTTCTAAGCCTCTCCTATGGACTAATCAGATTCCACCTCTCGTATCACTTGCGTTTGTTTCACACAAAATGGTGGCGCCGAGTCAGGACGATCTGATCGATAATCAAGATCTATATTGTGATAAAACGGGTCTTACATCGCAAAATGCATCAAATCACGTGAGCACCTTGATTAAAAACATGAAAAACTTGGAAAATATCTCCTGACAATGAGTTGGCTGTCCACATGCTTTGCAAATCCTGCAATCGACCGAAATCTGCACGTCAGTTTACGAACCGGATTTCGATTTCGGTGCGCGATTTTGATTTGACTATGCATAGACTCGTTAGTCCAGCCAAAATGTAACTCCATAATACCCGCCTAGTTTGGCAAGGGTGAAACTGGACTTTTATAGTCAGTTAACTCTCTTGAATCGGGAAGATGGTCTGGACCAGACAATCCAGTGATTGACATCATGAGCATCGATTCACGCAATTGGGACAGATGACATGCATCAACCAAGTCAGCGAGCCCGACCACCCGATCCCGTTAGTCGCCTCTAATAGATTGACAGCAATGGAAAATAAATTATATCACAAAATGAGTGAGTGAGTTGGGTTTAAGGCCACTTTTAACAGTATCCCAGTTATATCACGATGTGTCAGCTTAATGTAGGGTGTGATGCAGGTCTCAGACGTTTACCACTTTGGTGAAACCCACGAGCCTGGGTATGGTGCGGACAAACCTAGAAACATAATCGGGGCGAACCGGGATTCGAACCTACAATCATAGGTTCCTGCCGTGTCCAAGGGACGCAACTCTGCACAGGGAATTGCGGCGCCTTAGACGACTGGGTCACCCGTGCCCCCTCATAAAATGAATTATTGATACGAGACACGTATCAATTGTTTGATAGGCATTAGAAGTTAACGGATGACTAAGTAGACACAATTTATGGATGACAACTTTTTTTATTTACTGTAAAGGCGACGTTTCGGTATAGATCCTTTTTCCGTTGTCAAGCATGGCTGAACCTCGTATCATTAAATCGGATTTGTAATAGGACAATACCTCTGATATTTTTTCAGTTAATTATCACAAATTTGATTTTTTTTTATCACAAAATCCTTTTTTAGCCATCATCAATTAATTTATTGATATTCTAAAAATCGGATTTGTAATATACATATTTTATTATTATGTTATACATATAACTAATTATTGTGTGATATGATAAAATCGAATTTGTGATATTAATAATTCATTTTGTGATGTCATTAAAACAGAAAATAAATAGTCAAACGGCGCCTCATACAATACTCATGAAACGGGTTTTCCAATTTCAAAAGCAAATGTTCCCCGCCCCACTGACACAAGGGGAGATAACTATCACGCACCTGTGGCCCAACACAACAACAGAGCAAGCCATGTGTGTCAGTCAGTCAGTCAGTCAACCAAGGAGAACACCTACAGGTTAACTTGACACGGTGTTCCCGGGCTAAACGCAATTAGTGGTTATCATGCGTGATACGTGTCTCCGTGAGTTACTACGATATGATACAAGGTAAGTTGCCATAGTCAAACATATTGTCATTAAGCAAGCTGTCACTGAGATGTATCACAACGTCGGCACATACTGACCAGTGCTAACATGTATGCGAGGCCCAGTATCGTACCTTGTTTTCGTGCCAAGAAGCGTTACCATACCTGATCCAACCTTACCTGCCCTTCACAAAACGGCCTGATGCTGAGACAAAGAAGTGTGTCCAGTATTGACATGCTGGATCTAATATGTGAGCTGTGTTGTGCTTAAGTCGTCAAACTTATATCTGACAGGCTCAAACGAACAGTTTCTTCTCTCTTCGAGTGATACGACAGTACAGGTATTTGAAGCATTCATAAAATGTAGGCGTCTTGACAAAGACAAAATGATATCCCATTGGGAATTTCGAAATGTTCTGCCTGGCTGGTTTTATTGAAATATTTAAATTATGTTTGTCATGTCGCTTTAAAGCTTTGGGCTAGGCTCAGTGATTATATACAGAAGGCTTTGTCAAAAATTTAGATATTTAAACATCATTTGAAGTGTTTTTTATAACATTAGATATTCTGCTATTTATAGAATAAGTCTCGTGGGAAAATCTTTAATAGTACCTATATCCATATTTTATGTCCTTAATTCTCATGGTTTTAAGAAAAGAACTTGCCAATTAGTTATGAAAACAAAAATTGTTCACATACATGCATTTGAGAAATGATTCATTGGTGATCTGTTTCAATTGACACCTATTTTAGGACAGACAAGTTATACTTTTTTTCAGATTTTCTTGGCCAGTCTGTTGTATGTAAAATGATGGTCAATCATGGAAATAGGAATAAAAAAGAAACTACAAACAATGAAGACTTGTTAGCTCAAGAATATAATATCTTAAATGCTTGGTACGTTTACTGGTTACGTTTTGTTTTCTTTAAGAGGATATTTTAGCTCACCTAAATGAAAGTAAAGTGAGCTTCGGTTGTGGCCTTTTTGTCCAGTGTCTGGTGTCTGGCATGTGTCATCCATCGTAAATATGTTCTCAGAAACCACTGGACCAGTGAAGCTGAAACCTGCTTGTCCCCACCAATGATGCCCCAATTAGTTTAAGAGAATGAAATTATTCACTTGTCAATAAATGTAAAAAATAGTTCCATCTACAATGTATTACAAGTGGAAATTAATTCAAATGTTGCTTCAAGATAATGTACAGTTGACAAACAACTCTCCATTCCTGAAAAATAATGGAGAGTTCAAACAATAGAATGACGTCACAGATGTGTTTTAATGGAGGTTCAAACATGCGCTCCCAACTTGATGACATCATATATTTGATGACAGTATATTTGAGAGGGAAGTGTCTAGTGAGTTGTTCCCCATAGATTTAGCTGAGCAACGAAGATAAACGCAGTGGCCGAACGATCGCATCCAAAAGTGGGGGGAACAGGTACAGATAATTGACGTGAGGATTGTGAGAATATGTGGGAAATGCCAATACCAAACCCACCTGTTCATAACATGGACTTGTCCAACATTGCCTGGGATGGTTTCTATTCAGGGAGTCATCATTATTAAAATACAGGTAAATATTTGTAAAGCTTGTACATTTCATCATCATCCTTAAAGAGGCTTTAAGTCTTTAAGAGTCTTTAAGAGAAATAAGTCGACTAATGAAGAAAACTCATGGTTGTTGTTTATCATAAAATAAAACACTGCCAGAGAATATGCCACTTGGGGCTGCTCCCCTCATGGTTCATTCTCCCTGCAGTGTTTTATTGTTGAAAAAAGAACTCTCACTTGTCATTTATTTCTTAAACAAACTGAAACAATGAACCACCTATATTAGCCACACAGATTGATCACTTGATTGTCAGAATTGTTTCCCTACCGAAATACTACAACCTATGCAAAAATATGAACCTTTATTTGTAAAGTTACATTAATAATAAGTCCATTTATGATGTGGCATGATTGCTCAACCATTGCTGTGAGGTGCTAGAAGGTTAAGTCACCTTACCATCTGATCCTACTGAGTACCCATTCTCTGCTGGGTGGGGGCACGGGTGGCCCAGTCGTCTAAGGCGCCGTGATTCACTGTGCAGAGTTGCGTCCCTTGGGCACGCCAGAAACCTATGATTGTGGGTTCGAATCCCGGTTCGCCCCAATTATGTTTCTAGGTTTGTCAGCACCATACCCGTGCTCATGGGTTTCACCGAAGTGGTAAATGTCTGAGACCTGCATCACTTCGGGCTTTCCTCCCACATTAAGCTGACACGCTGTGATATAACTGGAATACTGTTAAAAGTGACATTAAACCCAACTCACTCACTCACTCACTCACTCACTTACTTCTCTGCTGGGTGAAAAGAGGCATATTTCAAACAAAGTCACTTATCCAGGTTGACACTACATGTTCTTCAGTGTGTGGCAAGACTGAAGCGGTAGAAACTCTCAGGAGTCAAGTTGACGAACACAGCCACAAATACAAATACTTTTAGCTTTACCTGTTTGTGGGTGAGTGAGTTTGGTTTTACACCTCGTTTAGCAATATTCCAGCAATATCATGGCGGGGGACACCAGAAATGGGCTTCACACATTGTACCCATTTGGGGAATCATGATGAGCGAACGCTTTAACCACTAGGCTACCCCACCGCCCCCACCTGTTTGTGACTTGTGCCACCACAATCCACTCTGGGAGCCTTTTGATATAATGCATGCATCATCCTAGACAAATTCCTATTTGTTTCATGAATTTGTTGTCATTTAAGATATGATGCAAAACAATTGCCCACTCACTGCAAATAACCATTTTTCAAAGAAAAAAAATAGTTTTCAAAAACCTGACCTGGCATCCCTATTTTTGTTTGGCTGAAATATGAAACACATTTTTGTCCAAAATAATTTGCAGCGGCCTTGAAGGTAATGACATTCAATTGATAGGAGAAGACCTTATGGCGGACCACCTACCACTCCCACAATATTGATGTCTTTTCATGTCTTATAGGTATATTCAGGAACCAAATTCAGAAGGTATATTCATATTGTATACAAGTTTATAAGTGGATTATCCATACGGATTAGGATTTGTACCAAGACCTGTCAATATTAAGAAAAAGAACAACATGCATTGTAGTTGGCAGAGCCTGAAGGCACAACTTGAGTTTTATCGAATGTTTCACGTGTTAATCCAATACTAAGAAGCCCATGTCTTGCCTGAGAATTAGCTCATGTGGTATAGCCCACATAAACCTGTTATACTCTAGCTAATGCAGTGCGTCAATAATGGGGTCAGTGAAGCTTGGTAGTGGACACTAAGTGGACATACCTCAAGTGAGCGTTTTATTGGTCGCACCTATTCAATGGAGTGGTCAGTTGGTGAATTACACGTCTCGTGTATAGTGTTCCTATGAACTTCTACAATAAAAGACAACCTCACCAAGTGTAGGACTTGAAGAGGTTATATTTTCATTTTGTGATGGAGAAATATACAAGAGTGTACTATGGAGAAAACCTAGAATGGGGTATTGTCATGCGATATGAGATGATATTCTTCAGCTGTGTGTTATACAAAGGTGCTATGAAGTGAACAGGAGTGTATTAGTGGCTACAGGTGGTCACCGGTGCAGTCTACAAAAGTCTTGAAAGAGATACAGGATTTTATACCCAGTATCCAAGACAAGGATTATTTGACAAGGTTATCAAACGGCCATCAATGCATGTTTGACAACATTCTTGAGGGGATTTAAGCCAATGGTTATCGAATGCTGTTCGACAACAGAAGTATGGTGAAATCATTTTGTACAAAGCAATTAACTCTACACCTTGCACGGAACAGAGTTTTCCTTTAATGTGTTCGTGCCACATTTTGGTGTGGTTGGGTTGTATTGGGAAAACTTAATTACAGAGTTCTATTGTGAGGATCGGATATTTACGAGCAGTGAGTGAGGGGCGAGTAGGCTTGATCTACAGTGTACATGGACAGTGTCAGGTGAGGTTTTCTGTCCAAGGCGTAATCGGACACCAGTGAAAAGGAACATTTGTGGGTTTGTTTTCAGGAACTTGTTCTTTGTGGAGTGCTACTGTTTAGGCTGCTTCTGAGAGTGATACAGACGGCTACTGATCGAAGAAGTAAAAACATATGGACAGGTAATTTTCATATAATTTTTATTTCTAAACTTTTTGCAATTTGGAGATATTGATTGAGCGAGAAAGTTAATCTGTTGCTTTTTTTAAATCTAATAGTTAATTTTAATCAATGTAATATTTTTAAAGTGATATTTTAAAACATTTTTGTGAACATTTTGCTTATCCATCTTTTGGAAGGGGCTCTATTTTCGAATAATACACTTACTTACTGATGTTTAAGTCATATGTCACAATAATTTTATGAATTGAGTTTTATGTATGCTAAGAATTAGGCAACTAAACGCTGAATGTCTTCTTTGTTGTGACTACTCAATAATTTGTATTTCATATTTGGAAAATATATGATTTTGTTGGGTAAATGGGTCTGTATGCCGGTATAATAAAAACACATGGAATAGCCTGAAACAAATATTTCTACTTTTGCTGGGTAACTTTGTTTGTTTGTTTGTTTGTTTGTTTGTTTGTTTGTTTGTTGTTTAACGCTGCACTGAGCAATATTCCAGCTACCTGACAATAGTCTGTAAATAATCAGGTCTGGACCAGACAATCCAGTGATTGATATCATGAGCATTGATCCATGCAGTTCGGATACAATGACATGCATCGACCAAGACAGTGAGCCTGACCACCTGATCCCTCTAGTTGCCTCTTATGACAAGCATGGGTTGCGAAAGACCAATTCTAACCCAGATCTTCAAGGGTCAGCTTGGTTACTTAAGAGGTCAACGTGGATTGGGCAATATTGTATTAATGCTATATTCTGAATTACCCCGACTTACTCTATCAGTAGTTCTCATACTGAGTAGCTCCAGAAACAGATGTGATAATCTCAGCTTGGTAGACATTGTAATGACATACCAGGGAATGTTTAAGGCTCACATTGAGTGATGGTGGCCTGTTGGGTAAAGTGCTCACTAAAGACATGAGTTTGATTCCACAACCCATCCTTGGGTTTCCTCTGTTGATATTGTTTCTAAGCATAATACACCAGGGGTTTACTTGTGTCTATCTATGTGGAAGTCAATGGGACTCTTAGCAAAGGTTTGGGTACCAAGGCATGAGGATAGGGCCCCCGACTGGCAGCATGTGACACACTCAGCTTGGTTTCTAAGAATTTTACTGGTGTCAAAATTGTACATTGTCAGAATACTTTGTCTGTTACCATGATTATAGATGTGTATTTCAATGTTAGATTGAAGCAAATCAACCATCGACAAGCTGGACATTGAGTGTATTTTTTTATTTTGACATATTTATTCATGAGAAGTGAACGGGATTGGGGGACAAGTTCTTCCAACTTAGATTGCCCTCTCCCTGGTATTTACAAAATTTCACAATTTCAAATTCGATATACATGCATAGAACACTATAGAAGAGACATAAAATGTATTTTTTACCAGAATAGAAATGCCATTTAACATGCAATCAATCTACAATTTTTATTGGCTGCTGAGTCGTTAAAACTATACTTGTTTGAATACCTCAGGACTTGCTGTGTAACTGTTTTGTGTTCATGCTCAATTTGTATCAACTTCCCAAGGCAAGGAAGTTAACTAACTTTAAAAGTCCAGTTCCACCCATGCCGAACTAGGCTGGAATATTTTGGCTGGACTAATAGGTCAATGCATAGTCCAATAAAAATCGTGTAACAAAATCGACAGTTCATAAACTGTCGTGCAGGTTTTTGTTGATTGCAAGATTTGCAAAGCATGTGTACTGTCAACTAAGCATCAACAGATCTTATTCAAATCTTTTCATGTTTTTAATCAAGGTGCACACATGATTCATGCACTTCAAGAAGTTAGACCCATTTTATTACAATATAGATCTTGGTTATCGATCAGATCGTCTTGAATGGGCACCGCCATTTTGTTTGAAGCAAATGCAAGTGATATGAGAGGTGGAATCTGATTGGTCAGTAGGATGGACATAGAAGGGACAAAACTTAATAGCCATTAGTGGCGCTACGATCGAGCCAAGAAATTCCATCCTAGCTCAGCAAGGGTGAAAACTGGACTTTTGCAGTCAGTTAACTCCCTTGCCTCAGGAAGATGAGGATGTATGTATAGGATACAAAAGTTTGCTGTCGGTAAAACCCTGGTAGACACTCAATTATCCAACAGAGTGAAGCTATATCCATGATTGCCCTCAGGGGATGAGTCTAACTAAGTGGTCACATCGATGACCTGTGTCACGTCTGGCTTTCCTCCTATGTTGTCATCTCACAATATTACTGGAATACTGTTCAAAGTGATACTGAATCCAACTCACTCACTCACTTGTCCATTTCATTCCAGCTGTCATCTTGGACAATGAATACAAATAAGGACTTACGGGAGTCAGTGATTACTGATGTTGGCTAACACAACTGAAGGATAGATACAGCATGTGATTTTGGATGATATAACTTTGGTGAGTCACTTTTCTCTATTTTCTCAAATTATGATTTCGAAAAATTACTGTTTTAACTCTTTCAACACCGTAGGCCGGTTTTCCGGCAAAGAAGCATCGAGTCCCCAGACACCGTAGGCCGGTTATCCAGCCAAGCCGTAGTCACTTCAAAATAGTATATATTTTAATGGACCTACCTGTAATATCATTCCTTTATTAAATCTATCACATTTCACAATGTCTGAAATACGTATTCCATTTCAATTTATCATTTTTAATCGATAAATTAAAAAATTATTCACTATTTCCCGCGATGTTATTGAAAATAAAATTCTCTGACACACATTTCGACAACGGATCCACATCGAACATGTCAAAGAGCAAAATAAAGACGTTTTAAACAAATCTTTAAATATATTATATAAAGTAATAAATATAATCAACAGAAATATATCTAAAAGTAATCAAACTTACATCTAAGTTATTATTTCCATCTTTTCGTGCGATCGCGTGTAATAGTAAGTCAAATGACATCTCGGCTTTCGTCACCTTGAATTCTCGGCTCAGACACGATATTTAATGCAAAAATATATGCATGAAAAATCTTTGTCACAGCTCGTAACCTTGCACGATACATTCACGAAGTTCCATATTTTTAATATATATCGTGATTTCCTGCTTAAAACGTTCAGAATAACACGATTTAACAAAAAACTTTCGCCAACTTCTGAAATTTATCAAACACGAGCTTGGTATCACAGCTGTAATTTGATTGGCTGCCTTAGTTCACATGCTCAAAATTGACCAATAACGAAACTTGTAGCAGATTTCGGCAAGAAAGCGTCATTAGAAACTAATTTTAATCCAATGAAATCGCTTGTTATAACTACGGAAAAAAAACAGGCGATGTTACGAGGAATAAGCTTTCCAGCGATGTGTCATATGCCATTCCCGACGAACGTTTTATTCATAGGAAGCCTCGAAAACGGGGATATTTCTTCACGTTACTGAGCGGACAGCCGCTGTTATCGGGAAATGGGTGATGACAGAAACTATTTATAATTCTTTTTTAAAATGATTTTCCAATTACGTAAACAATGAAAATAAAACAGAAATAGGTAAGTGGATTTTATGAAATCTTATATTTGCCGAAAATCGTCAAGTTTTCGCTTCCTTGGTCCTTAATCTGGATGTTAAACAACGTGTTAGCTTACATTTTTTATTTACAACGAATTTAATTAAGTTGTAAATGCATTATTTTAAATAATGTGAAAAACATAACTTTCATATTTATAAACTATAGTATCAGACCTTTCAAATGGTGTATAACATGTAGTAGCAAATATATTTTACAAGCAGATATTTTCTTTGATAAATGTTGGCTTCATCTATCACACAAGAGTCTCTGGGAACTCGGTGTCCCAGCAGTAAACATTTCTGGTTGACTGGTGTTGAAAGAGTTAAATAAAAGCCTATTTATCAATGAAGAGTGCAAGATAAAAAATTAGGATTGATTTTTTACATTCATGCAATTTTGGTTTTTTAAAATTAATTTAAAATTTAATTATTATTTTTTTTAAAGTTGATAGTTATAGAAAAGGACCTCTGTATTTTTGATGATTTTGGGTGTAAAGAAATAAACATTCCTTTAACAGTTAACAGCTAAAAGTAGATTTAAGATATACTGTTGTCAACATACACAGAAGCTGGGAACTACTTTGTATGAGTAGGGCTCCACTGCAGTGAGTGATAAGCTGTCAGTATGGAATGATATATCAGTGTTGAGAGTTTGGGGAGTTCGGTGTGCACATAAACCCATGTCATGATGGTTGACACACATGAATGAATGAGGATTAGGTGTAGATGGCAGTAATAGAACATCTATACAGACGAGTCTTGAGATGAAATATTTCTCTATCAGGATAAGTAGAGAACAGGCTGTTCAAAAATATAATTAAGAAATAAATGATGAGAGGGAGTTGTTAATCGTTAAAACACTGCAGGGAGAATAAACCATGAGGGGCGCAGCGCATGTTTGGATCTCCAGAAATGACATCATGACATTAAGGTAATTGTTTTAAGGAAAATTAATGTCAAATCACGTCTGACAATATTTTTAATTTGCTTGCTGTCTCAAGACAATCAAGAACAAAACATGGCCATTCCTGAAGAGTCGAGAAATTATTAGTATACATACTTTGCTTTAATTAGGATACATCTGGAATTCAGAGATTTATTTAGGATTTGGAAGGCAAACTGGGAAAAATTATGTTGTTTTGTTAAAAAGTTTGATTATTATTTCAAAGGTTTTTTATGTGTTTTAACATTAGATTCAATAAAGTAGTGTAAAATTAAGCATTTACTCCCCTTCCTCTTTATTGGTACTGTTGTCAGTTAAGCATTGACTCCCCTTCCTCTTTATTGGTACTGTTATTAGTTAAGCATTGACTCCCCTTCCTCTTTATTGGTACTGTTATCAGTTAAGCATTGACTCCCCTTCCTCTTTATTGGTACTGTTATCAGTTAAGCATTGACTCCCCTTCCTCTTTATTGGTAGTGTTATCAGTTAAGCATTGACTCCCCTTCCTCTTTATTGGTACTGTTGTCAGTTAAGTACTGACTCCCCTTCCTCTTTATTGGTAGTGTTGTCAGTTAAGTACTGACTCCCCTTCCTCTTTATTGGTACTGTTATCAGTTAAGCATTGACTCCCCTTCCTCTTTATTGGTACTGTTGTCAGTTAAGCATTGACTCCCCTTCCTCTTTATTGGTACTGTTATCAGTTAAGCATTGACTCCCCTTCCTCTTTATTGGTAGTGTTATCAGTTAAGCATTGACTCCCCTTCCTCTTTATTGGTACTGTTGTCAGTTAAGTACTGACTCCCCTTCCTCTTTATTGGTACTGTTGTCAGTTAAGTACTGACTCCCCTTCCTCTTTATTGGTACTGTTATCAGTTAAGCATTGACTCCCCTTCCTCTTTATTGGTACTGTTATCAGTTAAGCATTGACTCCCCTTCCTCTTTATTGGTACTGTTATCAGTTAAGTACTGACACAAGTCTCGTTGACCAAGCCTTCACATCAATCAGAACGATATCAACATGCACTGGGAAACTTCTAACGCCTATTTGAGAATTTCAACTTATATTGGCTGCACATTGGGGCCGACTGTTGACCTGTGAGAAAGTCTAAATAAATTCTTGGTAGATATGACTATTTTGTTTTACACCTGACCAGGTATACGGCCAGGAGAGTCCCCACTGAATGTCACACAGACATCGACTCTATCCCAGGCAGACCAAGTGCATAACACATTGCAGTCTGTTTAAAACACACCCTAAATATTTCTGTAAATATTAGTGTGAAATACCCGGTATCTTTCTATGATTCTGTTTGTACTTGTAATAATAGATCCCTACTTATTGTTTTTGTTGTGGATACGATAGTATATGTCCCACTCCCAGTATAGCTGCCTTAAAGCAGTAAGTACATTAGTATATATGCCTCAGGGTAGGACTATGGTAAGTAATCATATAGATCTCTGTACAGCATTGATAGCAAGGCTCCTGACCTAGATTATTATTCTTATATCACTGGACTAATAATTATAGTAATTTGGGACCAAGGACATTTAAGTGTATGAGAGTATATCAGTTGTGTTATGAGTAATTTATATTTGCAAGAAGCCAGTCACCTGTCAGTTATGCTTCTGTTGGTTAGCCTTGCCTGTGTAATGATTCTTTGTTTGTATGACTGTAGTAGGCTATAGTATTTTGTGTTACTTATACACTTTTTTATTTCCATAGCAGGGATGTATCTAGAATTCCTAACTAAGTGCCATTGGCAGGAAAATTGGCGCGAAATTTTCACATCTTTCAAGATTGGGATTTTTTAGAAGTTCATATTTCTTAACTTCAGAGATATTTAAACATGACACTTCCTTTTTATTGGTCATGTCATCAGAGAAGTACAAGTTATCTCAACAAAACCTTTTTGGGAATTTTTACTGACATTTACGGCTGACTTGTGGCCAAATGTCAGCATCTAAGTGGGCCTAGATAAATCCATGCCATAGTAACTTGTACTCAAACAATTTTGGAACTGCGTGGAAGACCTTCCAACTTTCAGCCTGGTGTATATATGACAATGCTTGTTCGTTAAGCCACGAGCCAAAGGCATTCGTCATCTCACTCTTATTTCTAAAGTGAAAACTTTCTTTGTTGTCAGTTTCCTGGTCTAAGGTGTCCAATTTCCTTAATACAAAGAAACTATGTAATCTTTATTCAACATCGGGCGCTGCTGTACAGATTCAGGATATCGCCCAACTCAGGTGATAAGCCTGCCAGAGAGGTGTGCCAAACTTCCTTTGAAGAAACTGTTCAAATAAATGTATTTGCCATGAGACTTCATTCTTCCCATGTGATTGGCTTAAAGTATGTTAATTGTAGGCAGTGTTAATGCAGATTCATCCTGATAGAATGATCTTGTGTAAGTTTTGACAAATGTGTTAGCAGTGTCAGTCGAAGGATGTGATAGGAGAAGGGCCCTTTCTGGCTCACTGGAAATGTCAAATTTTAAAGTTACCAAAAACTTTTACAATATTTGGATGAAAATGATTTTAGAATTCTTTATCATGTTTAAATGGTTGACACAACCAGCCTGTTTTTTTCTTACACTTGCAAGTTTTGACTTCTGGCCTGATCAAGTACATACTGGCTAAATTGAATGAAAAACATTGATTTCTATAATTTCAGATTAGATCTAAATATGAGTTAGTCAGACCTAAGGTAATTACTTCACCATATGTTTGTTCTGTCTTTATCTACATCTAACAAGATCATCTTGGGAACAACACTTGCTCATGTTAAAAAATAAATCATTTTCTTGCATGAAAACCTCTTAGGCACATAAGATAAGATACATAGCCTTTTTGACACATTTTAGCCTAATCTCTACTAAGCAGTGCCCATAAAATTTCCGAGTTTTGTGATGGGATTCGACACCACGGACCTTCTGATCCGAGGTCAGACGACTTGTCCACATGGCCAAAGTGGTTGACAAAGTGAGGATGTCATCTGTGGGATGACTCTACGTCCTGCTACAAACTCCCCCATCAACAATAGTCACGTCACAGGCCATATAGTTGTGTACTGAGACTTATTTTGCTCAAATTTGATATGAACATGCTCAGACCCACGTTGGGCACCAATGAAGGAGCCATGAAATTTCCATGTCCAATAATGGGATTCGAACCATGGACCTTCTGATCCGAGGTCGGACACCTTGTCCTCATGACCAAAGAGCATAATCCCGTCAGCATGCTGACAAGGTAAGGATGTCACCAGTGGGATGACTCGATTCCCTGCCATATGTACATATACCGTATTCGACGTAATAAGCGCCCCGCTCTAATATGCGCCCACGGCGATATTTGCTAATATATTGGCTAGTGAACAATCCCAATTAGCACCCCTTCCGAATGATCAATGTACACAAGACTTATTTATTCATGTATAATACGTGTGTTATATGCATCCTTAATTATGGGAAATTAAATTCTGGAAAAATATATCTGTGGTATATAAACATTTCAGGCTGTGAGCATAATTTATGATCTTTCAACTTGTTTTTCACCAAAATAATATTCTAATAAGAGACCCCTATTTTTAATTTTGAGAGCGTCCTGGGCGCTTATTATGTCAAATACGCTATTGTTGTTATAAGTCCAAAACATGCAAATGTTTGAATAAACAAAGTCTAGTTCCAATTCATAGCTCATTAATTATGCACATCCTGTGGGCCAAATGGGGTCCTAATCATACCTAGCTCTTTGATGGGATCATCTTTCTGCCATAGTGTGTTGAACTGAGGCCATGATAACATCCTGCTATCTGATTCCAGGGTGAATGCAGGCACTAGGAATATGTTCTTATCTTAACTCCTGTGTTAAACTGATAAGAAGGAATGTGGATCTGGTTGCACAGATTGGGAAGGGGAAATCAGTACAGTCACAATGGCTTGGCAGGAGGTGAAGTGTCTACAGTCAGTTTCTGCATGTTTACAATTAACACAAGGCTTATCATAAGCATGAGATGTAATGATGCAATATTATGTCAGGAATGCCATGTCAAGATAACTGTAAGTGAAAATGGTGAGTTACCTTTCAACTTTGAAACCTCCTGGGGATTCCGGGTCAGAATAGGTACAAAAATGTGAATATTGTGGTCAGGCTCTGTGCCTTGGCAAGGGCTCATTTAAAAGGGAAGGGGTCCAATATATCAAAATACTCTCTCAGTCAATTTTACTGCCTAAAAACATACTACTACATTTGGTTTTAAAAAGTTGTTTTTTTTTATCAAAACAGCATCCCATGAACTGATTGTATTGCAGTTTCAGGTGCACCAATCAGGATGAATTTAATATAAATTATCGTAGGTTCAAATCCCAATTTGCCCTGATTATGGTTCTAGGTTTGTCATCACCATATCTATGTTCGTGGGTTTCACTAAAATGGTAAATGTCTCAGACCTGCATCACTTGGGCCTTTCCTCCCACATTAAGCTGACATGCCGTGATATTACTGGAATACTGTTAAAAGCAGCATCAAACCAAACTCACTCAATACATTCACTTGTAATTCTGCTAGATCTGTGCATGGCTGGAATATTGCTAAAAGCAGCATAAAACCTTACTCACTCCCATGAACAACATGTGAAGATTTGACTGCAAAATAATGATCATTTATAAGGTAAGATGAGATTATAAAAAGAATTTCAGAGACACTCTTCAATATTAAAGCACTATATTACAATCCTGCTCAACATTTAGTTGTATTTACACATTCACAAACAATAAAAAATCTCCTTTGTAATAATTTGTTTATTCGACTGTTTCGACTGTCAGCAATTAAGTGAATTCTTCCAAATGATGTTTCACCTTCATCAATTTGTTTGCTTGTTGTTTAACGCCGCACTCAGCAATATTCCAGCTACATGGGCGGCTGTTTGTAAATAATCGAGTCTGGACCAAACAGTCCATTGATTGACATCATGAATATTGATCCATGCAATTCGGATATCATGACATGCATCAACCAAGTCAGTGAGCCTGACCACCCAAACCCTTCGCCTCTTGCGCCCAGCATTGTCACCTTTTTATGGCAAGTGTGGACTGCTGTAGACCTATTCTAACCCGGATCTTCAGGGGCTTCATCATTACACATATTCACTCTGTATCAGGTGAGCTACAATTCTAATTGAGCACTTGTAACTGCTGACAGATAACATATACCCAACCTGTTTTGTGTTTGTAGGCCAGCTGTAGTTATCCATTATGAATGGGATGCGAGTGGACGATCTGACACACCTGGTTGGTCCACTTACGGAAGACAGCATTGTCAGATGTCTGCAAGCCAGGTTCTACAGTCAGCAGTACCAGGTGAGACATATTACCATATATCCCATAAAGGGCAAGGATATCCATGCCATAAGTTTCAGTAATTCAGAGCTCCAGATAAGGTGCGTATCTGCGTAAAATACGCATCAGAAATGCAGAAATACGCAGTAAAATAAAATCCAAGCGTATCAAATACGCAACGAACATTACAGATACGCTACAAAAACAAAACTTGTGCGTATCATCAAAATATTGTGAAGTAACCCTGCGTATTCGATTAGAGAATCAGCAACTTATTTTGAAATTATAAACCGGCATTCCGTCAACCTTGCCAAACTCCAGGATGACAATTACATCAGGATCATTTCCATCACACTTTCTTGTGGAAGTATCGTGGTATTTGTGAGTCCTATAAAGCTCTCTAACCCACATGACACCAGTTTGCAGGGACTAGATGAATAGAGTTGTTAAATATTTAACTTAAATACCCACATGTGTAAAAACTAGTGGGTTACAGAAATTTGAATACCCAGATAGAATTACTGATACCCAATGATTTTAAAATGCATGGGTAAAATACCCATAACACCAAAAACTTATCTGGAGCTCTGGTAATTTTCACCGAGCAGAATAATTGACCAGTTCATCCAGTTGTTCAATTGTTCCATTGTTTTCTTTGTTTTTGTCATCATGTCTCGATTATTTATAGAACGTGTCATATAGCTGGAATATTGCTTAGGGTGATGTTAAACAACAAACAAGCAAACTTTAAGACAAATAATTTATGATACTACAGGGAATTTTTTGAAGTTATAGAACTATCTTTTATGCCAACAGTCATATTGCCACACATTAAATTTCCCAGTCTATAGGAGAATGTACTCGAACCTTTAGCTGAAGCTGTGACACCCGCTGATACAGTTGATGTGATGTAATATGATCACTTGCCATCATGACAGCAGCTATACCCGCTGCAATCCCAGAATTCCACTCTTCTGGGTGCATCCTGCTGGCAGCGTTTGCTTGGAAACTCTGTGCCATGGTCTTCCCAGCAACCAGCAGGTTGTCAACATCCTTGTTGGTGAGGGCTCGGTATGGGATGTAGAATGGCTTGATCTTGAAAACATTGACATAGTGTGGGAAGCTGCATCTGTGGATACCATGTACATCAGCATACTGGTAGTCACCAAGTCCAATCCTGTCTGCATACTTTGTTCCATACTGTCCTGGTAATTCAGCAGAGAAGTCAGACTTCTTTAGTGTGAAGTTGTTGATGCCAATGCTTCTTCTTGTATCTCTGATGTAAGGCACTTTAGACAACCCGGTCCTTGTCCCGACAACACTCTCCAACGCAAGACTGAGTTTTGATCCAACATCACTTGGAGCCTGGTTCCTGTAGAACCAATACCACCCATAAGCTCTGTCTTCTGCCTTCTTTAGAGTGTTCACATTCACACCTCCCTTCCAGTCCTGCCTCTGAGCTAGAGTTTCACTTTGTGATAGAAAGAGATAGGAGTCTTTGTAGTCATTGCCGTCGCCCCAGTTTTGGTTGGAGATGTCTCCTGGGCTTGCTGTGTGATATGGCCCTGATTTATGTGCGCTACGCCTGTATGACCACACCTTCCCCCACGCTGTACCACCTAGAGAGTAACTGCCCCTGGTGCGTGGGAATGGTTCAGTGGGAACAGTGTGTGAGTTCATCTGGATGTAGAAGGGGAAGACTGTTGCCTGTCCACATGTGTCAATAGTGGATGAAGAGTCTTCAGATGGTGTTTCCACCCCTTGATGGAAAGATGCACCACTAAGGACGAGAACATCACCATATTCCGTAGCGTCTATGACAACCAGAGAGGAACCCTGTTTACCATGGAAGATTATTGTAGTCTTCAAGAAGTTGTTTGAGTCAGAAGTGGAATACCAGTCTTCCAGAGACTCTGACAACCGATGACGCCATTGGTCAACACCAGATCTCATCTGTCTTTGTACTGCTAGCACGCTGGAGATTTTTCTTGGATCATTTAACTTTGAAACTTTCTTGATGACAGTATTGTAAAAGACCTTGAGATTACTGTAGGAGTTAACAGTATGATTAATCCACCCATTCAAGAGATTGAGCGGGGTATAACATTTTAAACTGACCCAACACGACCCTGGGTTGCCAGGGCCAAGACTGTCCATCATATCCTTGAAGTCTTTGGCAAGATATTTATCATCTCGGTTGTGAGGTCCAAAGTCGATGGCACTCACAGCAGAACTTGTCAGTTGCCCACCTAACCAATCTGTGGGTTCGGTCAGACACACCTGTAGGCTGCGGTCTTCTCGAGCGGCACCAATGGCTGCTGCCAATGCAGCTGTACTGCCTCCAGCAATGATGATGTCACAGGTTTCCTGAACATGATTCACTCCTTCAGTGGTGGAAAGCAAGACAAAAAGTATCACAAATATTGAAATCACCAAATGTTCCATGGTTTTTGTCTGGTGAACTGGTTTATGAACCGATGATTGTGGGTGACACAACTTATCATACTTATGTGGTCTGATCACCCAGGTCATGCTGATAAGCCAGGGAGGCCGCAGTCTGAGAATAGTTATCTCAGGAAATTGACACACTTGCTCGCTGTTACATAAGACCCAAAACTAATCATGACTTCAGTACTATATCAGAGACTGGGAGAGTGTCTTTTTCTGGATTGGAACATGTAATCCATGTGCTATGATTAACGTGGCCCTAAATATTGTTAAACTTCCATTTCTAACCCACTATCTGATCAAACAACCAAACTGAATGCACAAAACAGCTTTTGTAAATATATGTAACTGACCACTAATAGCTTACTCGAAGTATCAAAACTGAAATCATATGGGTTTTCCCCACCATCTCATTTACTTCTCCTTGAAAATGCCTTATGTCCCTCCTTCAGCACAGCAACAGGTAAATTTAGTTGTACATGTCAACTTTTGAGTGATCAGTGGTATTCACGATTTGAATTGTTTATCTGGATCATGGGACAGGTGACAAAACAACCAATATGCATGCATGCATGCAAGAGAAGTCTGATTGGTTTCTTTGGCTATAACCTACCTATTAGCTTCTGATATTGTGGAAAAAGTTATATTTTATCTAATTTGGGACAAACCACTTGATTGTGGGGGTGCTTGGATGTTTGTTTGAGACAAAATATTTTTCAGTCAGTGTTTCCAGACCTAACCGGAAGATACAATTTGTACAATCAACTTATCCACATGTTGCTTCTATTTCTCTGTAAGGAGGCAAACAATTTCTTTTGGACCCACAAAAACAATCAGACCCTCCCCAGAATATCAAATGATTGAGTCCTGAGAGATGTAACATGGATGTGTATTTGTGGAACAAGGTGAGACACTATGTGGATGGATCAACTTCTTATCTGTTCCTGTTGCAGACAAGTGTCGGGCCGACTCTGATATGCCTGAACCCATTCCACCATGTTCCCTCACCGGTGGTCCTACAGGACTGTCACCAAGCAGGGCACCAGCTGCAGGGGCTGGTCAACACGGCCCTGTCCCAGCACATTGACTCGGGGCACTCGCAGCTCATTGTCCTCAGGTACTTCATCTAAACAAACCGAAGAAAAACTGTGTTCCAGATGATTGTTATTTTTAAAAATAGTGCTGTAATATAAAGAGGATATTATATTCGTGTTATAAACATAGTATGACATGAACACAAATATAATGTTCTATTTATTACCGAAGAAGATGTCATACAGAGACGAATTTTAGTGTTTACCTATAAGGACAGCAAGTCGCAACAGCAGCGGAACCATGATTTGTAGAATGACGTCAACAATCTTCAGCTATGACGTCGTTTCTAGTGTGACATCATTCCGACCTCACATCACAAAAAGATTCTAATGACGTAAACAATGACGTCCGGATGACGGAAACAATACTGTTGTCTCATGATGTGATATGACCCCAGGGCACATGTGATTTTTATAAACCCCGATATGTTTACCCTCTTAGGTAATAAGTAAAGTTATGTACTGTTTGTTGATCCTCATGACATGACCGTCAACTTCCCCCTTGTCCTGCACATGCCTAGTTTGGAATGTTGCGGACTGTGTATCTTAGTGCTGCTGTCTCCATGTTTTCAGCAGCGTGCTCTCAGATTTATGATGCTGTATCTTAGTTTTTAGTTACATTCTCAAGACATATGACAGTTTTTTTGTTGCAGTCTGTCAGTTTTCATTGGTAGGCCTGTACAAAGCACAGAGAAACTATTTTGTTTCACGGAAACATATTGTTACAGTCGGGAATGATGTTGTGTTTTACATTAGTGGTGAGGGTGGGAGTGGGAAGACTCACTGCACCATGCACATCCTGCGGCTGTTGTACGAGCGGTCAGGCGGTGGCACAAAGACAGACATGTTCAGACACCTCATGGCGGCCATGACGGTTCTCCGTGCGCTGGCATCAGCTGAGACTACATGCAATACGGACAGCACACGCATTGTGAGTATATTGCACACCTTTTCTTGGGTTTTTATTTTTATACATCCCTACATGTCATGTATCTTTTAGAGATATCTACATATGACATTGATATTCTTTTGAGAAATGACAACGATACCACTGATTCCTACAAGAACATGTTCTTCTATATGGTCGCAAGTAGGTCATGTCATATGATGTGAAGAAGCAGATCTAGAGGAAGCAAGTGAAAGGGCAGTCAAATAACTATTGCTATGGAACAATTACCCTAAGATAAGTTGTAACAGGATCACAAGGGGGACATGGGGTTTTATGCATATAAAACGAGGGACACATAAAACCCCAGGTACCCCGAGTGATCCTGCGAACAACAAATTTTATCTTACTGACATATTTTAATATGACATTGTGAAATAATAAAAACAAATTCAATATTGACAGAAAATAGCTGTCCGCTGAGGTTAACTTGTGCTATGTCACCTGACTTTCATTGACTTGGAAAAAGCATGCAGGTGCATTGGGGTATAAGGGCTACTGATACTGAGCAATCTACGCGCAGCCTGATTTCTTCATGGCGGGGTATAAGGGATTTTCCTTTCAGAAATGTATTCCCCTCGAGGGGGGATACATTGTATTTTAACAAGGTCATGTGAAGCAATCAGATCTTGACATTCTGACATGGATGTATGATAAAACATGTTATTAGATATCAATTTTGATGTCTGTATTTCAGTATGAGTATATTTTTAGTATAAAACAAAATTCAGGTGTTTTTGTCATAAAATTAAAAAAGGATATGATTTCCAAAATGACTTAAATATATAGTAAGAGGTGCTTAACTATTTCCCAGGTGTATATGTTATATGTTACATTGTACCCATCTAGGGAATTGATCCCGGGTCTTCGGCGTGACGAGCGAAAGCTTTAACCACAAGGCTACCCAACTGCCCCGTATATGTTAGGACTTAAGTACAATGCGAATGTTCTGTGCTGAATATGTTGCAGGGCATGTACTTGGAAAACTTGACCTCCGACTGTATGATATACAGAACCAAGATTCATGGTCTGTTTGTAGACCAGGTAAGACAATCTCCTTTCACTGCCATTTCTCAGGTTCATGATCTTCTGGAGTGTCGAGGTTGTAGCCAACTGACAAAACGATACATAGTAACAATGGGTGACCTGACATGATGTGTGCCTGTTGATATGGATTGTTACTCATGCTATCAACCACTGGTTGACAGCTTGTCATGATGTAGCTGGAATAGTACTGATTGTGTTGATTAAATGGCATTCACTCATGATGCGCCATTGTTGTTCATGGCTCTTTGAATGACCTGTATACCGATATATTCGACCGCTCTGTGGTCTAGTTGATAGAGTGTCTGCCTGGAGAGCGGAAGGTTGGGTGTTTGATACTTGGTTGTATCATGCCAAAAGATGTTAACAGATGGTACTTGTTGATACCCTGCCTAGCACTCGGCTTAAAGGGGCTGAAACATGGACTGGTTGGCACGGAGTCAGTACACTGTGTCTGAATGGAGTATTCATGTTAAACTGCAGTAGGTTTCTCAGTGGGCTGGCACTATAAAACCAGCATTAGGCTGGACTAAAACGCACCCACACAAACACACATGCATGCACATCGCTATGTAAGTCCAATAATCTTGAATGCTGCATTAACCCTGATTCACCTCACCTCACATATGCATTCATTGTATTGTGTTGTTTAATAGCAAGGGTAACTTTGTTTGGGAGTTGAGTGACCTATGTCATCAGTGTACATATTTCTTCATTGTTTTTGTAACTTGTTTTTCATTGTAACTTTGTTATAGGGTCGAGTGACCTATGTTCCACGGAGGGAGAAAAACTACCATATATTCTACCAGATGCTGGCTGGATTGTCTGATGAAGAAAGAGGTACGAGATTTGCTCATACAATGTTCATTATGACTACATGTAATAGAGGGACAGACAGCATATTGCCATAAGGAACTGCATTAGCTGTGTTTAGGTAATTATGGGGGGGGTACGGGTGGCCCAGTCGTCTAAGGTGCCGTGATTCACTGTGCAGAGTTGCGTCCCTTGGCACGCCAGAAACCTATGATTGTGGGTTCGAATCCCGGTTCGCCCCGATTATGTTTCTAGGTTTGTCAGCACCATACCCGTGCTCGTGGGTTTCACCGAAGTGGTAAACGTCTGAGACCTGCACCACTTGGGGCTTTCCTCCCACATTAAGCTGACACGCCGCGATATGACTGGAATACTGTAAAAAGAGGCATTAAACCCAACTCACTCACTAGGTAATTATGGTTGCACTGAATGGTTGAAAGATCGAGTGAAGTAACTTTCCAATACTCCAGTTTCACAAGACCGCCACTGTGGTAGAAAGTCCAACTGGAAAGTGGAAGCTTCAAGGTTGATCCCGGGCTGCATCATACAAAAAACATTTAAAAGATGGTACTTGTTGTTACCCTGCCTGGTGGTCGGCATTAAGGGGCTAAAACAAGAACTGGTCGGCTCAGAGTCAATATACTGTGTCTGAGTGGGGTATTCATGTTAAACTGCAGCATGGTGTCTCAGTAGGCTGGCACTATAAATCAGCATCAGTCTGGACAAGTACAAGCAGTCACACACACACACACACACACACACACATGCTTACACTTTGCTGTATAAGTGCAATAATCTTGAATGAGACGTTAAACCCCACTTCAGCTCACCTCCAGTTTCACACATTGACTTGCTGATCTGTAGCAACCAGTACCAACTCTGTATTATATTGTTCATTGTGGAGAACAGTTTCAAATAATGTCATTCATTTGTTCTGAAGGCCTGTAGATTGATGTGGTGCACTCAACTGTCGAGCTATAGATTAGTATAGTGCATTCGATGGATCTGTAGAATGATTGGTTGGTATGATAACGTTTCACTGTAAGGATGACATTTCATGGAGTTTCTTGCACTTCTTTCTTGATATGACATATAAAGAATAACTTAGTGATCAATAGATTATCCCTCATGAATAGATATATGTCCCTCACAAAGGTCGACAGCTAATATTGTCAGTCAATCTGGACAAGCTGTAAGTCCACAGGGCTTATAATATACTGTCTTTGTAGTGGATAGAGGACTCATGACAGTACTTTATCAGGATCCAGGAACAATGGACGAGGAGAAGCTGAGTGCTATTGTTTTGCAGCTGTTGCTTTGTAATCCAAATATGTAGTGTCACAGTCTTCTATCTGTCACAGAGCACAGCCACATAATAATTCACCAATAATATATCAGCATTTGTGATGAACAATTTGTATTGAGGTATATTTCACTTCCCCTCAAGATCCATGGATGCACAGACCAGGCATCTGTGTAATTCTTGATGTACATGCATCTGTTGTATAAATTGTATTTGCTGGAGTACATTATCAGGATATAATTGAATTTAAGCAATAAAACAATTTCCATAATCATAAGATATCGCTACTAAAAGCAGAATCCATTGTACAATGCCAACTATATCATCAGCATGTGTCTATGAAATAGTGATGATACCAGGTGTTCACGAAAAGATGAGCATATCCTGCCCAACCAATGGCACCTGTCACAAACACATGCAAAGGCAAGTCAATTTTCACCTGAAAAAACATGGAACACATGTTACAAGTGAAAATAGGGAATTCGACATCAGACATCATTATTGATGCGTCAAATTTAGAAATGTCCTGCTAACACTGCTATAATATATTTTATTCAGTGAAGCTACATTTAAAGGGGTACTCTCTGCACAACCTGCGCTACCTCAGCTGCGGCAACCTCCAGCAGAACGTGACAGACGACATGCATAGATTTGATGTATGGAAGGTGAGATGGCCAACAAGTTTGTCATTTTCCAATGAAGCTTCGTTGATATTGTTCAGACAACATTACTTACAGGTTCTGTCAGAACTATGTATAATATTGGCATTCACTTTGTTTTGAACTACAGATATATCATCATATTCTTGGACTATAAACTGTAAACCTAATCTACTCAATGTCCCCAGTGACCATAAAAAGTATGTAAGCTTATTTAGGCATTTATTTGGAAGTACTAAATTCAATCCTGTGAAATGGACAGATGCTCTTGATGTACATGCTTAAAGGTTTCTAAATGTGAGGAGGAATTAAGGAGGTGTTCAGCTGTTTTGCAGATTAGCACTTGCAAGGAAAGTATTGTTGTCCAGAGCTCTTTTGGTTATTTGGGTATTTTACCCATGGGTTGATTTTTATTGAGTATCCACAATTTTTAGAGGAATTTAATTATTATCTTTTACATATGTTTCTTGACATTTGGGTATTTTAACTTCAAACCTGTTTCGTAACACTCCCCTTAAATCATTTAATTTTTATGTGAATAGTAGTATATCCATCTGCGTCTGCTTGTGGCTCCCTCTCCAGGAAGCCATTTTTGTTTGCAAAACTTACCATAGTAAGAACGGTGGTACTTTTTTAATCAGCGAGTCAGTGACTATTCAAGATATAACATGTACATGGACTAGGCACGATGTGCTTTTCAATTGGCATCTATCAGTATGTTTGTCACCCAAGCTTTTCCAAATGTAACTGTCATTAAGTGAATTTTGCGATCGGCTGAGACACAATCATGTTATCGAACAGTTGTAATATACACAATCGTTTTATGTAATAGTTGTAATATATGCATTAATTTTATGTCAATAGCATATTTATAGTTTTTGCTGCATATTTTATACGCTAGGAATTTATTTGTCTGCATATGTCAGTTTATTTCATGGGTATTGTAAGCAGCTTATCTCTAGCTCTGTTAGTACAAAAAATGTTTCCTTTTTCAGTCCTCCTTGTCAGTGCTAGGAATCCCTGTGATGGACATATTGCGGGTTTTGGCGGCCATCTTGTTGCTGGGGAATGTAGAGTTTGTGGAGAGCCCAGGGATGGAGCTGGAAGTTGTAGGGAACGATGGTGAGTTTTATGTGGATGTAGTTGACTCACATGCCATCTTTGTCCAGATCCTGTTGGTGCAGGAACTACACCTTCCAGATCATTACTGTTGGGATTAGGGCTGGGACGGGTACTCAGGTCAGGTACTTGGGTTGGGTGGGTATTGAGTAGGACCAGGGTACCCACAGGACTACCCGGACCCCTAGTTAGTCACGTGATATATTGTTTCATGACCAAAATTCACTGAAACTCCATGGCTACACGAGACATCACTAATGTTCACGTTTTATTCTGACTTTTATATATTTGAATAATGATAAAGGTTCACTCAACTTTAGTGTATACATGACCAGATCATTTTTTTGAAAGGTGTTTTTAAACATTTTTTGCCAGTGACCCGATAAAACATTTCCAAAGAGTCCTTCAGTGGGTATCCGGTAAAGTCAGGCCATAGGGGTCAGGTACCCGGGTAGGAAATTTGGACTTGTCCCAGCCCTGGTCGGTATACATACAGTATAACATGGTTATAGTGAACAACAAGAGACTGTTGAAATTGGTTCGTTATCATGGTTGTCCATTTTGTATTTGTAGTGATAGTGACATTTCCATCCGCTATTCCTATTAATTATTTTCTTGATTTTCTAAAACTTGATTGATTACGTAAGCCATGTATTATTGAAAGAACTATTTTCAACATGAAGGAGATGTGTATATACAAAGTGACATTTGTCCACATCTAGGATCTGTTCATGTAGAGAAAGTAGGTTTCATGATACCAAGCATAAGTATTTCAGCCGTGGGTGGAAAAAAGAAAACCTTCAAGTGGTCATTTAAGCCTTCTTAATCAAATAGTGAATGAGTGAGTATGGTTTTATGCCGCTTTTAGCAATATTCCAGCAATATCGGGGGACACCAGAAATGGGCTTCACACATTGTACTCATGTCGGGAATCAAACCCAGGTCTTGGAGCGAACAAGCAAACGCTTTAACCACTAGGCTACCCGACCGCCCCCTTAATCAAATAGCAATGCACAATTCTTAATGAAAATATTCAACATGTTCTTTAGAAAAGGAATTATATTTAACAGAAATTGGTTAAATTCCATATTATTTCTTCTTATTTTGACAACTGAACCAGATGAGACCAATACATGTTTTCTTTAATGTTAAAATTATCTGATCTAGAAATCAAGTCTGTCGCAGCTCTGCTGGGCGTGTCAGGGGTGTCCTTGTATCGGGGCTTTACAACGAGGACTCGCCATGTTCATGGCCACGTCTCCCGGAGTATTACGGATGCAAGAAGTGTGAGTAGCTTCGGGTCATCGTAAAGGTGGTTCATTTGTGATTGTAAGAAAACAGAATATTACTACTAAGATGGCCCAGCCTTCAGATTCACTGTGCAGAGTTGCGCCCCTTGGGCATGCCAGAAACCTATGATTGTGGGTTTGAATCCCAGTTCGCCCTGATTATGTTTCTAGGTTTGTCAGCACCATACCCGTGCTCGTGGGTTTCACCGAAGTGGTAAACGTCTGAGACCTGCATCTTTTCGGGCTTTCCTCCCACATTAAGCTGAAGAGAGGCGTTAAACCCAACTCACTCACTCACTCACTCACTCACTCACTCACTCACTCACTCACTCACTCACTCAGACTTTGGATAACATTAGATTGTGATTATTGTCAGAGCTGCTCTTAAATTACTTATCCACTGAACTTATGGGGCTTCCAGGTTAGAATTTGTCCCCAGCAACCTATGCTTGTCGTAAGAGGCGACTTTATAGACAGGGTGGTAAGACTCAGGGACTTGTTGATAAATTGTAGTGGATCATAGCTCAAAATGTCCATCACTAGTTTGTCTGGTCCAAATTTGATTATTTACAGGCCACGTCACAGATAGCTGGAGTGAGTCAACAAACGAACAAAGTGATCCATTACGGTTACTGCTGCTTTACACAATGCAACACTCTACAAATCTATACAACTATTCTTTAGTCTATATCCACCGATCAGCAGAAATATATTTGCTGATTTACCCAAGTATTCTATTTGGTGTAAAGCATAGTAAACATTGGTAAGCACTTGCAAATATTAACTGGATTTGAAACCTCAGGCCTTTGTTTAGTTATTATGTATGCAGTAACATACCAGAAACTCAAAATTCAAATGACAACTGATTTACTTCCTGAAATCTTCTTTTTAGTGTCATGTGAGTTTGTGTATTCTACTAAGTTTGTGAAAGTTCTGATTCTAAGTACCTATTACTTCTGTACATGCAGGCTAACTCCACTCGAGATGCCTTGGCGCGGGCCCTGTATTACCGTACTGTGTCCACGGTGATGAAGAGAGTCAACAGTATACGTCGTCAGGTGTCCAATCTTGCCCAGAGCATGGAGAGCCTTGAGTCCAAGGGGAGCCGAAATAGTGCACAGTATAGTAAGTTTTGTCCTGCTCACATGGACTGTTTATTTTATTATAGGGTTGGGTGGATTGGTCTTAGGACTGTATCATATTTTGCTGACCACCCCACCCTACCCCACTCATATAAAATTATCAGTCCCTAAAAAATGTTCATATGTATAAAAACAACATATGACAAAAAAAGAAGGATTAATATATTTACTAGACTAGACAATGTCATACTAGACTGTGGCTTTGAACTGGTTGCTGAAGTCTCTACTCATATAAGTGAGTGAGTGAGTATGGTTTTACGCCTCTTTTAGCAATATTCCAACAATATCACAGCAGGGGACACCAGAAATGGGCTTAACACATTGTGTCTATGTCAGGAATCGAACCCGGGTCTTTGGTATGACGAGCGAATGCTTTAACCACTAGGCTATCCCACCGCCCCACTACTCATATAAAGTAGTATATCATGGTAAATAATCCTTAAATACACACCTGCCTTGAATAAACACTTGCTTTGAATAAGAGCCTGCTTAAATAAACATGTTCCCTTAAAAGTAGTGAAACAAGACATTTAAAACAAAATTGAAACAATCTTGATTTAAAAGCTTCTCAAAAATAAGTAAGTTCCTGTCACTTTTTCAAGGTTTTATGGTATATGCTATATACATGTTAGTGTTCAATCAGCATTTCAAATTAGCTAACCATAACTTCTTGATTACAATACATGGTCAAATATGTAGGCACAAGATTTGCATTAAACAAAATTGAAATAAAATTTATGCAAACACTCCTCAGAAAATGATTAATGCCTGCCTGGAATAACAGCTGGATGTTTGGACCCTCAGGAATAAACACCAGGGCCCACTTGCACAAAGCAATCTTAGCGCTTTGATTATTATAAGCCTATGTTAAAGTATGGGAGTTACAATCATCTTAGGGCTAAGATCGCTTTGTACAAGTGGGCCCAGGGCCACGATCCACAAAGCAGTCTTAACACTACGACTAACGTAAGCCTGTGTTAAAGTGTGAGTTATGATCATCTTAGCGCTAAGATCACATAGCCCAGGTGCTTATTCAAAGATTTACAGTAACCTCAGCTAATAGCATGGATAGGTCATCCTCACAAAAGAACAATCACAGCTTCTTATTCACATCGGATCTGTCGTTCTGGCAGGTCATCGTCCAGACATCCTTACCACCAACCCCGGGGATTCATCCTCCACAATCCAACATGGCCGCAAGTTCTCTGATGGCTTTGTGGGTATCATGGACCTTTTTGGGTTTGAGCTTGCAGAGGTGAGTAAGTGAGTGAGTTTGGAATAACAGCTCTTAGAACAGTATTTCAGTCTCGATGTAGAAGGAAGCCCAAGTGATGGGCTACTTTAGTGAAATTGACAAGCACAGGTATGGTGCTGACAAGCCTAGAAATCTGGGATCGATCATAGCTTTCTGGCAGCCTAAGGCTTTTATATAACCCTCACAAGAAATATTTGCGCTCAATAGAAACATTAAAAACGTTAAAAAAGATGTTTAAAGATGGTACTTGTTGTTACCCTGCCTAGCACTCGGCATTAAGGGGCTGAAACAAGGACTGGTTGGCACAGAGTCGGTATACTGTGGGGTGGGGTATTCATGTTAAACTCTGGCATGGTATCTCAGTGGGCTAGCACTATAAAATCGGCATTAGTCCGGACTAGTACAAGCAGCCACACACACACGTGCACGTCGCTATATAAGTGCAATAATCTTGAACGTGACGTTAAACCCTGTTTCGCCTCACCACCTTGATGAGCTGAAACGATACCTATGATTTCATCGATACTAAGGTACGGAAGATACTTGAATCCTCAGTTTGTGAGATCGCAATATGCTAAAAATAGAACAGGAAGTGATGGAGTTATCTCCTGTAACGCCGGAAATAGCATAGCACCATCAGTAGGTGGAACTCAAGGACAGATAGTGGACACACCCAATGCAGTCTCCAGTTTGGGCAAAGTTTGAGTTTGAGAATTCCTCAAACAGATAAAAAAGGTTGTAAGCAGATTGTGTTGAGCAGTATATTTCTTACATTGGGAACATGAAAAAAATGTCAAACACATCTCCCTATGAAGCAAGAGGTTTTGTTTGTTGATTTGATCACTTCATACTTTTTGTTGTGTATCATAATACCAGTTGTATCTTGAGTCTGTATCATGATACGTATCATCAGGTGATACTCGACACTACTTGGTACCTGTACCCTGATGCGTTGTCTCTGTCCCGTCCCAGGTGAACCAACTGGAGCAGCTGTGTGTGAACCTGTGTGCCGAGGCCATGCAGAACTTCTACAACAGCCACATGTTCCGCAGTCCACTGGAAGCCCTCCACGAGGAGGGTATTCAGCCGGAGATTGACATCGTGCACTTCAACAACATGCCTGTCATTGAGCTGCTGTCATCACAGGTGGGCTTGTAGGGGTACCTGTGTTTGTCATGGATCAGTTACTGTTTAACTAGTTTGAGATTGCAAGTGCTTCACATTTGGTAAATAAACTTTTTATTAAAAATATTTACCTGACCTTAACTTCAGTGAATAACCAGTAGCAAAGCAGTGCCTTCAAGATGCCCATTGCTGACTCAGCAGTATGCCGCACTCACTGCCCTCTGCCAAGAGTTACCTGTCAATATCTGTCACCTAGCACAGAGGCTCACAAGAACTAAATGTTGCCCAGATTGTGATCAGCCCCACACCAGTGTTTATCTTTCTATTGTATATGTTGTAAACTTTTACATTTTAAAAAATTCCTCTGAAACCTAAGTGCCTGATGGATGATTTAGCAAATGATGTATATATCATCATAAAATTCCAATCTCCCATTACAATATAGCAGCCATATTGAAACTGTCAGTTTTGTCCCACTCCTCAGTTATTTGTCATACTTGTAAGATGGTGAAAAGTTACATACATTTAATATGACTATTGTTTTGAAATATTTGCTGCAGCATTTCATTTTGGAATAGCTCCTCCTTGTATTCTTTCACCATGACAGCGCAATGTTGCATCATGGTCTTTATTATCTACCATATCAAGGCTCCATATTATATTTTGAGCCATTGAATATTGATACTTTTCTTTAATGTAAAACTGACAGTCTTAGTTCAAACAAGCAATACTGAGTTCTTTTGTTACTGTAGTAGTGGCCATGTTTACATGATGCCTGAATTCACCATAGATGTGTTAAAACATAGGTTAAAAGGCTGAAGAGGCTACATTGGGTAATTGCACACATTGTAGTTATACTGTAGAGTTTTTGAAAAAATAAACTTGTATGCAATTAACTCAAAACTAATTGGGGACCTGTGAAGATCCGGGGTAGAATAGGTCTTCAGCAACCCATGCTTGCCGTAAAAGGCGACTATGCTTGTCGTAAGCGGCGACTAACAGGATCGAGTGGTCAGGCTCGCTGAATTGGTTGATGCATGTCATCATATTCCAATTGCAATTGATGTCAATCATGTCAATCAGACTCGATTATTTACAGACTATCGTCATATAGCTGGAATATTGCTGAGTGCTACGTTAAACAACAAACAAACAAAACTAATTGGGTAACATTGTGACATTGCCAATTTTGAGATTGGTATGATGAGTATTCACAAGCATTAGAAATGTGTTACACAGAGTGATAAAGAATTAAAAGTAAGATGTATATTGACAGCAACCATGACAGATGCTGCATCACCTTGTGTTGCAGACGAATGGCATCGTGAGCATCCTGGATACACTGACAGCGCAGCCCAAAACGACAGTCGAGACGTTCGTGCAGGAGATTAAGGCTAGGCACATGATCAACAATTAGTAAGCATGGGACACCAACATCATGAAAAGATTTCCTTTGATTGCGATGAACCTGTGATTTGATCACTCATATTTTTGTGTGACTGCTGTACTGTTTATGAACTAAAAATATGTTCACTTAATTTTTGCCCTTTGGTGATTCTAAGTTAGACAAAGTAACCTATGCTTGCCAAAAGAATTGACTTAATAGTTTTGGGTTCAGACTCGGTGACTTGGTTGATTGCATGTCATTGTACCCTGACAGAATGGATTGTTGCTCACAATATCAATCACTGGTTTGTCTGGTCCAGACTTGATGATTTAAAGGCCACTGTCATATAGCTGGAATATTGCAGATTTTTTCATGGATAATTTTAGTTTCTCTATTCAATGCATTTTCAGTTTCTTTGAGCCACTGCCAAAGGTTGAGCGGTTGTTTGGTATTCGCCATTTCTCAGGCCGTGTGGTTTACGATGCCAGCAACTTCCTCTCCACCAATCAGGATCAAGTTCCTGATGACATCGTCAGTATTTTCTCCAAGCAGAACTGTAACTTTGGGTTTGCCTCACATCTCTTCGCGCGTGAAGTCAAAACCATGAGTGGTGAGTCTACTTGTTGTTCGGCCACTTGTGTAAGGGAGATAACTCTAATATGGACCTGTTGAACATGTGCATGATCATGTTAAGAAGACAGTCAATATGATTAAAATCACTCCGATACCTCTCTGCTTGATAATTTGATGACACCACTATAGGAGGTCACGTCAGGTGAGCTTTCTTGTCAGCCAATCAGTACCAAACTTAGGCTTCTAAATTCTCGGTACAAGAGAGCAAAACATTCAGACAACCACATGTAAATTCAGTGTAAAATTAACTAGATTTTACTTATCCTGTCTCACACATTGCATCTTGGAGACAGGATAAATATTAAATATTGAAACTAATGTAAAATTAACAATTTCTGTTTTTAAAAAAAAGGAACTAAAATGACCGCTTCCAAATGTAGATAATTAAATTGTTTAAGATGTTATGAAATAAGCACTGCTTACATTATCTCCTAGACAATGGTCAGGGCCCGCGAGGGACAAGGTACAGGATTCTACCCACAAACCACCATGACACAGGAAAAAGGTAAGTAACAATGACCATTTTCTTTGCAGTGATCAGGTTTCAGTTGCTTTGTGTTTCCCAAGAAAACATTGGTCTCTCATGACGTCATTTCTGGATATTATGAACATACCCATGCAAATTGATGACGTCGTAAATTGGATGACACTGTGTTTGAGAGGGTAGTGAGTTGTTCCCCTTAGATCTAGCTGGGCAATGCAGATAAAAGTAATGGATGAACAAGCACACCAAAAAGTGGTAGAGATACAGAAATCTATAATGGAAGAAAAGGTACAGATAATGGCCATCAATTGCTTTGATGTTTTTTAGAAGATTCAGGAAATACATGTACCAAACTTAACCCCCCTGTTCATAAAATGGACTTGTCTGACATTGCGATATCAAAATTGTATTTTGGGAGTCAACATTATTTAAATATTTTTAAAGCTTGTGAATTTTCAACATCCTAAAGAGGTTGTAAATAGTGTTGATATCTCATATGAGAAATAAACTACTCGTGGTCATTGTTTATCGTACAATAAAACATTGCAGGGAGAATGCACCCCTTCAGATTTGTTTGCAGTGTTTTATTGTACAATAATCAACTCCCTCACATCATTTATTATTGATGCATATAATGCAGGGGAATATAGTCATCATCTGGTCTGTCTGTGTGTCTGTCCGTCCGTCCATCTAACGTTCTCATTTCGTTTTCGGAGCATAACTTGAACACCAGGAAAGTTTTTTTATCTCAACTTTTTACATGTATTAACAGGGGCTGAAGTAGAACCTTTTGCTATTCAGGATATTTTCAAAATTGTATTTTGTCCTGTATCCATGGAAACAAGCTAGATTTATCTGAAATGGATATAGGTGTTGTTTTTGGAGTAGAACTAAAAAATTATTCAAGATTTTTCATCCAAACGTGCTAGATCTATTAATCAGGGGATAAAGTGGTGCCTTTTGCTATTTTTAGAATTTTTACTTTTTCCATTTCCATGGCAACAAGATTGACTTGACTCTGTTCATAGTGGTGTGTTTGTCCAGACCATATCTCTGAAACTGATAGGTATTCTTTCATGAAACTTTACACACACAAAGATCAGGTTTTCAACTGGTGCCTTTTGCTATTTAGGTATTTTTAGAATTTTTATTTGTTCCGTTTCAACAGCAACAACGACATTGACTCTGTTCAGACTGATGTTAACCTGACATAGAAATACAAAGTTCCAAATCCCAATTCCATGGTATGGTTTTGATAGCTCAGTAACTACTCTTGTATATGGACAGTCAGATTACTGGTAGCTAGAAATTCTATCGTCAAGTTGTACTTACTGTAACAGTCAGATTATTTTCTCTTTCAAATTTGTGAGGGCAGGGGGGATTTGTCGTCTCCTGAGGAGTAGAGAGACTATGCATGTCCATGTAATTAGTATGTATGTACTTTATGAGATTTCATGGATTGGTATATGTATAAGAGAGAATTGGTTCTCAGAAGCTGCAATATTTTGTTTAAAAAATCTGAATCTATAATTGTTTTAAACAAAAAGTGAAATTCAGATTCAGATTCGTAAATATTTTCCACAATTTTTCAAAAGTCATTACTGAAAGACAAATTGATTTTATTTAAGGATTGACAGTGTATTTTTTTCGGTTCATTGAGGTATGAATCGAAAAACCGATGTGCAAACTGTATGGATCCGCGTATCATTATTGTGCTAGTATGGAGAGTGTTACATTGTCTCCATCTCCCCACAGTGATGAAGATTGTCGAGGGTCGCTGTGCTATGACTTCCAACTGAGACTCGACAGCCTCCTCAAGTCGGTCGTCAATGCTAAGCCACACTTCATCAGATGTGTCAGGGTAAGATCTATCAATTATGTTACAACATTATTATAAGGTAGACACAATTTCATGGATAACAACTTCTTTAATACTGTAAAAAGTGACGTTTCCTTGCTTGACAACGGTATAAGGTTCTATACCAAAACATCCTTTTTACAGTATTAAAGAAGTTGTTATCCATAGAATTGTGTCTACCTTGTCATCTGTCAACTTCGAGGTAATGCCCATCAAACTATTTCAAACTTATTAACTGGATATTATGTCTTTTATTTTTTATAATTCTTTTTTTGACCCAATGCTAGTCTCCCTGTGGGGGTTGAGGTAGAATAGATCCCCAGAGCCCCGTGCTTTTCTCGCTTTTCATAGGAGCTGACTCCAGTGAGAAGCTACCCATGCTTGATGTAAAAGTTGACTGTGCTTGTCGTAAGGGCGACTGACGGGATGGGTGGTCAGGCTCGCTGACTTGGTTGATGCATGTCATCGTATCCCAATTGTGCTTATGATATTAACCACTGGATTGTCTGATCCAGACTTGATTATTTACAGACCGCCGTCATATAGCTGGAATATTGCTGAGTGCGGCGTTAAACAAACAAACAAAAAGACAAATGAGGAGCAATTACAATGTTTGACTTTGTGTGTCAATATACCCTAATGTTTTGGATGGTTGCTCATGCTATAAACCACTGGGTCATATGGTCAAGACTTGATTGTTTGTGTAATATTGCAAAGTACTACAACGTGCACTCTCCAGTTAGACACATTTCTGTAAGCAAGGATTATTTGTTTTATCACAGAGTAACGATCACGGCGAGATGGACTCTTTTAGTCCAGAGACTGTCATACAACAGATCCGATCACTGCAGATCCTGGAGACTGTGAGGCTTATGGCAGGAGGTATGTGCACTTGTTGAAACCCCAATAAACTAATGCATAGTCATATAGGATTTTGATAGAAACAAGCAACTATATTTAAATTGAAAAGGAGCCCCATTGAACCAGTGGTAAAATCTAGACTTGCTTCATTTAGGGCTATGTCAATCACCAGATTGTCTTGTCTAGGCTCAATTATTTTCATACCACCATCATACAGCTGTAATAATGCTGAGTGTGGCGTTAAACAACAAACAACAGTGTGGATCAATGCTCACACTATCGACCCCTGGTGTGCCTGGTCCAGATGTGAACATGAAGTCCACAGAATCTTGAATGAGTAACAGTTACACTTTTGGAGATTAGAATCTGCTTAGATACGTCAGATGGTTGTATGTTTCCTATTTTGTGGCATCTCCTTTGTCGTCTCTTCAGGTATGCCACACAGGATGCGGTACAAGGTTTTCAATGTCCGCTACTGTCTGTTCCTGCCTCAGGCGGCCCAGCTCCCGCTGCAGAGTCCACAGGAAGAGTGCCGGGTAGGACACACCAGGGCACTCCGCAAACAACTGTTCATCTATAAGTTACAAGCATTTCAGCTTAATCAGTTCATGGTTCTCAGGCACTGCCCTCATCATCATTAGGTCCGCCGCATGTTTCAGGTTTTTTTCCATTTTCAAAAAAATAAAATAATCCTGACACTTAAAAACAATATGACACACAGTTACTTCCCTTTACATCTCGTGTTATGGTCAGGGAGGCAATAGAAGTTTGTATGCTTGTTTGTATCGGGAGGCCTTTCCCCAGGCTGATGGTAAACAACTGTTTATTTACATACTACTTTGAACAACAATAACAACAAAAACAAAAACACTGCCTATACCGCACTTTATTTTTAAAAGCTGTTGCCTGTGAACCAATTTAATTTTTTTTAAGCCACATATTATTAAAGTGAATGAAGTGAGTATATTGGAATTGTTCATTAATTCCTGGCCATGTTTCCAGACAATCCTGACCAGCTTCCTAAGGGCCATGGATAACAGCATGCTCCCCTATGTCAGTACACAGTGGACACTCGGCAAGAAGCACCTGTTCTACAGGTACTGTATATATACACACACAAAACTACTGATATAACCAGATCAAGGTACTTTTTTTGTCTTTATCTTGATTGTAAAACCGGAGCATACTTCCTCTTTAAGTGTGAAACACAAGGTTTCATGTGTATGGCGTCCCGTGTGTCCGAAGAACATATATTATATATAAAGCATGCCCACTCCCATGCCCACCCCCAGAATACCAAATAGTTGTAACAACGCAGAGGTCTTGATTTTCAGCTGAAACATGTTTCTTATTTATGCACAAGAAAACATATATAGACATATTGTGGACCTGATTTCAGTGAGGGCACACGCCAGAGTCTCGAAGGCATGCGCCAGGAGAGACTACACGACGCTGCTGCCAAGATACAGGCATGCTGGCGAGGGTCAAAAGTCAGAAGGGTGTGGCCTGAAGTAAGAGCTCGGCTAAGAACACGGAAATCATCAGAGAAAAGGTTAAGACACAGGTACAGTATTCCCTTCCTTCACAGTATATCAGTGTTCGAAATACCTGCCTGCCCGACCGTCCGAGACGGGTTGATTTCAACTCGGGCTGCCAGATTTTCAAATCCCCCTGCCCGACGGTCGGGTTATATTTCATATGTGAAAATATTCAAAATATTTCCCGATGATAAGCATTAATTCACATGTAAAGATGAATTATAAAATGTAACCAAAAAGAAACCCCGTTAGCTTATCCTGAGAAACATGATTATAGTGGGCAGGCAGGTTTTGGTCAGGGCTGGCAAGTATTTCAGCTAGCCAGTCCTGTGGTCTGGCTGAAATTTTTGGGAGTTTCATACCCTGAGTACTGTATATCACATGATTGGTGTCCTGGTTTAATGATGATATTACTATTGTTGATGTATAGTTGATGTAGTGACACATATGGTAGTTGAATGTCATGATAGATCACATGATTGATGTCATTACATATGTCATGCTTGAATGATATTCTGATAGATATCATGGCAGATGTGGAATGATTCCCCTCCTCATCGATAACATGCCAGCATTTCCTTCTTCTTCCTCCAGGTCCTCTTATTCCTCCTCCAGTGCCAGCAGCACCCAGCACCTGCTGGAGGAAGAATACCGACCATACAGGGGAGATCGCTCCCAGCCACACAGGGGAGAATACTCCCAGCCACACAGGGGAGATCACTCCCAACCACATAGGGCAGATCACTCCCAGCCACACAGGGGAGATCAGTCCCAGCCACATAGGAGAGATCAGTCCCAGCCAAACAGGGGAGATCACTCCCAGCCACACAGGGGAGATCACTCCCAGTCACACAGTGGGCCTCCTCAGAGTAACAAGATAGATCACCAGCGCCACAATAGGGATCATTACCTGCATGGTATGGATCATCAGGGGATAAATCACCACCTGCACAATGTGGATCATCCTAGCAGAAAGATGGACCATGAGAAGCACAAGGTGGATCAGCAGACGTCAAGGTTGGAGCGGAGACCGGTGGAGAAGGTGGATGAACGGGTCCTGCAACAAATATGTTCCATGTATTCTATCAACCAGGTGAGTGCAGTACTTAAACATAGAAGATGCATAGTTTAGGAAACAGCTTTAATATGAAAAAGGGATAAAATATCTGTTAACAGTTCTGCAAGTTTTTGACAAAGTCATCTTTAAGGCATTTTACTCTTCAAGTCAATAATAAAATACCATTCCTTTTACTCAAAATATAAACAGCATTGCCATCATCACCAAGACAAGTTGAAATGCAAGAAAGGTTGTGCCAAAAACATTCTTTGGTGCTAGGGTTTTATAACATTTATGTAATGATACTATTTTTGAGTTTCTCTTTCTGAAATTTCTTTGAGCATGTCAACATTTTTGCAGTTAAGTTTTAGGTGGGTTGTAGGGCTATGTCTTAAAGATTTTAAAAATCTTTAGTCTATAAAAGTTGAAAATATGACATATGACTAATATGCAATTATTTGTCCAAGAAAGCTTATTCCAGTGCTGTGGTCCAATGTCACGATAATACCGCAGGTTTGAGTTCCGTGTGACTGAAGTACATGTGATGTTTTCCCAGGATTCCAGACCCCCAGTGCCATCAAGACGGAACTACCTGGTGTATGGTGGGATGAGGCTGGAGTTCCCCCACTACCGCATCATGAAACATAACTTTGCAGGTCAGTAGTTGATTCTGGGGTGTACAGTCCTCAGTCCAGTGTTTCAGTACTTTTTATATCTTCAAATGTTTGAATTTCTTGTACCGCTGTACAGACCCTTTCCCCATGACAAACGACTGCAAACTTTTCTGTAGATTAGGGTTCAGATATCTAGCCCAATCACTTGATAGAAAATTAAGCTTGTCAAGTAGGGTTGGGACAGGTAACTTGGGTCAGGTGGGTACTGAATAGGACCCGGGTACCCACACAACTACCCGGACCCGTGGTTAGTCATGTGGTATATTGTTTAATGACAAAAATTCACTGAAACACGACATATTACTGATGGTCAAGTTTCTGACTTTTATATATTTGAATAAACATAAAGCTTCGCTCAACATGACATTAATATAACAATAAAACTCCATGGTTACACTACAAGAATAGGTAAGGTTCATATTTCTTTCTGACTATGCAAGCATTCGTTCTGACTTTTATATGTTCGAGTAAGGATAAAGCTTCTATTAGGTTCAGGGTAAGCATGATCAGATTGTTTTACATGTGTATCTAAATAGTATTTGCCAGGGCTGTGGTAAAACAATTCCCACTTGGATTTGTACCCAACTCTTGAGACGTACAGCGGGTGGCTGGGTTTGGTCAGGTAATTGGTGTCAGGTATCCGGGTTGTAAATTTGGACTTGTCCCAGCCCGATAGTCAAGTCAGGCTTCCGAGATTTTATTTTCGCTAGCCAGACAGAAAAGGGAGTAGATACAGGACAGGTGATTTGTTACTCCTGTCCATTGAAGTGTTAGTCACTCTTGCACCTGTATCGCTCTATTACTGCTGTGTAAAAAGGGCACTTATTAACCAATAAGCTGTTATGTAAGGTCAGAGGTAGCAGACAGAGAAACTGGTGTTGGAACAACTTGATCCAACCGTTTTGGAACTGACAATTTGCTGAACGACAAAATATACTCATCCTTTTAGACTAAGAAGCTGTGTACTTTATTTACAGCTGATTCACAAGGTCTGGTGCTCATGAAAGGTCAAGAGGTGAAGGTTGTTGGTGTGTCGCAGCAGAAAGGTTATGTGAGGATCAATTATTGCAACACGATCCTTCACGTTCCCCACGACTTCCTGGACTTTAAGGTAAGGATGAGTGAGTGAGTTGGTTTAACACTACAGTAAGCAGTATTTAGTCATATGTTGGTGTGTCTGCTTGATATGGTTGGAAATCTTAAAGTGAAGCCAATTGTTGCAACGTTAGTGAAACCAACAAGTATGGTGCTGACGAGCCAGGGATCTTGAGCAAACTCACGAACCTCAGACCCTGGTTGTCAACAGACGCAGCTGTGAATTGCACATCTTCCCAAGGCAAGGGAGTTAACTGACTGTAAAAGTCCAGTTTCCACCTTTGCCAAACTAGCGCGCAACAAACTTGACATTTGGTTCGTAAACAAAATGGATTTCAACATGCACATTTCGATTGACTGCATCATTTGCAAAGCATGTGTACTGTCAATTAGGCGTCAAAAGATATTTTTTCCTAATCTTTTCATGTTTTTAATCAAGGTGCACAAGTGATTTGATGCACTTTGCGAGATAAGACCTGTTTCATGACAACATAGATCTTGATTATCGATCAGATCACCTTGACTGGGCACCGTCCTTTTTGTTTGAAACAAATGCAAGTGATATGAGAGGTGGAATCTGATCGGTCAATAGAAGGGACATAGAAGGGATATAACTCTTAATAGGCTTTGTTTTGTTTGTTGTCTGCGGTCTGTACATAGTGGAGACTGGACCAGACAATCCAGCAATTGACATCATCAGCATCAATCTGCGCAACTGGGATACGGTGACATGCATCAAACCCTGTCAGAGAGCTGGACCACCCAATCCTGTTAGTCTCCTCTTATGACAAGCAAACTAACCTCTTACAGCAATTATAGGTCGCCTTTTATGGCATCACAGTAGGCACTGGTGGCGCTATAATCGTGCCACGAAATACCAGTGAGCCACGAAATTCCAGCATTGAAAACTACTGCATAGATTCTTTTCAAATTTGGTGAACACTTTATATACCAATAGGAGAGGTGCTGTACGAAGTTTGATTTCAATATTTGGAATTTTTAGAAAAAAATGCACCTATTTTGAATTCTTTTTGACTTAGAATTTATTCACTTAAACATTTGTGCGATCTATACCTTGAAAACTACAGCATGGATACATTCTTTTCAAATTTAGCAACCATTTTCCATACTTATAGAAGAGGTGCAGTGCAAAATTTGTTTTTGATATGTGGATTTTCTGGGAAAATATGAATTTTTACATGTTTAGAATGTTGTTTTTTTTACTTCAACATTTGTGCGACCCATAACTGGAGAACTCCTTGGTGGATTCTTTTCAAATTTAAGGAACACTTTCTATACTAATAGGAGAGGTGCAGTGCAAAGTTTTGTTTTGATATATATGATTTTTTTTCATGTTCAGAAATATTTGGAGTCGAAGTAGGAGGTATTTGTGAGCCCTGCTCACTTTTTGCCTTGTTTTCATTGCAAAATGTTGCTGCCAGCGCACTGCGTCAGTGTGGGTTACATATGATAAATTAACTGAAGCGATATCTTATCTTCAGCGTGGCTGAAAAACAAAATAGCCTTGGTTCTCAGGCACTGCTGCATCATCACAAGGCCTTTCACACGTTTTGTTTTTTTTCAACAGCAAAAATTATTAAATATTCTGCGACTCGAACACAACAACCCCGGAAGTTAAATGCTACAGTACTTAAGAACAATGCGAGCCAATATAGCCTACAGTTACTTCCCTTTACATGTGCACTGCTTTGCGCATCTTGTGTTATGTGTTATGGTCATAGTGCATATAGGAGTTTGTGTGCTTGTTTAGCTGTTTGCAAATTTGGTCAATGAAAACATGAAATTTACGATAAAACATCACTAGACATGATGATTTAGAAATTTGGTGATCTATGGGTGATTTTGTTTAAAAAATACTTAATGTCAAGAAATTTCATAGGAATTGATAGGAAGACCAAAGACTTTGTATCTGTAACAACTAATGTTCGTTTCAAGGCAAGTTCATGGTGAGTTGATGTGATTTGCCGATCAGATCATGCACGATTTCACGAAAATTAATGTAAACAAAATTGAAAGATATCTTGGAGAAACATATGTCCAGATACACAATGAAACTTATTAAAACTCATTGAATGCATGTATGATGCACACAACGTAGTCCAACAGTAGTCAAATACTATACTGTATTCCAGTATTTAACTCAACAGATTGATTGTACACAGCTGTTTATTTTGTTACATACTAGTTTGAACAACAAAACCAAAAAAGCCCCCCCACCCCCCCCCCCCCCCCACACACACACTATATTTTAAAAGCCATTGCCTGAGAACCATTTCTGTTATTTTTTTAAGCCTTATGGATATGCAAAATGAATTCATGTGAGATTAAATGCTGATATCTTGTTTCAGTCCAATGTTGATGTAACGTGTACAGATATTTGACGGGAGGCCAACAACTACTGAAGAGATTGGTGCATTGGGAAAGTGCTATGGTGAAACTACCTCAAAGACTACTGCCAACGGAACATGTACTCCAACTCCATATGTTGGTACTGAGATTACAGCCATATTCACTCAGATAGGATCACGGCAAGCTGGGTGGTGATGATAGGATCACGGTAAACTGGATGGTGATGACTAGTCATAAGAGTTGTGTGGAAACACGACTATTGAATGACCTTGAACCTATCATGTGTATCGACAATGCAGTGTCGCTTGTTGATTGAATAGTTGCTTCCGGTGGCAAGTATTTTTCAGGTAATGCTACCTCAGGATGTGTTCTTCATGAGGAACTGTTCACTGCAGTGAAATACAACAGGAACGTATTATGTAATGGCAGGAGAATTTACTTGGACAAGTGTTTTTGATTTTTCCTGAAACATCTTTGTATAAACAGAATCTCATGTGGATTAATGAAACTTGTCTTATTCTGTATTCTTTATTCGCAAAAAAAGTGAAGCAAGACTAAATCTTCATTTGGTTGAGATTTGAGACAGGTTCATATAGCATTGAAGGCATATGATTAATTTCATTCATGTCGGTCTTTAGCTTTGGCCGAGCATTAGTCAAGTGACTGCACCCTGGATGTTGATGGACGACAAACAGACCACAGTCCTACTGGCACTGCCCCCTCTATCCGGCCAATATTCAGAAGTCCAAGATTCAGAAGTCCAGTGTTCCTGGTGTGTTCTACTTGACTCCAGGACCGGGTTCAACAAATCCAAGCTGAATCCATATAAATCAAATATGGTCAGCTTAGTTTTAGGGTTGAAGAATTGCCCCCAAACTGACTGACCTTGACTGAAGGATAAGATGAGCTTGAGGTGGACCCGGCACTTTGACAGGGGTGTCAGGAAGTGAACAGAGGTGAACACATGGTGGTAGGAAGGGCACTCATCTGGCACAACATGGTCGGTGGACAGCCTCCCCTCCCTCTGTGTACCCATCGCTACATTCAAACTTTACAAATTGAGATTTGGTATTCTCAATCAAGACATTTATCGAGCTGTTTGCTTCAATAAAACTTAAATGGTCATTGTTTGAAGTTACCTTCACCATGAAACAGATGCTAATAAATGAAAATCAGACATTGATGGCAAGGTCATTTCTCTGTTGATCTCAACTAGGAACTTCAAGTAGACCTACTCAAGCTTGTGCAAGGCCTGTCATAAAGGGTATCACATGACCTTGTTGGTGCCGAGTGATAATAGTTTCCTCACAGCTGATAACAACTCAAAACTATCCTTGGACTCCTGAAACAATTCTCGAACTTCTGAGGCTAATTTCAAAATGCTTTGGAAAACTTGGATTCCACTGTCGAAGGAAGCAATGATTTGATGAATGATGTTTTCAGATAACTAGACAATCAGGAATATGATGTATGACGAAAGCATCTACTGAATGAAATTTTGACCGCATTTAAGAGTAATTAAGACCATGAAAGTCTTATGAAATGACATTGAACTTGATGCTGTATTATCTAAAGTGACTTTATCATGCATGCATTATCTTTTACCAGTGAACCAAAAGTATTGCCATTTAATTGTTCGCAGTAATATTTGAAATTATCAAATGTTTTACAATGACAATCAGATCCTTAGGAAGGGTAGATGGACTACATTTTAGTCACACATTTTATCCGATATCCTGTTTTTCTCATTCTTGTTGTATGACAACTAAATTTGTGTCCGCTGACCCGCAATGATATGACTGAAATACTCTTCACAGCTCCTTCAGAACACTTCTATCCATAACTGTCTGTAATCTGGATGTAATTGGGAGGTAAATTTGAGTTGGTGTGAACACTGAAACAATACTATTTCAGATGATACTGCACTGCACCAGTTGAGGCATTTACCTTCCTTATACATTACCCTGTTTCTCTATGTTCTGTATGTTTCTTTTTCATCATTAGCAATAAGATTAAGATTGCATCAGCATGTTTAATCCAGGGATTTACCAGTGTATATCTACTTGTGACTCAGGAACACATGGTGGCCCCAGTTTTGAAAACAGTAGTACAGTTTGACCACTGTGACTATACTACTGGACATCTACAGGCTGGTAACATAAGGCACAATTAACTTATATAATGTCCTATATACGGTATATTACTTGAAGCCCTGTGCTAAATATGACAGGTGATTTCTTTGTTTGAAACAAAACTCAGTGATTGAGCGAAGAAGATAAGAAATGGACAATCGGATCTGAGACTGTATTTCTTGTGAAAATACCTGCAAGTATAGAAAACACAGGCAGTGATAATCTTAGCAATGTAAGTAAAACATAACGTACACGTTAAAATTGAACTGATTTTAATGATGCAAACAGATGTAATTTCATGGGACTCAACAGTACATATTATTTATTTATTTATATTGAGGATGCATACCCAGATGATCTGTGAAGATACGGGGTAGAATAGGTCTTCAGCAACCCATGCTTGCCATAACAGGCTACTGTGCTTGTCGTAAGTAGCGACTAACCGGATCGACTTGGTTGATGCATGTCATTGTATTGGAGTGGATCGATGGTGATTATGTCAACCACTGGATTGTCTGGTCCAGACCCGATTATTTACAGACCCCGTCATATAGCTCCAATATTGCTGAGTGCGGCGTTAAACAAAAAGCAAACAAATCAAGCAAAGTCCACCCATAATCACCCTGTAGATATAAATAAGTTTCAGAATATAGCATGGTATATGGAATGAAGCATCCATAAAATCTACCTTCACTCCAACAATTGGTGCCCAGACTTTAACATTTATCACCGCTCCCCTTTCCGCAACCTGCATTCGTCACCACTCGCCCCTTTCCGTAACCTGCAAGAACAATCAATCGTATGACTTCAAGTTCTTCGTCAAAGAATCCCTCAGAAATAATTTTTGATTTTACATGTCTTGCATCTAAAAATATACCCAAGACACACTTAAATAAATTTAATCACACTGTATAATTCAGGAACCTGGTCGCAAAAAAGGCCACGAGAATAACACGAGTTGGTCACGAATGCAGACTTCAAGTTTGACACATACGACCTGTGATGTTGACATTAAATACAATCACCACACTGTCCTTGTAGCACTGGAATGAAGCAATGTTAGTACTTAGCGGGTAATAGTGCTTGCAACTTGATGTATCTTTACAAAACTTATTCTGTGTGTCAGTAGACCATGCCAATAATTCTGTGTACACAAATTCGTTTGTTCCCATGTGTACTTTTCTTTGCTGGTGTAGGGTTTATAACACAGCATATTTGCATCTGTGACAAGGAAGCAATACTCTCTGTAATCATGGCAGTGTACCAGCAATCACTGATGTGTATAACTGATCATCATGTTACAAATGTTACAAATACTATTTACCTATTTACTATCCATATATGACAAGTACCCCATCACAGAAATATAACAGCGATCTACACATCTCAAGGGACAGTTACATGCATGAGTAATGATGACGGTATTATCATGGCTCAGTTTGGTAGCCATTTCCTAGGAGTATTCTAAATGATGATGTCTTGCAAACACATTGCTGATGTCATCTGATGACTGCTAAACATTTTCAGGTATTTGGAGAGAAATATGTTCGTCACAAAATGTGTCATTTATTTTTTGAAACAGTTCCTTGAGATTAAAGAATTTATGATGAAACACTTTTATTTCATTTAAACAGTATTTTATCCCAAGATCTCAAATGTAGTCTGTAGTCTAATAAAATTTAAGAAGTCCAACTCAATGATTTGACAAGTCTAGATTGCTTCAGCTCCACAAAATAAGCTTCTGAAATTAAGGATTGTTCTGGGCTCCATTTGGATTTTTATTTTTTAACTTTGTAGATATATTTTTTAAATAAGATAACTTTATTTCTGGGACAAAATGTCAGTCTATCTCAAATAGTGCATTTACATGAACACTGACAGGATTGTCAGGCTGAGCCTATATAAATGCCTTTCTCCCAACAACTATCCCTTTAATGTTTAATTGTGCAAATGATTATTGAGTAATGCTTATATGTAAAGCATTTCTATAAGGACCATTAAGGGTTGGGTCCTCGGGTCCTTGTTCCTTGCTTATGGACCTCATCAAGAGTAATTATTTGTATAATATTGCTGACTGAGTTGGAAACCAAAAGGCGAAACCTTTGAATAGATAGAATGTGTATTCTATACTTTATACACAGGTTTCAATATAACTGTATTATATACTTCAGTGTGAAAGACTGAGTTTTCTGAAGTTGAGAAAAGTGATAATTTCATTGCAGTGAACATAACACCTGATATTTCACTGCAGTGAACATAACACGTTGACGGAACTATGTTGGCCTACACGAGACAGCTCGTACACAAACTGTTGATTTACGTCAGTTCAACGTTGACAAGTCATATAATGACAGATGGTCATTTATGTAGTTAATAGCGATTCTTACCGTTTGTTATTTTGTTGAAAATGATTTGTATTAACCTGTGAATTTCTCTTCTGATTTGTCAGTCGATACTTTACGTTTTGCAAAGCGCCATTTTGTTACTTGAATTGCGTGTATTCTTTCGCTTCGAACTACCGTCTCATTGATTTGAAATTTATTTTTTGATGAAGTTGATTTTGTATATAATCATATCCAAATATATACTAAAGAATTTTAGTGACATCAAATATTTTTGGTTACTTTTGTTTATATTTTTTAAGATTTAGCAAAGACGGAACTACATTTTTAGTCTTACTTACAGGGGGCGGAAAACCGTCCATGTGTGTTATGTAGGGAGAATTTACGCTTGAAGGTTTTACATTTGTAATGAAATAATTTAATCTTCCTGCAGACAACTACACCAAAAGTATATAATAAATAGGATATTTCATGTGTCTACGCCACTCGTGAAAATATCTCCTTTCCCCCCCTCACTCGGAGAGAGAAACATGATATTTCACTCGACACATGAAATATCCTCTATCACTTTTCATCAAATAGCATATTATTGTTTAAACATTATTTTGTTCATCACACAAGAAAGTAGTGGTGTGTAGGACAATCAGGGGACACCCCAGAGATTCCAGGCTAGGATAGTTCCCCAGCAACCTATGCTGGTCGTAAGAGGCGACTAAATGGATCGGATGGTCAGGCTAGCTGACTTGGTTGATGCATGTCATCGATCCCAATTGCGTTGATCAAAGCTCATGTTGTCAATCACTGGATTGTCTGGACCAGACTCGGTTATTTACAGACCGCCATCATATAGCTTAAATATTGCTGAGTGCGGCGTTAAACAAAAAAACAAAAAACAAGACCAGTTTGTCTAGTACATGCAGTGATACAGCTGATTGTGGCATTAAACAGTATTCACTCACTCACTCATTGGCAGGTTGATCTTTGAACATTACTATGGTTAATCATCAATAAGACAGAATTATCAATATCCTAGACATGTGTTGAGGTTGTAAAAGTGTTTGCTGATCGTGATTTGTCAAGGGGTGTCATGCTGCACCTCCCGCAGCATGGACTCAGTCAGTGCACAACCCCAGGCTGTCAAGGTCCATGTGGAAACCTGTCCTGCAGGTACACTGAATGTGATCATGTTTAGTGATAAGTTGAGGTACATTGTGTCAAGCATGTTTCGTTCAGGTGTTGAAAGGGGAGACCAAACAAGACGGAGACACTGTGGTTGAATCAAGAAGTGCCATTTGTTTATATGTCAACAGCAGCCTGCTTCATTAGCCAAGTCTGAAACTTGAATATAGTCAAATTATGTTCCTACAAGGCAACAGATTAACACTAAAAACTACTGTGCAGGATGCCAAGCTATAAATTCGTCCAAAACCGAGCTAATAAAAGACTAATAACATTTAGGCTCAGATTGTAACGGTCATAAAAAGCTCCTGTCAAACACTTCTGTCTTTACCTTGCAGGGATTTACCTTGGTCTGTATATATGTATCCTGGGGACTCTTGGTAATAAATTCTGGGGGTACTACACATCAAATGGGGGCCCAGGGTGACAACTGTACCAACAGCAAATAAAATACAAACTAGGTGTGATGCCTGAAGCATATCATTGATGGGGATTTCCTTGAAAAGCTTACATGGACTGTCCAAACAGTGATTGTATTGCTTGTCAGAGATGAAACAGACAAATGTTGCCCCTATTTTTATTAGTTGCTACAATTCCAACATCCACACCCGAGTCATTTAATTACATCTTACAGCCAGCATAGGTTGCTGGGGACCTGTTCTCACCCGGAATCCCCACACACCATCTCATAAAACCCTGCCATGTGACGCCGTGTTCTCCTTATTGTGTTCATTTGAAGGAGATTATAGACGTAGCAATACATGCAGACTTTGGTAACAGTGAGTGAGTCAGTCTTGTGTTTACAGTCTACTTTAGTCGCAGACGTTTTATGACTTAACATCCACAGTCGGTGAAATCCAATGTTCACACAATGATATTGAAAGGCCTTGACAGTACACTTTATGTGTATCCTTTATATGGAGAAGAAAGAAGAGCAAATATAACCCATATAGCTAACCCTGACAAGGCTGGTTTGCTGTTATTGATAGTGAGGTTGTATGAAATGATCTTTCTTATAATCTATGTCTTAAAAAGTGTTCACATTTCATATTAATAATATGTTTTTGTGCATGATTATAACAATGCAAGATCAGATTTGCAAATTTGTACATTTAGATTTTATCATAGTGATAGCTCCTTGTAATTAGAAAACAAATTTCTAAATGAATTTTTATTGCATTACACTGTCCAAGATATTGAGTGTTGTGTTAATGCAAAAATTAGCTGAATGTAGGTTAATGGGAGTAGGCTGTTAAAAGAATATGTTGCGATGCATCATGTAAGTTCTGCAGTGCAAGTACAGCCAGTAACCAGTCTGTGAGAAGGAGTTGCTGCTCCTGTGACGCTGTACACACAATGCTGTAACGTCATGTTAAATAGGTTGATAAAGAATTGGCAAACGCTGAACCAATGTAAATGCATCTCCTCTTTACCAATATTATTATATAAGTTTGCAATTCATTATGATATTGTATGGTTACTGAAAATATGTAATATGCAGTATATGAGTTTCTCAAATACTTAAAGAAAATACAAATTTTTAAAAATGGTTTCATGTTTAAATTATGAAACTAACTGGCCAAAATTACAGTTAATTTCATCAGGGAGTGTTGTGTTCCCTTGGAGAACACTACAAACACTGGTATAGAAGTAACACTTTCGTTTCACATGTCAGTAATTTCTGTAAATTCATAAAAAGAATTAACCTGAATATGTAGGTGTACATGTTGTGTGTTTGAAGTCCATCTTGTTGAGTTCACTTCAATCTTATCTTAGCCTGCAAATGCAAAATAATTGGAGCTGTATTTGTTGCCTTGTTAATTTCATCAGATGGAAAACTTGCAGACCTGGTTATAAGATACAGCGCTGATATGAAAACATGCATTATTTTGTTTAATTTCATGTCACATGTTACCTCATTCCATACCACATCATGTGCAAATCATAATATATTATCCATTATATTTTATTTAATTACCACTTTTGTATTTTTATCATCTGTACATACTTCAAATTAATTATTACTTTTAATGCTATCATAATTCATATATGTATTTATAGATTTTTTTAATAGATTTTTTTTGTCTCACATTAATACTGGCATAAGGGTTGTGGGGTAGCCTAGAGGAAATGTGTTAGGATGTCACATTAAATACCTGGGTACCACTTCCAGATGAATACAGTGGCTCATTCATAGATCTCACTCACTCACTCACTCACTCACTCACTCACTCACTCACTCACTCACTCACGCATTATGTGCTATTCAAAAGAAGCTTAGGAAAACTCGTTTCTTTCATATTATTATAGTTAATCTAGATTAGTAATATGAAAGAATCAACTGATCCTTAACTTCTTTTGGGTAGTGTAAATCCTGTAATCAACTTGGAGGCTTGGTGCCTGGAGTCCCCTGTTCTCGCAGTATTGAATCATGCTATCACCAGACCAGACTGGAATACTGTTGTTTCTTTACTCAGGATTGTACAATGACTGGGAGCTATTCTGTGATCTGATTGGTTGAAAAACATTGTTAAACTGGTATTGGATCCTTGAATTATCTCATCTTTTCACTGTATATGAAAAGTTGCCTTGATAACTATTTTTTTTCACTATCCCAAAAAACATTCCATTTAGCTTGGCCAAATGGATAGCAAATTTAGTTTTATATCAAGTATGATTGGTATTTGATCTAGTGATGTCATGACATTCCAGGATGATTACGTATTATCTCACAACTGTGAGAGTTCACGTAGAGAGAGAGTGAACTGAAAATCAGGGACAACTTTGGTATTTTATAATGTCAATAACCAATCTCCCGATCATGTTTCTGATGTGTGCTGTTTAGGTCTAGGACGGATAACTCGGGTACTCGGGTTGGGTGGGTCCTGAGTAGGACCGGGTACCCACAGGACTACCCGGACCCATGGTTAGTCACGTGATGTATTGTTTAATGACTAAAACTCACTATATCTCAGTGGTTACACAACATGTCGCTAATGTTTGCATTTCTTTCTGACGATGCACACATTCCTTTTGACTTGTATATGTTTGAGTGAAGATAAAGCTTCAGTCAACTTCAGTGAACGCATGATCTGATAGTTTGATACATGTATCTAAATAGTTTTAGCCAGGGCTGTGGTAAAACAATTACCAATCAGACATTTTGTTCCAAACTCTTGAGACTTGCAGTGGGTACCCGGGTAGGGTCGGGTGATAGGGGGTCGGGTGTCCGGGTAGTAAATTTGGACTCATCCCAGCCCTAGTGCTGTTTATAACAAAGATGTGTTGCATGGCAAGACTGAAGCATATGTATAAAGTGTCTGTCGTGTGAACCCCATCTGCAGCTGTCCTGTACCGTGGAGTATAGTTGTTACTGTTGGAGTATACAAGGTGTTCAGATCATTTCTTGTCATTCTTCATGTAATATTTCCACATGGTTCCCATGTTGTGTACATAGTTTTATATGTGGGTGACTTGATCGATTTCTAAAAAAACAAAAACAAAGTCATACACTTTTGCATAATAAAACCAATAATGAATACTATTTTGACTTTTGTTATTTATTTATCGTTTTTTATCCCCCAGGTTGGAAAAACATGGAAATTAGCGATCACCATGTCCGTCCGTCAGCCGTCCGTTTTCTGTTTCCAGAGCAGAATATATTAAAATATTTCTTGTTGAAACTTACTATATCGATAAGGGGCGGTCGGGTAGCCTAGTGGTTAAAGCGTTCACTTGTCACACCGAAGACCCGGGTTCGATTCCCGACATGGGCACAATGTGTGAAGCCCATTTCTGGTGTCTCCCGCCGTGATATTGCTGGAACATTGCTAAAAGCCGCGTAAAATCAAACTCACTCACTCACTATCGAGTCTGGTGGTGAACTGATGCCTTTTGATGATTTGGGTTTGTTATTCCACATATTGGAGCAGAACTCCAAAACCGCTAAATATTTCTTGTTGAAACTTGCTATCTAGATCAGCCTAGTGGTGGTAC